CCAAAGTAGACGGCCGAGTTGTTATTAGTGTGAATATCACGAACACTTCCAATAGATACGAGATTAACTGGAAAAAATATACACAGAATATTTCTTCTACATAAAACTTGGTAAAATGTATCAAGACATTTAAGACCAGTGCGGAATACCAGACCAACATAAATTTAATGTCAGCTCAGCAAGTACTACGGAAATCTTACTGAGATGAACGAAGAAGCGATGGTGCTAGACCTCGTGCACATATCTTCCGTCATTTACACTAAACAAACTCTAAAAAAGCGGAGGACTTAACGGGTTGCCGAGGCTCCGGCATAAAAAACAGAAGTAGGAACGGGGTGGTCTTTAGTCACTCCATCTTTTCTCACCGAACTATTAAGGTACAAGTTGGTAGCGGGCGACGTGAGATGGCAGCAGACCATGTGTTTGTTGTCACTTCATGTCCCCACGACACGTCAGTACGGCCTATCACTCAGTCATGATTTCGAACTATAAGAGCGGCACTACTAACCCGCGGTCGGGTGACACTGTCGTCACCAAAAAAAGTGTATCTCTCTCAATTGACAATTATTTACCCACTGTAAAAATTATATTCTAGGATAACAACGCCATAACAATACGTACTCATTTCCCAATAGATAAATCGAAGCGTAATATGAATCACCCATGTTATCCCTATGTCTGTTTTTTTACTTCATCAATTGATTTCAACTTCAGCAATATTTCATTCACACTTCACAGGATGGCTCGGTGGATATTAAAGTCGTAGATCTTCAGACTATGTACGCAGGCAGTCCAATCAGTGACTTGATCTACTTCATCATCACGGGCACTGATGAGAAGTTCCGCGCACAGTATTTTGAAAAGTTGATGGACCACTACTACTCCGAGCTCAGTGCTGCCATGAAGAGGTTAAAACTCAACCCTGACGAAACCTTCTCCAGAGAAGACTTCGATAGCGAATTGAAGGAGGTAAATAAATGTATTCAGATTTTTCATAAGTTTAAAATTTAGTCTACACTATTTCCTTATCCTCTGTACTAATTAGAAGATTAAGAAATTTAGAATGTAGTGGCATTCTACGCCGTAGCTAGCACGCTGCGTAGCTACCTCCACCGCCGTAGCGTGCGTAGCTCGTAGGCACTCGTAGATATAAACATCCATTATGTTTTGTTACTATTTCAAATAGTAATTTTGCTTACCGTAACATAGTAATGTAGCCTATAATCACTAGCCTATAAGTGGCCACTGCTGATCAAAGGCGTCTTGTCACACGGAGATGTTTAAATAGGAACACAATAGTTAAGTCAGAGGCTAAACTAAAAATGGATATTTCATAGAAAACGTACTAAATATTTCATCATTAGAGTATATTATGATATATGGAGTATATATTACGAATTACGATATAAGTCATAATGGTATTGGTCCGATTGTTATTATGCATGTACATACACATGTACTGATAAGAATTGTTTTCTTTATGTCATCAATTGTTATGCGCTGTTTATCTGTCTGATAATAAATAAATTATTATCTGATATATACCACTCATCAAGTGTGTGGACTGAATTTCGCCGGGATGATCCGTCGTTATCACAATGATTAGTACTGTAACACTCACTTTTCACTATTTATGAATCCCATGTAATAGGGGGGGGATAAGATTGTCATACACCGGGTACAATTCCAGACTTCGTGCTACTACTAAGATTAAAAAAAAACCAGTAATACTTTGCCCGACCAGGGAATGAACCCGAAACTTCTTGCCCGGCAGTCGCACTTGCGACTACTCGGTCAGAGGCCGTCAAACAGTAATTAAACAAGAGGTTTTGTTATTAGACTTAAACTTTAAATATTCACCCAATAGTACCGACGTAGGCACGCAGGTGGCTGGTGGCCCACTTATCGATATAGGTACATCAGAAAGACTTGAAAAAGAAAGTCATACACAGGTGTAGCATACACTAATCTTACTTGCAAGACATTGGCATATTTCATCAGCCCGATTTAAATAGATATACTTAGGCACTATATATTATTAAATTTGTGATAACAACGATTAGTCATGTCAGGTGTCCATGCCCTCCAGGTGTGCGTCTTATCTGATGATGCTGAAATTGTCAATTCATCATGAGATATACAAAAAGTTTTGCTTTATAAGTCCTGGAATGGGATTCCTTGCCAGAATCTGTTTCTAGAATGTAGAAGCCTGGCTGTGTGGTGGTAAATTTTAAATACTTAAGTAAATAGGTTGCTTTTTGTTGTTGTCTACTATCGACAACATCATCGCTTACCATCAGGAGAGATAATGACTCAACGCAGTTTGGTCTTTCAGTGAGAGTCTTTTCAGTAAGCTTGAATGAGAATGGTATTGACAAAAAATATATTTATTACAGAAACTGCCATACGGCCTGATTCTGGCTATCATCGTCTTGCCAGTCCTTACCGTGGAGACGGAGAATGCCCCCCAGGTGGATGAGTCCCTCGACATCTCCAAGTTCAACGTGGAGAAGACCAGCGACCTGTACGCGGAGAGGCTGAACGGAGTTGTCAACGACTACGTCAAGTGGGGGATTCTTAAATAATATTGTTACTGTAGGTACCAAAAGAACGCCATTGTTATCAAAAAGGTACTTACCTACAATTGCTTCACACCGTTTTAAGGTAATATAATATCATAGTTGTACACATGTGAGAACTAATTCGGCTGTAAAATATCAACTTTCAGTTTATTCTAACTAAAATGTAAGTAGTGATACTTTTTATAGAATAAAATTGTATTGTACTCACCCACGGAAAAACAAGTTACTACGACTAAATTAAATCTACTACAAATTATAGGTACTTAGTGGATCGATATTTGAAATTAGAATTTTATTTTTTATTAAAATATTTTTTTTAAATCAGCCTGTATTAAGCATACCTATTCCATTTATAAAATATTTTGTGGTATTTCTGATGATAATTGTATTTATTATTTAGGACATCCATTTTTATATTTAATAATAGGGTATATTAGGACTGTTAATTCATTACAAAAAACAAAAACAAATTTATCAAAATCATAATTATGTATGTAAAAAATAAATAAATACATAGGCAGAATAATCGAATCAACTTCTCTTCACACTACTACGTCGCTTTACACAGCGCAGTACCATGAAAAAAAAAACAAGAAAGTGGCCAAAATAATTAATATGTTTAACAATTTGATTCGAATGCCGTACAATTGTTTAAGAGTTCTTTGATGTACCACAGGGTTTATTACGGTAAGTTGTGACTAAGATAAACTTACTAATTTTTTAAGAATTAATACGAACTGTAGAAAAGTTTAAAATGGAATGTCCTTTCGACCATAGCCATACGTAGTTGTTGAAATGTACTTTACAACCTTGTGTTGTGTCAGAAAAAATGTCGTGTGATATTTCATGACAATTATAATAAAATATTTATAGATAGTATAAAACGTGATTGTATTAAGTAATGTAATTATTGTTGTTAAATTTTGTGTTTAGTTTAGAATAATGGTATTGTCGAATGAATTTTTTGCATTCATGTTAATTTCTAATGCAATGTAATATTAATGAAATTCGTGCAGATTCTGTGGGGCACATACTATGCTGTTGTAGTGTTACCCTGTTGTTTTATTGTTATTTTAGCTTTATGATTTGTTTTACTAAATTAGGTGTACAGGGTTTCTTACAAATAAAACTAGTTTTTGTAATATTTTCCTTTTTATTATCTCAGGAATTGTTTGTTTTCATATTAATATAATATCATAGTTTGATACAGTGAATACATGTCAGCGGGTAATGACGAATGCACGACCTGATACCGAACCAACTGCCTCTCAAACATACAACTCACTTCATAACAAATATACAATAATAATTATTATAATCATTCAGGATCACCTCGTGATCCGCTTCCAACAGCTGCGTGCCAAATACTTACAAAATAACTACTGGTCGCGCAAGCGCATTGGACGCGGCCGACGTGACCCCTGTAAACATTAGAATAACTCCCGTTGCAGCCAGTGTACAAACAAACATAATTGTCGCAACAAAACACAGCCAAATAATACGTATACGAGACAGCATCAGCTCGTGTGTTAGTGCATCTACCGTCTACTTCACAATAACAGCGCAACCTCAGAGCGCAGAGTACTGGCAGTACTGGCAGTACTGGCACTGCGTCGATTGCTCGTACACGCTATATTATTACAAACGTACACAACTTTTACTTTATATATAAACATTTATCTCATTATAATCAATATAAGTTACCTATATTATAGAATTTACTATTCTTGCAATTCTCTAGAACAAAGTGCATAAACAATTATATAATATTTATTCATAAGCTTATTGTTGAACAGTAGTAAACAAGTTCTGAGTACAAAATAAAAACATAGTATAGTACAAAATGCAGTCGTTTTAGAATAGCGCCAACTGAAGTGAAGACGCACCGAGTATCTAGAGTTACAGGCGATATGTGGCTCGACCAGTACAACAACGTCCCGCCAGAGGGCGCTCCAAACTGTCCGTCAGCTAGTAGGGACTAACTTGACGCTCCCTTCCACTTCTAATGTATACATCGCAACAAGCTAAGGGCCTTGCACTACAAGTTCGTCAAAGCAATCCGTGACTACACTACTGAGTGATCGCTTTGACACGCCATGTGCCAGGCAAAGGCCTAAAATATTTAAATACAGTATAAATACGTCGCTAAATCACAAGAATTTGATTATTATAAGATAGTTATTGTACCGTCAGAACAATCCTATACACTTCCCCGAACAAAGAAAACGTGATATGAAACATTGTACTATGATAAGTTGCTAGCATTCGAATGCGTAATATACTCGGTTGGTACAACAGTAACAAACCGCTCTGTTCCCTAATACATACATATCGATATAACACTATAGAAACATTTGACAAAACATAACGGCCATAAACATTATAGTACAAATTATAACAAGAGGTCACATCCACGTCATGTACAACAATACAACATCGCGCTGCAGCCCAGGGTGCATACAGACAGGTGCTTGTTTCACAGAAACACTGAAAAATATATCAATACAAAACATACTTATATATTCGTTGCACATACAAAAAGCTGTGAGTAACGTAATGACATATCGACAGCGCGCGGACCATGCGCGAGTCGCGGTCGGGGAGTTAGTCCACTACGCGGGAACACTGACCAGGTTCCTACCTCAACAACGTACACGTCCCCGGCTACTCTACAAGCTAAGGCGCGCGGTCCCGGATAATACTGAGCGGTTACACCAATGAGCACTCCCTTCTTATAGTAATCAGAACTGCTATTCAGATCTACACGATGGCGATGGCTCCAACTAAACTGCACGCGACCAACTGAACAACGGACACTTTGACTGTGGGTACTTCTCTCGTGGAGGGTTTGATTCCCGCGCACCGTCACTACCGACTTAAGCTTACATTAACCTGTATATTATCAAATTTATTTTTATATTAGCTTTAAATACACATATACACGTCAACTTTGAAATTTAAATATTAGTTTTACCGGCTATCACTGAAAGGTACATACAATATAATGTATACTTTATAACAGACATGGGTCGGGCAAACCGCGCGGACTCAATGTTACATACAAAAATATACTCCAACAAATAATTGACTACGACAAAATATATTCTTTCAAGTGCCAACAACGTAATACAAATAGAAATTTGCAAAAATCATCTGTAGCTTTAAAATATTGGTCTCTACATTCAGCGTATAGATAGGCATTACATATATCTACATAGAGTACGAGCTAGAGGAGGTGGAGGGTCCGCGCGGTCCTCCGAGCCACAAACAACAGCGCCTAAGAAAGAGATAACAACTTTAGGATAATACCCATAAACACATCGGTATTTAATAGTTACACGTTATCGTTAGTTTATCCTACGACACGCCCGCGCGGCCCTGTCTGCGCGCGAGCCGCTACAGTAGTTAGTGTACGGCGCCGCCACGTGCGCACGCAAGCGAGGCGACCCTACACAGGCGACATATTGCTAGTACAAGCTAATTATTTTATTATTATACTACCATTTTGGTAGAAATTCTTTTTATTTGCTCCCCCTCATAAAACTCGCCGAATGAACTTCGCCATAATACATTTTTCAAGCTAATATTTTCTTAATTTTTTTGGAAGATTTTTTTATTATAGTAATTTGACGAATGATTCCATATTTTTAAATATACTTAATGTAGATTAACATTCCCACTCGCAAGGAAGCTAGAATGATAAGTAGAGTTACAGAAAGGCACTACCGAAGAGAAGATGCGCAGAATCAAATGAAACACTTATCATAATAGGGTACCGAGTGGACCGACCACTTGGACAAACATTTCTATGTGAGTATTCAATTATTTTCGATAGTACAGCGCGTGAGTTGACAGTCCGCATTGAGTATGTTGCGACATTCGTACATCAGTGTAACTAAACACTCGTACATACACATGCATTACTTTCCAGGTGGCAGACATATGCACATAAGTATAATTTTTAAGAACGCACTGAGATAAAACAGTTCATGACTCAACTACAAACAAACGCCGTGAACGTACATACCCGCATACATAATGTATACTGACAACATAATTAGAAATAATATTAACATAACATATATTATTAACAAAGCGTTCAGGCCGGCCGGGGCGCGTATTCTCATAGGAAACGTACGTGGAACACTATCACTTTTCACATTGCATTCAATTCGAGAAAGTGTACAAACAGCTCGCAGCGCCCCGACAGAATAGAGTACACGTAAGGCTATGACAAAGCTCGCCCCGGCCGCCCGGAACTTGCACAAACCTGTTGTACTTTACCATACATATCTGCACACTGGAATTTTTACACACAACACACACATCCATCTATGCAAAACAAGCAATGTATGTAACATTGACTTCATTCGCCATATTTAAATATTCATAATTATTATATCTTGCTAAATTAAAAATAAATTCAGTCAGACTTAAGCATGCAGACAATATTTATTAACGTCTTACGAAATATCAAAACAAATAAATGTTCAAGAAATCAATGTGACATACATTCTCGCGTAAATAATAATAGTAATCTATTTATACAAATTAAACATAATTAAATTAACGTTGAATATAATACAACGCTATGATTAATATACAAGTACCGACAGGGTATACGGTTTGGTCCTACATTGGTGGGATGCTATCGTAAGATGTTGTCGAATCCCGCATTGGTACTAGTAACAGGAAAGGTGCAAGGCAACCTTAATTTTGCAATATGAATTAGCTAACTAAGCCCTTTTGCAAGCAACATACGACCAATGTAAAACCAACCTGACAGCAATATCTCATAGTTGGACTTATAAAGAGTACGCCACATCTATGAGAGGAAACATTGAAGCACTTCCCCATTAGATTCCTTTATTATACATGATATTTTATCCTTTTTATAATCAAATCACATTCAAAGAAAAAATGATTGCGTTTTTTCTGATCTTTGGCTTTTAAGCTCTATTTGGAACATATTTCAAATAAGAGAAGCCTTGATTTGATATGCCTTACGAAATAAATAGTGGACCTTAATTTTACATCAATAAAAATCAGTTTCGAGTGGCACATATCTATTTTACGATAGGACTGTTAGTAGGTATTAATAACATAGGCTATACTGCAGCTACTTCCACCACATGGGGATACATTTGAACATTGTTTAATTATAAATCTCAAGTATGATACAGCCGCGAGGAATAACCCACTCGTGTGAACAACATTAGTACGTAACGAGTCTACTCATGGTTATTACTGACAATTACACCGGCCACCATGAATACTGCCTACAATATACATTTACAATATCCATAACGCCGCATAATTGTCCGAAACGCGATATTTTAATAACTATAAACTATACATTATAGTGAGGAAGCTATTAGGCCTCGATTGCAGACAACAATATATTACAGTTTTACATTTATTTTATATAATTAAGATATCTGCTGTAGTCGTGTGCGTCGGTTACTTCAGTATGGAGGCGAGTACTGCCCCCCCCCCCCCGGACCCACACGACCTCAGCCCGCCGGCCGCCCCGACGCCGCGCTACGATCGAGCCCAACGTGCAATCATCCATCGAATTGACTAGTGAACCTTTTGTAGTTTTTATCGAGTTGATTTGTACAGTCAGTGAATGAAACAATTAAACTTTTGTTCCCCAAAAATGTGTTTGTATTTGAATAAATTAATTTAATGCGCACTTTGACTAGTAAAATTGTATCACACGTTGTTTCAACTGAATGTGCGCTAATCGTGGCATGTTGGTCAAATGTGACTTGATTGAAACGCAACGTTTATAATATAGTACTGCGTGAATACAGGGCGGAGCTCCGTGCACTGCCCGCGAACCAACCCAACTATACTGTACGTAACCTGGACACAATGGCGCATGCGCTACAACTCGCCCTCGCCTACTGCAGCGAGGAACACAACATGTTCAATCAGCACTAGTACAACTTCATTCCTTTCTAAAAACAAACTTCGTATCGTACATTAAATGTGTAAAACATATTCCTATGAAATGCCACTTTCCTGTTACGTTGCGGTTCGTAAAAATATCGAAAACCAATAAAAATAACTCTTGGAGTTTTGATAAACAGATACAAAAATACTTTACCATGGGTCAGTATTTCACACTAACCATTATATACAGGAAACTATATAATATCAATAATTTACAATGAGTGACATGATAACTTCAAAATATACACAACGAGGTGGCCTCCGCGCGTAGGGAGGCGAGCAACCCTCCGTGTCGCGCCTCGCATGGAATGCTCAACGATCTAACTAACTACAACGAGCGAAATATTAAACGTATGTACACAATCTCTAATTCCGTTAAATTCGAAATGGCGACTGTCATCTTTGTGATGCAATATTGTTTACCAACTGTCAGCTACACTCTGACAGCTTCGTTAAGTCGCTAAGCAATCACAATCGTAAGGAATACAACGCAATCTGTCGCGTCACAGGCACGTCGCTTGACCTTCCTTACTAGTGAGTAGTGGGTCGTAGTCCGTGCAGGTAGTAGTGGCTAGTGGTCCTGGCGCGACAGGGCCAGCGCCAGCTGCAGGTCGGCCTGTTCGCGGGCGCGGCGCGCGTCTTGCTCGGCCTGCAGGCGGCGCGACTCGGCCGCGGCCCAGGCCCACTGCTGCTCCTCGCTGGGCAGCTCCACGCTGTGCAGCGAGGAGCTGGACTTGTTCTTCTTGTCCTTCTGCTTGCTGCGGCCGATGCCGCCGATGGTGTGCACGAGGGACTTGGCGTACTTGACGGGGCGCGGCGACTTCTCCTTCTTGGAGGGTAGCGTGCTGGCGGCGGGCCAGGTCTCGTTGAGGTTCCTGTTGGAGTCGGCGCCGGACCAATCGGCGGCCCAGTTGTCGGACTTGTTGGCCCAGTTGTCGGTCTTCCAGTCGCCGGTGGCCGTGTTGGTGTTCCTCTTGGCGGTGTCGTCGGAGCTCCAGGCGTCGGACTTTTGCGCGGGTGCTTTGGCCCAAGCATCATCAGTTGCCCAGTTGTCGTTGGGCCAGGCCGCCCAGGCGTCGCTACCGCTGGAGTTGTTGTTGGTGCTGGCGGGGGGCGCGGGCTTGGGGGGCTTGTAGTCGGAGCGGCTGGAGAATGGGTCGTAAGCTACGGGCGGCGCAGACACTCGCCCGCTTCGCTTCTCAGGCAGAGTAAAATTGCCATTAACATTGCTCGAGCCGGAAAAGAAGTCGTCAGTTTCGAAGCCGGCGACAGAAGTGGGCCTGGCGAAGGGGTCAGGCTTTTTGCCGTCGGCGACGTCGGCGAAAGGGTCCTCGATGTTGAAGGGGTCCTCGTATCGGTAGTCCTTGAAGGGGTCATCGGCGAAGTCCATGGCGGGGCGGTCGGTCTGGACGACAAAGTGTGTGTGAGTGGGGGCGTGAGTGGGCGGGGTGTGAGAGAGACAGAAGTACGCACGTGACTCCGCCGCCGCGTCCTTAGCGCTGCAAGTGGGGACAAGCACACGAGCGTGGTTAGCACGGGACCTCGCGCCGCATATACTGCCACCCGCCCGGGTATATAAAGCGCCGTCCCAGCGGACGGGGCTTTATACTTTACAACTTATTCACTTTTATTTACTAGAAAAATATTTAAAGAATCTTCGGGTGGCATTATATACGCTTATTATTGTCAATATAGGTTATGTACAGGTTTAGTAATATCAGTTTAAAGAAATGAAACCAAATGAAATAATTAATAAAATGAACCAATTAGAAAAGGAGTGGGATGAAGGTGTTAGTGCAAGTCTACAAGCAACGACAGCAAACTATTAGTGAATGTAAGTACTGTTATTATTTGTTAGCCATACCTACATACATCCATCGAGAAACTACTACCAACTTTTTGTTCAAATTGACTAATATTGAAGATCGAAACATTATTTAAAAATAATACCCAATACTATTTTAAATCATTATTATCATTATGTTTTCGGCTTACTCACTTAACCAGACTCAAGAAACACATACGCAGTTTGAAGAACCAAGACACTCATACATCGGCAGTAGCCGAGCATACTTGTGACACGGCCACGGCTCACTTTCTCCATTTCGACAAGGTATCCGTACTAGCGCGGGAGAAAGACTTCGTACGGCGGAAAGTACGCGAGGTCATCGAAATAAGTCGTCGTACGAACTTCAACATAGACGGTGGCTGGGCGCTACCACCTGCCTGGAAGCCGAGTCTGAAATCTGCGTCAGACTACAATGTTACAGGTCTGGAGTGTGACACAGTGACACTGGTTGGTCGGCCCGGGATTCGAATTCAACATGCACGCGGCCACCGGCGAACGAGTGTAGCGTGGCTCGGGTGTCGCGCCGCCACGGATGCGTGCCGACAGGCCGGCGGGGACTGCAGCAGGCCGCAGCTGCGACTGTCGGGCCAAGGAATGCTGCTCATGGATATGAGTCTCTAGCATGGCTCGAAACTAGTCGAGTTTCTCGTCAAACAGTTACGCAAGTAAGCCGAAAACATAATAATTATTTATTATCATACTTGCCCTTTATTTACCACAACATTAATAAGTAAATTACTTTGAAACGTTTACCATAAACCAATATTATCTAACTATTTATACTAAGCATCATGCAAGGGAATTTATCAGATAAAAAGTCATCAATTCCATACATTAAACTAAATATTAATATTTTAATGTTTGAACAATCAAAATAAATCGTAGTATTATACTTAAATAATTATTTCCTTCATTTTATATTTAGAAGAAAAATCTTGAGTGGTACACACTTAAAGTCACATAGTTCTAACGTGACAAATTACGACAGTAGACCATCAAAAAACTCATATCTATAATTATTAAGTATATAAGTATAAACATGCAAACTACATAAAAGTTGAAGCATAAAAACAAAATGGTCGTGCAATAGGAATAACAGTGTGGAGTAAAGAAGCGTGGCGGCGTGTAGCGGGAACCAAACCAATGGGCGGCGGGCACTGCACGCCGCAGAGAAAGTATCCACTTTACAATAAGTTACCACTTTCTGGTACTCAAGGCGATAAATGACTCGTTCTCGAATTTAACCCATTTAACCTATTCTTTTTTTTTTCATTTAACTTTCTCGAATCAACATATTTACAGTGACTTTTATGAAGCTATAAATTTTTAACTTCAGTTGTTTTAAAAATATGGCAAATCGCAAAACAAAACAAGCAGTATTCCATTTTTAAAACCCCGGAAAGTGGCGCCAACGAGTGTGACATTTTATTAAAAAGATAATTCAAAAAATCCTTAAATAAAATGCCATCCTCGAGTGTGTATGTGCAAATAAACGTCAACTACGTACTGTTTACTTTCTCTGCAGCGTAAATAAAATAAAACAAAACGTTTAGCTTTTTGACGTAGCTATCTGTCGTCCATGCGCCTAATTACTGGGGGGCGGGGAGTAAATAAACTTCAAATAATCATATAAATAACACAATCTGAAAAAAACCGTTAGCTTAACAATACAAAGGGATTTTATAATTTAAACTGGAGAAACTTAGCTCTGATGCTAGTTTCGTATTTTTGAATTAGTATTTAACAAAATTGTGTAGACTATAGATTTCAGGTTTTACAAAAAAAAACTGATTTCAGGTTTAACAGAAAAAGGGTTGTGCGAAACTTATTTATGCAATTTTGTCAAATATTAATGTCATGTTCAATATATTACTTTTGATATCAATGAATATATCAATGCCAATAATAAACTTTAAATCGCATAGCTGTAGAGAAGTCATATTCATTGACATCATCAAAAAATATTGTAGGGCCAAAAAAATTAAAAAGGAATAAAAAAATTAATGTTTAAAAAAATATAGAGTATAGAGTATTATGTACCTTGGCGGGTGGCGTGGGGCGCGGCGGCGCGGGGCGCGGCGGGGGCAGCTTGCCCTGCTTGGGGGGCAGCGCGGGGGTCGCGGCGGGGGGCGCGGGGGACGACCCCCGCGCCGGCGCGTGCAGCACTGCGAACGGGTCCTCCGAGAACTGACACACACAACTCATTATGTTCACTATATCAATATACATTTCAATCCATTATCTCTTTAACTTCTAACACTATATTCAGAACGGTACGATTGGTAGGTCTTTTTTTCACATTAATTATTTATGCTAGGATATAAATATGTAAATACAATAAGACTCACATCGTTATTAGCTTTAGCCGTATTGTCGTGTGAAGAGAACGCATCGCCAGCAAAGGGGTCAGCGTTCGATGCGAACGGATCCGTGGCGAAGCCGTCCTAAAAAGATATGCTTCTAATAAACATTTATTGTTCTATTAGGTTTGAGTGAATTTAAGAAAAAATATAGTATGTATTTATATTTGAGTGCAATAATAATCAAAAATCGATCAAATGAGGTTAAATTAAGTGTTTGGTTCAACTTAATATAGAAAGGATAAAGCTTTCTTTCAAATAAACTTCATCTTCGTTGCTCTCTAGTATAGACTCTCTAGAGACCTGTGAGTGCTTCGCTTGCGTGGGTGCGAAGGGGTCGTGCGCGGGCAGTGCGGCGGGGAAGGCTCCCTCCGTGAACGGGTCCGACTCGAACCCCGCGCCCGACGCGAAACCGTTGCTTTTTGCGAACGGCTCATCTTCCTGTACGACAAACAAACAGAATTAGTTGTAGATTAGAATAGTTGTGGTACAGAAGTCGTGTTGTCGGTAAGTAAGCAGGAGTGGTACATACGAGGGCGTCGTTGGGCGTGGCGCCGCGCACGACGCGCTCCAGGTGCTCGGCGGAGAACTGCGGCTGTACCTGCAGGCTGGCGGCGCCGCCCGCGCCCGCCGCGCCCAGCGCCTCCGCCGCCGAACTGATCAGGCGGTGCTGCTCCTCCAGGTGGGAGATCTTTATGTTGGCCTGCACACCACACGATACACTTTATAATATCATTTTATTCGATTTGTCCATCATATGATTCGAGAGCACATTTTGTTGTATTTATCTGTCTTTTTCAAGTGATTATTAAGCCTTTAACTGCCAACAAAAACTGTTAAAGGCTAAGCCTCCGCTAGTGTTGGTCATCATTGTCCGACACGGCGTCCAATGTGTTAATGAAATAATTATAATTTTGACAAAACGTATTTGTCGGTAGCTGAACGCGAGTAGAGGGCGACCTGGCTGACGGCGAGCACGGTGCGGCGCAGTTGCGCGGTGAGTGCCTCGGCCTCTGCGTCGGCGGCCGCCACGTCGGCTTGCAGCGCGCGCTCCTTCTCGCGCAGGGTTTGCGCGGCGGCGCGCCGGCCGGCCACCTCGGCCTCCGTCTCGGCCGCCGCCGCCTCCTGCGCCGACACCTGCGACCGCAACTTCTCTACCTGTAAGACATTGCAACGTGGTAAAAACATTATCACTTCAGTTGAAAATTGATAACAATATTTTTTAAGATGGTATCATAATCGTAGGTTTTACCTGTGTTTTGAGGTCATTTAATCTTTTTTGTGCTTCACCTTTTTGATTTTCTAACTGTTTTAATGTTGCCGTTAATGTGTCCAATTCGCTCTGAAAACAATACATTTTACTATTAGGATTTACTCTAAATAAATTAACACCAAAGATTCAAACGTACATAAATATCGAATGGTGAAGAAATTTAAAAGCGAATGTAGTTGGTAACTAACGGAATACCCAATATATTGGCAACAGTCATTCAACATTGATTATTTGATTAGATATTAATTTCTAATTTGAATAATCCAGCAACTTAATGAAGGAATGATAATGTAATTGTTAAAGTTTACTATGCTAAGCGCTTCTTATTACCCGACGGGTAAATTTCAAACCTAGTTCAAGTACATGTATGTCATAGCAATAATGTAGAATTAAGACATAAAAATGTAATTTCCCTTTTTAATTTTTTTTTTATAAAAATTTACTTATTTGTTTAATATTGAATGAGCGATTCAAATAAAGCCATAAAGCTTACCTGCAAGCTGTCAGCCTCCCCCGTCTTGACAGTGAGGTCCCTCTGCTTGGCGGCGAGCTCTGCCTCGAGCGCGAGCCGCTCGCGCGCCAGGGCGTCCACCTCGCGCGCGATGGCCTCCATCTCCGGCGTCGGCTGCGGGCCCAGCGACACTGCCTGCTCTGGCTTCTGGAATCACAATAAATATTCTTGATACTCATTGTTGCAAATCGAAATGTAACTCGAAAACAGTTGAATATCAGCAGGGGTTTAATTGAATACCTGACGTCATAATAGTCTTAAAACCACAGTGGTTCCGCTGAGGGAACGAGATCTCGCTAGAAACTTGTATAGCTCTGTTTCTTTCCCTCAATGGAACCATTCTGACTTTAGGACGTCATAACGTACAGGGGAAAATTAAATAGATATTTAACAAGTTTGAAATAAGAACAACGCAATTTTCTTAATCAAGTTTGAATTAAATTCAAAACAATACAACTGACAAGTTCCTGACAGCAAAAATAAATGTTTTCAAAATGGCAGACTTAAGGCTTATTATTTCGATTTTAGTGATAATACATAGCGTATATTGTAACGAAAACGATTATATCCGTAGAAAAGTAGAAACACTTAGCAATAGGAGTAAGAAAATGTATGGGACAGTCGAGGAGGATTTTAAATGGAACAATATCGATTTACAAAGTATTATGTACCCAAGTAAGTTGAAGCAAGTTGTAAGTCCGGATTGTTCGCTATCATCATCATGATCAGCCAACAAACATTCAGTAATAAATGACCTTCACAGAACAACTCTTCACCTCAACAGAATAACTGATAAGTCTATATTGAGCAGGGGGCGATAAACGCAAGCTGTCTGCGTTATCTCGCGCGTGGCAGCAGTACTACGAGTGCTCGGCGCGGCTGGCGGAGTCAGTGCCGCCGTCGCGGCTGATGGCCAACGTCATCATGATGCTGTTCCAGGGCGCCGTGGCCCGCCTGCCCTGCAGCCTCTGCGCGGAGCCCGGCAGTACCGAACACCTTACATGGATGTACGCCAAGGGCGGTAAAGAAATCGCGATAGTAAGTTACCAGAGCTAGTCGTGTCACTATTTGAATATTCTCTATACATATGCAAGTCACCCTGCAACCCGTCTTTTACAGCTATATGAAATGAGCTCTATACTTTCCTTTAACCTGTGTCAGTAATGTCTGATAAGCTTAGTGTATACGTCTTAGGCAAAGTCACGGTGGTATCGAAATCTTCCATTTGACAAACGGAACATGTAGTGGTTACCCACCATACAACCGTTAGTTTAATTTCTTAAAAATAGAAGTTATCCATTTAGTTATTTTGTAGACAGCAGCAGCTGAAAACTTCTCAGAGATCGAGAGCTATGATCGACTGTCGCTGGAAGGTCAGGTAATGACCATATACAACGTGATGGCGGAGGACGAGGGAGTCTACTGGTGCAAGCACGGTGACGGCCAGGGCGGGCTCGTCATCGTGGAGGTCGTGGACAAAGAGAACTATACCGTGGTCAGTTCGCTTCACGTACATTTTTCAACATAGTTTACACTCTTGTACTTGTTTGATACAAGAAGAATAATATGATCAGGTAAAGCCAACCACGTCCCGGGGCCCTCACCCGGTGGCGATGGAGACGTACGAGGGAGTGATGGTGTTCAGCCAGTGGTCGCAGTGGAGCGAGTGCAGCGTCTGCGACAAGGTGGGCAGGAGACATCGGTACGGGGTCTGCTATGTCAACCTCGACCAAAACCTTGTGAGTAACCAAAGAAAGGATGTTTGTGCTACTTTTAAAATTTACCTTGGAATATACTTCTACTACATAACACGTAATTAAATATTTTACAAAGTATTTACCATATTTTATGCTTCAGATAGCAGACTACGTAATCGACTCTGAGAAGACGGCGGCGCGGTTCAAGCTAATGGAACTGGACGACACGCTCATTGAACTGTTTCAGGGTTCGTCACACACACCAACACCATTAAATTTGTTGCCAACACAATTATGTCTTTTAACACAACTAACTAAATATAACACCGAAATCTTCACAATTTCTAAATAATATATTTAGAGCCAAAAATGCCATTATACTAATTAAGGAATACGTTTATTTTTATAGTCAGTTAGCTACTAGGTTCTAAATAAAAGTTAAATCCTTCAGATAAGTAACATATGTGGAATAACACACAAATTCATATATTTAGCACACTATTCACTATTATCAGTGACACTGCACAAAAAATAAAAATAAAACTGTATATCAGCGAACGGCTTGCCAACTAATTTGTACAATGCAAAATGTTTTTCTTTTCTGCGCTCAAATTGGGGGAAAATCGATGTAACGGTACATTTGACTCGCCCATTATACTCGCTAATAAATAAATATAAAACTATTATCTACGTTACGTAACATTTACATAGCGTAATATATTTTCTGAACTAATTAACGTTATTTTTATGTATGTATGTTTTTAATGGCAGTAGCTGACGTGACGTCTAACACTAATCCTACTTTTTGTTTTTAAACAATCGAATCCATGTTTAATACCCTTCCAATACATCCAATGGTGTTGCCAGTAACATGAGCAATAGCTTTAACGTTTGACCACCGTCCCAGCGTTCCCCGGCGGAGTGCCGTGTCGGTCACAATACTTGCCGCGGGCCATGAAGGCGCTGGACGTCATACAACAACGACCCAGCGAAATTATGATTGCTATGTGCAAGGTGCGTGATTATGTAGGAAATTATTGCCATAACAATATAACCTTGTCTTAAATTGCGTTACGTGAAAAATTAATTTGTAATAATTCTTTTGTTCATTGCGTTTATGTCTAGGTGCCATGTGTCGAGATAAGTCCGTTTCAAAAACTCGAGAATTTGGATGAGCTATACCCGATAAACTGCCGGCTACCGAGACAGCCGCCGCCTCCCGTCAGGCAAACTATATTCGCTAACTTTGGACAACGGGTCACTCTACGGTGTCCGGGGTACGAATATTATTGATTTTCTTTCATATAAATTACCTTCAATTTATACACCCGGCTGACACTGCGTATTACCATTTAACGTCACTCAGGTTTAAGTTTTAGCGATTTATGGCTGATGTCTATCAGTTGCAATTTCTACAATGCATATTAAAGGCCGCCATGCGTATAAACGGTGGCCAAAAGACTGAAACTCCCTATATCCAAAGTAAGTCTTAAATTCCTCTGGTGCTCAGAGTGTCCACGAGCGGCGCTGATCGCTTACCAGAGAAAAAACGAAACGAAACGAGCAGACGAAGATCCGTCTGCTCGTTTGCTTCCTAGTCCATGATAAAAGAAAAAATGTTGTGGCGTATGAAAACCTGTCATAGGAGCTATAGAGCCTAGTGGAATGTCCTTAACCCTTTTTTGTGGGTGGAATCATCAAATAACTCCTCCCATCTGGGGTGAGACGGAAGAGTGTCAGATTGTTACTGAGTTTAAACAACCCCGCTAAGTCATGACCCCCGCATTGCCCCGCAGCACGACCCTGCGCGACGTGCCGATAGTGTGGCGCGTGGGCGGCGGCGCGGCGCTGGTACCGCGCCAGCTGGCGGCGGCCGGGCGCGGCGTCAGCCGGGCTCGTCATACACGCGTGCTGCACCGCGACGCAACCTGTACAGGTACCGCGCTACTGTACACGACAGTGCCGCCAGCTGGCGGCGGCGCGGCCACGTGTCCAGCCGGGACCTCTCGTCATACACGCCGTGCTGCACCGCGACCGCAACCTGTACAGGTACCGCCGCTACTGATACTACACGACAGTGCCGCCAGCTGGCGGCGGCCGGGCGCGGCCACGTGTCCAGCCGGGACCATCTCGTCATACACGCCGTGCTGCACCGCGACCGCAACCTGTACAGGTACCGCCGCTACTGATACTACACGACAGTGCCGCCAGCTGGCGGCGGCCGGGCGCGGCCACGTGTCCAGCCGGGACCATCTCGTCATACACGCCGTGCTGCACCGCGACCGCAACCTGTACAGGTACCGCCGCTACTGATACTACACGACAGTGCCGCCAGCTGGCGGCGGCCGGGCGCGGCCACGTGTCCAGCCGGGACCATCTCGTCATACACGCCGTGCTGCACCGCGACCGCAACCTGTACAGGTACCGCCGCTACTGATACTACACGACAGTGCCGCCAGCTGGCGGCGGCCGGGCGCGGCCACGTGTCCAGCCGGGACCATCTCGTCATACACGCCGTGCTGCACCGCGACCGCAACCTGTACAGGTACCGCCGCTACTGATACTACACGACAGTGCCGCCAGCTGGCGGCGGCCGGGCGCGGCCACGTGTCCAGCCGGGACCATCTCGTCATACACGCCGTGCTGCACCGCGACCGCAACCTGTACAGGTACCGCCGCTACTGATACTACACGACAGTGCCGCCAGCTGGCGGCGGCCGGGCGCGGCCACGTGTCCAGCCGGGACCATCTCGTCATACACGCCGTGCTGCACCGCGACCGCAACCTGTACAGGTACCGCCGCTACTGATACTACACGACAGTGCCGCCAGCTGGCGGCGGCCGGGCGCGGCCACGTGTCCAGCCGGGACCATCTCGTCATACACGCCGTGCTGCACCGCGACCGCAACCTGTACAGGTACCGCCGCTACTGATACTACACGACAGTGCCGCCAGCTGGCGGCGGCCGGGCGCGGCCACGTGTCCAGCCGGGACCATCTCGTCATACACGCCGTGCTGCACCGCGACCGCAACCTGTACAGGTACCGCCGCTACTGATACTACACGACAGTGCCGCCAGCTGGCGGCGGCCGGGCGCGGCCACGTGTCCAGCCGGGACCATCTCGTCATACACGCCGTGCTGCACCGCGACCGCAACCTGTACAGGTACCGCCGCTACTGATACTACACGACAGTGCCGCCAGCTGGCGGCGGCCGGGCGCGGCCACGTGTCCAGCCGGGACCATCTCGTCATACACGCCGTGCTGCACCGCGACCGCAACCTGTACAGGTACCGCCGCTACTGATATACACGACAGTGCCGCCAGCTGGCGGCGGCCGGGCGCGGCCACGTGTCCAGCCGGGACCATCTCGTCATACACGCCGTGCTGCACCGCGACCGCAACCTGTACAGGTACCGCCGCTACTGATACTACACGACAGTGCCGCCAGCTGGCGGCGGCCGGGCGCGGCCACGTGTCCAGCCGGGACCATCTCGTCATACACGCCGTGCTGCACCGCGACCGCAACCTGTACAGGTACCGCCGCTACTGATACTACACGACAGTGCCGCCAGCTGGCGGCGGCCGGGCGCGGCCACGTGTCCAGCCGGGACCATCTCGTCATACACGCCGTGCTGCACCGCGACCGCAACCTGTACAGGTACCGCCGCTACTGATACTACACGACAGTGCCGCCAGCTGGCGGCGGCCGGGCGCGGCCACGTGTCCAGCCGGGACCATCTCGTCATACACGCCGTGCTGCACCGCGACCGCAACCTGTACAGGTACCGCCGCTACTGATACTACACGACAGTGCCGCCAGCTGGCGGCGGCCGGGCGCGGCCACGTGTCCAGCCGGGACCATCTCGTCATACACGCCGTGCTGCACCGCGACCGCAACCTGTACAGGTACCGCCGCTACTGATACTACACGACAGTGCCGCCAGCTGGCGGCGGCCGGGCGCGGCCACGTGTCCAGCCGGGACCATCTCGTCATACACGCCGTGCTGCACCGCGACCGCAACCTGTACAGGTACCGCCGCTACTGATACTACACGACAGTGCCGCCAGCTGGCGGCGGCCGGGCGCGGCCACGTGTCCAGCCGGGACCATCTCGTCATACACGCCGTGCTGCACCGCGACCGCAACCTGTACAGGTACCGCCGCTACTGATACTACACGACAGTGCCGCCAGCTGGCGGCGGCCGGGCGCGGCCACGTGTCCAGCCGGGACCATCTCGTCATACACGCCGTGCTGCACCGCGACCGCAACCTGTACAGGTACCGCCGCTACTGATACTACACGACAGTGCCGCCAGCTGGCGGCGGCCGGGCGCGGCCACGTGTCCAGCCGGGACCATCTCGTCATACACGCCGTGCTGCACCGCGACCGCAACCTGTACAGGTACCGCCGCTACTGATACTACACGACAGTGCCGCCAGCTGGCGGCGGCCGGGCGCGGCCACGTGTCCAGCCGGGACCATCTCGTCATACACGCCGTGCTGCACCGCGACCGCAACCTGTACAGGTACCGCCGCTACTGATACTACACGACAGTGCCGCCAGCTGGCGGCGGCCGGGCGCGGCCACGTGTCCAGCCGGGACCATCTCGTCATACACGCCGTGCTGCACCGCGACCGCAACCTGTACAGGTACCGCCGCTACTGATACTACACGACAGTGCCGCCAGCTGGCGGCGGCCGGGCGCGGCCACGTGTCCAGCCGGGACCATCTCGTCATACACGCCGTGCTGCACCGCGACCGCAACCTGTACAGGTACCGCCGCTACTGATACTACACGACAGTGCCGCCAGCTGGCGGCGGCCGGGCGCGGCCACGTGTCCAGCCGGGACCATCTCGTCATACACGCCGTGCTGCACCGCGACCGCAACCTGTACAGGTACCGCCGCTACTGATACTACACGACAGTGCCGCCAGCTGGCGGCGGCCGGGCGCGGCCACGTGTCCAGCCGGGACCATCTCGTCATACACGCCGTGCTGCACCGCGACCGCAACCTGTACAGGTACCGCCGCTACTGATACTACACGACAGTGCCGCCAGCTGGCGGCGGCCGGGCGCGGCCACGTGTCCAGCCGGGACCATCTCGTCATACACGCCGTGCTGCACCGCGACCGCAACCTGTACAGGTACCGCCGCTACTGATACTACACGACAGTGCCGCCAGCTGGCGGCGGCCGGGCGCGGCCACGTGTCCAGCCGGGACCATCTCGTCATACACGCCGTGCTGCACCGCGACCGCAACCTGTACAGGTACCGCCGCTACTGATACTACACGACAGTGCCGCCAGCTGGCGGCGGCCGGGCGCGGCCACGTGTCCAGCCGGGACCATCTCGTCATACACGCCGTGCTGCACCGCGACCGCAACCTGTACAGGTACCGCCGCTACTGATACTACACGACAGTGCCGCCAGCTGGCGGCGGCCGGGCGCGGCCACGTGTCCAGCCGGGACCATCTCGTCATACACGCCGTGCTGCACCGCGACCGCAACCTGTACAGGTACCGCCGCTACTGATACTACACGACAGTGCCGCCAGCTGGCGGCGGCCGGGCGCGGCCACGTGTCCAGCCGGGACCATCTCGTCATACACGCCGTGCTGCACCGCGACCGCAACCTGTACAGGTACCGCCGCTACTGATACTACACGACAGTGCCGCCAGCTGGCGGCGGCCGGGCGCGGCCACGTGTCCAGCCGGGACCATCTCGTCATACACGCCGTGCTGCACCGCGACCGCAACCTGTACAGGTACCGCCGCTACTGATACTACACGACAGTGCCGCCAGCTGGCGGCGGCCGGGCGCGGCCACGTGTCCAGCCGGGACCATCTCGTCATACACGCCGTGCTGCACCGCGACCGCAACCTGTACAGGTACCGCCGCTACTGATACTACACGACAGTGCCGCCAGCTGGCGGCGGCCGGGCGCGGCCACGTGTCCAGCCGGGACCATCTCGTCATACACGCCGTGCTGCACCGCGACCGCAACCTGTACAGGTACCGCCGCTACTGATACTACACGACAGTGCCGCCAGCTGGCGGCGGCCGGGCGCGGCCACGTGTCCAGCCGGGACCATCTCGTCATACACGCCGTGCTGCACCGCGACCGCAACCTGTACAGGTACCGCCGCTACTGATACTACACGACAGTGCCGCCAGCTGGCGGCGGCCGGGCGCGGCCACGTGTCCAGCCGGGACCATCTCGTCATACACGCCGTGCTGCACCGCGACCGCAACCTGTACAGGTACCGCCTACTGATACTACACGACAGTGCCGCCAGCTGGCGGCGGCCGGGCGCGGCCACGTGTCCAGCCGGGACCATCTCGTCATACACGCCGTGCTGCACCGCGACCGCAACCTGTACAGGTACCGCCGCTACTGATACTACACGACAGTGCCGCCAGCTGGCGGCGGCCGGGCGCGGCCACGTGTCCAGCCGGGACCATCTCGTCATACACGCCGTGCTGCACCGCGACCGCAACCTGTACAGGTACCGCCGCTACTGATACTACACGACAGTGCCGCCAGCTGGCGGCGGCCGGGCGCGGCCACGTGTCCAGCCGGGACCATCTCGTCATACACGCCGTGCTGCACCGCGACCGCAACCTGTACAGGTACCGCCGCTACTGATACTACACGACAGTGCCGCCAGCTGGCGGCGGCCGGGCGCGGCCACGTGTCCAGCCGGGACCATCTCGTCATACACGCCGTGCTGCACCGCGACCGCAACCTGTACAGGTACCGCCGCTACTGATACTACACGACAGTGCCGCCAGCTGGCGGCGGCCGGGCGCGGCCACGTGTCCAGCCGGGACCATCTCGTCATACACGCCGTGCTGCACCGCGACCGCAACCTGTACAGGTACCGCCGCCCGGTATGATCTGAAACTACGACCCACTACCGAGAAATGGAATGCAATATATTGTAAGTTCTTATTTACGGAGACGCACCGCACGACGACACTTTCTGTGACTGAACTGCAACCTTTAGGTATATTATCGAGCGACCGCAGTTGAATACAAAGATCTGAAAATTCAAGTTCAATAGTAGTTTGTCATTAGAGAGGATGTCTAAGCTGCAGCGGCTGTATAGGGGCTGATACTGACAACTAAAACACTAAAACCTTCCAAAGTTCTTTATACACACTTTCACGTACTTCATCTTATTTTTGAGATAGAATAAGATAGGAAAGCAAGTATCAAAAGTAGATATTTTTAACTGAAATCGAGTATAGTAGAGTGTACGATATAGTTGCTGGCAGCGCGACAAGTTGGCGGGCACGGTGAAGCTGGTGGTGTGGACGGGCTGGCAGCGCCACGCGGGGCTCCTGCTGGCCGTGCTCGGCGCCGCCGGCCTGCTGCACCTGGCGCAGCGGGGGAACCACGCGCTCTACCACATACACTAGGGGGGGGGGGGACACGACCTCAATGAACTGTTCTGTCGCTGACGCTCGCGTAGCTTGTCACGTATCAAGCCGCGAATTGCGAATCATGAATGTAGATGTTGTTCGCGCTTTGCATTCGCGCTTCGTGCCGTTCCCCGGTCAGTCAGATCAGTCGGTATTCTGCAGCGCGCGAACGTGAACGCATCCACAATCGCAGCACTCGTTTTATTATTGTTGTTTAAATATGAATGTCAGTTGCGTCACGCCGGCGACGAGTAGAGTACTCACGGGCAGCGCGGGCGGCGGCAGCATGTTGCGGTCGAGCTGCGCGGGCGGCGGCGTGCCCCGCGCGGCGCGGCCCAGCAGCCACATGGCCAGCGCGAACTGCCCGCTCGACAGCTTGCCCGCGCCCTCCGTGTCGCACAGCGCCCTGCAACACGCAAACATCTCACCACACGAGCCACCCATTCGGAGGCACAGAGACTGCTTCTGCGAGCTTCGGACGAACCAAATGGCAAATTCGTTGGAAGCACATATTACAACGCATTTATTGGTGGACAAAGGACGACTGACCATATGTGCGCCAGCGTCTGCTGCGGCAGGCCGGAGTCGAGGAACACGTGCTTGATCTCTGCGCCGGACACGAACCCGTCCCGGTCCGTGTCGGCGGCCGCGAACTGCGCGTCGAACACGGCGCGCTCGGCGTCCGTCACCACCCACGTCGCGCCCGCGCTGCCCGCGCTGCCCACGCTGTTGACGCTGCCCACGCTGCCCAGACTCACACCGCTGCCCATCGCGCCTAAGCTGGTCAGCGAAGGCGCCGTCTGTGTGGGAGGCTGCCCAAACAAAAAATTAACATTGTAAAACTGAAAGTATGAATTAATATTCCTATTTAGCTATCTCCTTTTAGCCACCAAATTAAATAAATGTTGCTTCTGTGATACATTTCTTAATCGTGTAACTTGTAAAACTTAAAGAAATGATTATTTGTACTCACACTAGACAAGTCGAGTAGGCCCTCTAACAACGAAGCATTAGACTGTGGCTGTTGAGGTGGTGGGGGCTGTGGGCGAGGGGGCGGGGGCCGGGACTGAGGGGACGGGGGGCGCGACGGGGGCCGCGAGGGGGGCCGGGACGGGGGGCGCGAGGGGGGCCGCGCCGGCCGCGCCCCCGCGCGCAGCTCGGGCGGCAGGCTCGTCGGCACCGCGTGCTTCTCCAGCGCCTTGTACACCAGGTGCATCGCCTGCAACACAACGCATTGTTACGGACACTCGTGGAATTACACTCTCAATATGGCATTGGCAGAATAATACGTACCACCATGAACTCGTGTCTGTCGAGCATGCCGTCCTTGTCCTGGTCGGCGAGGTCCCAGATCTTGCCCAGCGTATCTATTGGAAGTTTCGACTCCAACAACATGCCTTTCACCTGGAATATTCACAATCACTCTAAAAATTTTACTTCAGTTCACTAATATACACTTTTGAAAGTTCAAAGTATTTTTTCCGTCAGTCGGTCATTTCATGATATTGCTTGAGCAATTGTATGCAAGAATATTAACCGTTCAGGGTAGCTTGATGTGCCGATTTGGAGGTCATTAGGGGAAAGAGGGGGAGTCATTATAACCTATGTTCAGGAGTGACCTGGTGAATATCTTAAAGCTGATAATAATATGATAATTATGACGTGCCGGTATCTGTTAAGCCGCGTGTAAGTGTCCGGTAGTACCTTGTTCCCGGCAATGAGTCCGTTGTTAGGCTGCAGCGAGTCGAAGAGCTGGCTGTACTTGTCTCGCTCGGCGGGCTTCATGCTCCAGTCGCTCAGCGGCACCAGCGGCGCGGGCGACGGCGCCGCCGGCCGCCCCGGCGCTACGCTCGGCGGCACCTTCGGGAGCTCGCCCTGTACAAACGACAAATAAAATACATTGAAAATTGAAATAAAAATTCAGGCCACGAAACTGAACATCTTATGTTCTAGTTACAATACTAAAGAAAATTTAACATACTAATTGATAAGATTTGAAAGTCAACTTGTATGAAATACAAAAATAAAATTTCCTTAACCTCTGAAATATGAATACAAAAGTTGTTCAATGCCTTGGAACCAGCGCATGAAAGACGTCGTTTTTACTCTGCTACATTTTGTACATGACCTAGGTACAATATCTTCAAAAACGTAAATGATACAGTAGTACACAGAAAATGATTATAAATTGTCATTATCTCGTATTTGTACACGAACAATAAAACCTGAACAAATACACAAACGAATATTTTTGGAAGTGTTAACATCTCATCAAAGAATTACCTACTCGTGTAACTGTTGCTGTACATAGGTATACAGCCAAGTTACTGATGTGTTTAATGTATTACATTAAATATATTCATATCATACACTAGCCACTTCCGCGCGCTTACACCCGCTCTGCTCGGCGCCTATTGATCATAGCGTGATCTTTCATAGCCTTTAGCATTCCTTGATAAATGCACTATCCAACACAAAAAGAATTATTCAAATCGGAACAGTAGTTTCCGAGATTAGCGCGTTGCAATTTTAAGATTAATATTACATTGCTAAACATTAGATTTTCTCCTGTGACGTAATGCACACATCACCCATATTTTTGGCTCATGCAGAATTATTACTTACGGGATGGGAACAAAACCTTTTGGCCGTATAGCTTAAGCCTAAGTACAGGATAATTGTCTGAAAATTATTTTCTCAAAAATAATACGATTCATTTATTACTTTGAAATGAACTCACAACTTTAGGTGGTGGTGCCTCGGAGTGTATGTTGCTCATGTTGATGTCCTTGCCGGCCTGCGCCAGCGCCACCAGCTTCAACGCCACGAACAGTCCTGCCTGCAACAACAGACAAACATAGCTTAATGTTATGTTACTAACTCTATAATTATCACATTCGAGCATAAAATCACTTCTAATTATTAGGATGACCTGTTTGCTCCATTAATAGAAATTACAGGTAAACAGAAATGTTTTATACTAATAATACTTGTTGGAAACCGTAATTATGTTAAATATTGGATCCTTTATCATATGGAACTGTTATAAAATTCGTATTGTATAATGTGGGACGCCTTTGTACAGTGGGATATCTATCTATCTCATCATTTATTTCTCTTTAACTTATGAGGTAATCAGTAAGTGCTAATATCGAAAACATAGACTTGACGAATAAAAAAGGAAGCAAGAAATTCCATAACTAACAATTAAAGACTTCTATAAAAATCTAACATACATAGCAGAAGGTTGATAGATTTTTTTTCATCAATATACAAGAATAAAAAATTAATCATTTATATACATATAAATTGACAGCTGGGGTACTGCTGTCCTTTAAAAATATAGTTTAGTAGTACTAAAAAAGCCTTCGAAGTAGATAAAGGTCGCGGTGGTGTCAGTGGTCACCTAAAATAGCGACGGACTCGGAATGAAAGTCTATTCTAGTCCGGTGTATTTTCTAATTAAATGCCAACCATTTCTATGTCATGACCTTAAACCCTTGCTACAATTTGGAAGCACATTTGATTTTAGACTTCATAATAATTCAAATAAAAAAGCTAAGTGTTTGCAAAGTAAGCGGAAATATCGTTATGTATTTACAAATAGGGGCAGATCACCGACACGTAAGCATTGGTAATCACGACACGTGCGGCACTAATGGTTTGCTATCACTGCAGCTGCCATTAATTAGCGAGCGAGAGACACACACCTTCACAAACAAACTTATTCACGCATCACTTATGTAACGATTCACAATGAAGGAGACTGCACGGAGTGTGGCGGCACTGGTGGGCCATCGTCACATCGGCCCGAGTACACACGAGCACGACTGAGCTGATAACGCACTATCGTTACATTTGTAATTAAATACATCCTCCGCATTGCTCCGCGTCAATGTTTGATGTTTCGTCATTCAGGCTTTAACATTTTTTATGATAACAAGATACAGTTATATCTTGTTTTTCAAGATGAAATTCAAGAACAACAAACTTGTAAAACATTATATTTCAATGTTATTTTACAGTCACTACAATTGCCTCGTTGGCCGAGTGGTCGTAAGTGCGACTGCCGGGCAAGGGGTCTCGGGTTCGATTCTCGGGTCGGGCAAAGTATTACTGGGTTTTTTAATATTCTCAGTAGTAGCACGGAGTCTGGAATTGTGTCCGGTATTTGGCAATAGGCTCACCACCTATTACATGGGACTCATAACATAAATAGTGAAAAGTGGGTGTTACTTTATACAGTGGTATAATGTGCATCTCTGCCTACCCCTTCGGGGATAAAAGGCGTGATGTTATGTATGTTATGTTACTCACTACAATTTTACATAGAATCGTGTTTAGATAACGTGCCGCACAATTTACACCGACACCTAACATTTTTACTGCAAATCGAAACCGTTACCCTTGACTGAAATTAGAGGCCGATTTAAAGAGAAATCGTAAATAATACGTCCACTATAATCTAAACATACAGCGCAGACAAAACCACTGAAAGTGAACAGTTCAAACATGACACACGTCTTACATGTGGCTACAAAGAGCCTCGCGCCAGAGGGCATATCCTTAAAACAGGACGGTGTCTGCAAAGGTAAAGACGGACCGTAAGCCAGATAAAGGCACATTGCGGATAAAAGAATATCGCACACTAAGTAAAGACCAGCCACTACACAACTTTTTTACGAAAGCACTTTGAAGATGAGGCTTAAGATCTCTTTTTGTTCTAAAACAACGGATTATGTTGGGTACTTATAATGTAACCAGTGCTCCATTACAAAGGCTTGAACCCTCGACCTTTCGATCGCCATTAGTCGTTGGACTACTGCGACCTTCGCTTGTGGGTGACTTTCGCGATTCCGTGACCAAGTTACTTTTCATATTATATAAGTTATTGTTAATCCTACGGAAAGGCAGAAATGGAAACTGACTATTGTAGTTTAAATAGGTATCAAATTGCCTGCAGCATATTTCCGCAAGGTTTACGAACTAAATAATATATGTTAGGTAGGTAATAAACCAGTGTCCTGGTTTACACAGTGCCAACAGTTTTGTGTTCATTCCACTGTGTAACGTATCAGATACTCTTATTTAATCCGATGTTTGGAATAATTGGTTACCCTTCTAATTATGTTATAAAAAAAGCCATTTAATCATTAATTGCGAGTCTCTTTTCTATTTTCATTTTAGTTTTCATGTTAAATAAAAGATAACCGTCATGGAACAATGTTGGTATTGTAACAAATATTCAGTAAATGTGGCTGTATACGTTACGCCTGCCAGTAATTACTAACGCCTGTCCTGGGAGTACGTAGAGTGCAATGTTATGTCCGCGCGTACACTGTACCCACTTGGGAACAAACTGTAGGTACAACTTTTGATAAAGAGTGACAGCAATACCACGAGAGTTTCGAGTCTAAGTAAGCCGAAAGAGATTCCTGAAAGGTGTTTGAGAACTACACATTTTGGGAATTTAAGAAAATATTTCATTTTATTAGTACCATTTCAGGGTATTTATTAACTACTACATGACTTTATAGATATATAAAAACTTGATTATCGTGTCTTTTCAGTACGTGTGGCTTCTATTTTCGCTCAAATAGCTTGTACAAGAAAGTAGCTTTAACTAGCAAACTTTGAAACAATATTTACGTTTCACTGCGCCCGGTCGCATGGTGTCATGGCATCAAAAGAAGTTCCTCCTCTACAAGGAATGACCTAAATCCTGCTAGACTCATAAACAAAGAATCTTGTCATCGTGTAAACTACTGAATAATGAATAAGATGCAATAAGTTTACGTATACACCAGTCCAATGTTATCCAACAAAGTGAATCGAATATTAGGTTTTGGTTATTGAGATCTGCCTTCATAGATTATGCATAATGATTACCTACTGATATTTTTAAATTAGCTTATTGCTGCTTACTCAAGTATTTGTTCATAATCTAAAAACTATTGACTGAAATGTGAGAATAGATGTGCAAAATTTGTAAAAAGTTTGTGCAGATTGATTTTATCAGTCCAACATTAAATAAATTCTCAACTCAACTAACAACCTAGTACTTATAGTTATAATTATAATAGACGGGTTTATGGTAACTTAAAACTTTGAATTGTCCTAATGAAAGTGTTGCCTTATAAATAACCCAGCGTTGTAAATTACAAAGGAAACAGGATCTTTCTTCTATCAAGATAACACAGATCTAACGCTCGAATACTGAAAGGCTCCTCAATTTTAAGTTGTACTTAAATATCGTGCCATCTCTGTCATTTTACAATGAATTTGTAGTGACAGAACTTTTGTTTCAGTATTCGGGCATAACTACGCAGATCAAAGAATACGGATTTGTCGAAACACATTGCTTACCTATGTTGTACTGTAATTGTAGTGTTTATTTACTATTAAACAAACACCTATAACTTGCAAACGACCTAGGTGACTAAAGTGAGCAGGCAGGTGCCGTTTAACGTTTAAAATTGTCTATGCAAAATGACCATCGGATTTTTATAAATGAAATACCATATAGTATCCAGTATTTCATATAAATGTGACTTCAGCACAGACTAGTCTAATAGTCTAGACAGTTGCGTAACCCTAGACTGCGCCAAGTTGACTAAAGTGCTGCGAGGCGGGCACACTGCCTATAAACTTAATACCCGGGCATTTAGCACTTATGACGCCATCTCAGATCCCTGAAAACTGCCCAACTTAACCGCAATAAAAAATGGTCCAATTTTCGGGAATAACTTTAATCGTGTCGTTATAAAGTAACTAAAGACCTCTTAAAGAAAATCTTGTTTCTTGAAACCAAGCCATAAAATGCATGGTTCCGTCACTTATAAGGAAAAGTCTTTAACCCATTTAGGCCCGCCGTCCCCATATGGGGACAGGTTTTCTTTTACCCGCTGGTTATTAATTATTTTAGCTATCTTCACATTTCATGGGTATTTATAATGAGGAGTAGTGTACTTTCCTAAAATTAATAGAAGTTTTGACAAATTGCTACAAAAAAGGGGTCATATTGTCAATTTTATCAAGAGGAAGTGAAATGGGAATTATTGTTAAAAGCAGAGGCGTTTTGTAGTACGTTATTATGAAGATTTATAAAACTTTTTTGTGATTATTGCTTGCTTATAGTGTCAATTAAAACAATATTGAAGAATATCCTTATACTTTCAATTCCGCTTAGGGGAAAGTTAGAAAAAATGATGGTGTCCCCGTATGGGGACAATGGGCACATCTGTAGTATATTTTTAAAACATTTATACCTGATTTGTATTTTGTTTTCCAATTTATAAAGGTCACCTATAGGCTAAACTTAGTTATAGCTAATACTTGGTGACAACAGACGCTATTTCACGAAGAGCATCACCAATTCCGCCATATCTTTACGCGTTCATATTCTAAAATCTGATAGGCATCAAGACCGAAGATGCAAAAGTCCACCTACAGTACCAGGCGTCGCATCCGATATCAGAATTCAGCAGTAGGGGCATTTCCTCCAGCTGTATTCTGGTGTCGTCACAGCGAAGTCCACCCAGAGGATAGAGTAGCATTATGCCCTATATACGTTGACCACCGCCGTGTCTTCAGGGAAGTGATCGATGACGATAATCTTCCACGTCCAGCTTAGGTTCTGGCTGTGGTGCGGAGCGAGGGGAACTGGAATACATCTCTTTCTGCGAAGCAGTCATAGTAGCAAGAACAGATCGCCACCCAGAACCAGACCTGTACCTGTAAGGTGCGTGGCGTTACGCGCGTGCTTCAAAGTGCAGATCAGACCGCCTTAGATCGAGATGGCTCAGTGGGACAGATGCCCGACTACTATGAATAACCTAGTGGGTCACCGGGGCTTCGGCTTGAAGCAGAATTAGGAACGTTGTTGGTTAGCCAGTAAGAGTCCCCCAGGTGGAAAACGCAATGCATGATTTTTACCCTCAAAAAAAATATAGGAGCGTCACATCAAATTGATTTAGACATTTTCCGCAGAGATTTAGTTAATATCTGTTACGATACGCAGTTCGTCATAAAAAAACTGTGATATCAATGCAAATAATGCGTTAGAACCTTATGTGTCAAAAACAGTTACTACTTCGAAAAGTACTACACATGAGCCCGTTGTCCCCAATCAAGGACGGCATTTTTTTTAATACTTCTAAAAATATTTTTTGAATTTTTTTTGCTTATATTAGTTTGTGGGCGTCATATCATTGAGTTAATAAAGTTTTTTTTATTAAATTATGTGTAGTTTGCATTTGGTCCCAAATGGGTTAATGCTACACTTTAATTCTTTAAATGTGCTAAAAACATGGCCATGATTTCCTTATCCGATAATGTTAATTAATTCCACTTTTCGTAATGAGCCAGAAGCAAACCATTTGTTGATACCTTGTCTGCTATTTTATATTATTTCACTAAAATTAACTTTTCATCAATAATCCAAAAATAGTAATTTCGTCGTTTTTGTGACATAAAGCCTAAACGCGGAAATAGTTATTTGGTAACCAAATCTAAGAAGCCCCAGTAATGTTAAAGGCCACTGAATACTGACACCAGACCAGGGTGCTTACTCTTGAAACCAATCTCAATGTCAATGTAATTTCAATCCAATAAAATCTCGATAATCATTCAATGTCAACACTATACAACTCCTATCGTAGCTGTTAAAATAGCAATCAGAGTACGGAATATAAAGCCAAACTCAATAAATACCATTTAGTTCATTAAATATCCACGCAATACGGATGCAATGGGCGCTATAGTTGCAACTCAAGAGTACGAAGTTTTACAATTCCGATGTCGATCGAATTTGGATTCAAGAGTAAGCCCCCTGAGGCATCAATTTACGAAATGTCAATGACTTTAAAGATTCACTTTCAAATAGAAATATCCTAGTACCTGGACATCTCAGGCGTCTGATAAGATAACAGCACTATCAGTATGATTGACACATCTTGTTGTATCATGCATATGTTACACTAAACATTTAAATATCTTTGTCTCAATTCTAGCCATAAGAGTATATCTTTGTCTCAATTCTAGCCATAAGAGTATGATATTTTATTACTTTGTTTGATACTCTTCAATATTTTAGTGCCAAATAACTGAATGAGTTGAGTAAAATTCTATAAACCGGTATAAAAACGTTCTTACTGCTCCAACTATTAACCTTTTCTTTTTGATGATTCCTATTCTCCCACTAATAAATAAACACTGCTAAGCCATTTATTTACATTCAGTCATCTATTCAATAAAGAATAGATGAATGGTTTCTAATTTCTTGTGCTGTCATGGTGGCTCGGAGGTTTAAGACGCCCGCTTCTCATGCATTAGAGTGCGGGTTCGAAACCTATCAATGGCAAGAACCACTGAGTTTTTCCGAGTTATATGTACTTTCTAAGATGAATCTTAGAAACTCGGAAACAACAATCTAGGCTTGAACAAATGTGGTGGAAAAAAGGCCTTTGGTGAGCAGTGGCCACTATTGACGATGATGATAATCTAATGCCTCAGCCAAACTTCTATGAGTACTTTTTATCTTGCATTAAAATAATTTGATTTTGATAAAAAAAAATTACAGAGGTGAGTCACAAACGTTTTATGTTAATGAACTTTGATGGAATGTTTAATTCCACTTGGTATAGTAATTGCTAATTAGAATTACCAATTGCAAAATGGATCCCTTTTTTTTTTTTTTTTTTAAGGGGGGAAAATCATCGAATGACTGCTCCCGCCTGGGTGAGGCGGAAGGGAGTGTCAGACTCTTACTGACTAAAAACCACCCCGTTCCTTCTCCTGCACGTCGAGCCGGAGCCCCGGTTACCCGTTAGGTTCTCCGCGACATGTTTTTAATGTATAGGAGTACAACTTCTATAGGGTAGCTGACAAATGTACATCCCTAAACTATTTAGATATAGTTAATTAATTAAACACATTAATCATTCTAATTGTCCATTATCCTTTTCCGCTTTATAATTGGTGTCAATGACAAACTTAGTATGTCCATTTATTTTCATAAACAGCCTGTCTCATAAACCTATCTGAGGTGTAGAACACTTTTCATTTGGAGCTAATATTATTGAGACTGGATGTTAATCTATGAACAATGTAAAATTATCTTCACTATTAATTTGTGGCAATAAAATAAAACTGATATCAGTCAATATAATTATGAAGGATGATAAGCTTACTACTGTTAGATACATACATGATTCATAGTTATTAACTTACTTTATCAAGGTACCCCTTGCCGGTGGGGTCGGACAGGTCCCATATCTTGCTAAGTACCACATCGCTGAGCCGGGACTTTTTGAGAAAACGAGCTGCATCCAATGCTTGGATTGTGCCTGCGCCATTGGGGTCCACCTGTAATATTAATAAAGTATTATAATAATCACAACACATATTATGTCATATTTCCTAGTAATGTATAGCCCAGTTCCCATATTATGCAACTTGAATGGGACAACTGGACCAGTATAGTACCATCCTGTCATAATACCAGCACGAAGTAACTACAAAAAGTTGTCATGTTTTGTTTGATAATGACTGAACATGTAAGAAACTAATTTGTTTTATAACTGGTTAATATTGGCTATGGTGACTGCTTACCATCATAATTATGTAACTCAAGTATTGTTGGAATCAGTTGTAGCATAAAAACAAATCCTACCAGTTTCGTAAGTAGAATTCAATACCATTAATAACCAAGTAAATAATTACAATGAAGATTTTGAATAAAGTTTCCAAAGAACATCAGTTATCATATTTCATGTTAGATAGGTACTAACATTTTATAGAAATTTGTGAAAGCTTAATAATATTGTACAACCAGGTGGCAAGCTGCCAAACCATTGCAAGAGCTTGTGAATAAACCTTTAGCATATCACAGAAATACTTAGCTTTTAGCATAAAAAGAATAGATGAATATTTGAATAATTGAACCCAATTAGAATCAATTAGAATATTATATTGATAATGATATTATTAGTATGTTATGATATGTGTAGAAGATCTCAAATCATGGAAATAGAAATAACAATATTTTCATAATTTTTATAATGTGTTGACATTAACATTAATATTTTCCCAACTATTGTATGCCTAAGGGCAGGACACAGCTGAACTCAACCAAATTATGATAACAACTGTATTGTGTACCCACCTGTTATCAACAATGAATAAATGAATTTGAATTGGAATTCTATTCAATTAAATTAAATGGACAATAAATAAGTGTGTAGTCCAAACTGCACATATTAAATTGAATACAGAAATAGAATATTATATGCATTTGTTAGTCTATACCTTTAATTTCAACTACTATTTACCAGATTTGATTCCTGGGTAATTTAGTGTCTGGTTAATTATAATTGGGACTTATCCAGATTAAAAAATAATTGTGCTCAGATCTTTCTGAGCCTCTTGGCTTATATCATAAGTAGTGTAGTAAAGTTTGTGAATTTTGCTGATATCATATTTTGATAGCTCAGGACATTGTGAAAGAAATTTCAAGATCATTCCTATAAAATCACCAAATAATCATTTGCTATTAGCCTTTCATATACTAAATAAACCTGAATCTTAATGGACAATTTTAACATTTGTTAACAGAATGTTCATGCTTAGAGCATTAAGCAACAAATATTGATACACTTTTGAAAGAGACTAAGCAGCTTATCATCTTTTGCTATTCCAGTTTGAAGAAACTGTTATTTAAGACTAAAGATATAGAACACAAAACAATGATGACAATGATTAAATAGAAGAGAATAATCTAATTAAGCTGTCTCCAGGATTCATCAAGTAATAAAAACATTTTACCAATATACAACCACCCATAGTAAAAGAACAAGCAAAATTATTGATTGCAATTACTCACAACCCAAATCTAACTATAGTCTTTACTCACTAAGAAATAAGAGTTACTTTCCATTCAATACTTTGATTTGTCCCATTAGACATTGGCCTAGAACTTCATTTTACTGAACAATTTAAATTAAAAGCAGTATACAAACAATATTATCTAAGTGTTAATGTTCGTAATCATACAATAATTGTATTGAAACATAGTAATTAAGTTAATTATTTAAATTAACAAGTGGAAACAGTGTTTAGTACTTACCTGGTGATAATATGCTTCGTATATAGCGCTGTGGGTCCCTGCCACCTGCAACCGTTCAAACCCCATTTTCATAACGTAATATCACTACAAAATAATGAGTTAGAACCTTATTTTGAACGGCTATGGGTGTGACATTTCAATACTCCTCGCGACGTTTCCAACTTTCGCGAAACGGATACGATTACGTGGTCTTATAACACAATACATCCAAAAAATTGACAGGAAACACTAATTATAAACTTTACTTAGCAATTTGAAAACAACTACTGTGTAGAACAGATAGATAAACTAAAGATATTCTATAATTTTTGAGCAGCGTAATCCGTTCACGGTACACTAAACTTTAACTTCAGATATTTCTATGTTTTCACATTGGATTTTGGATGTCAAATTTGCACTGCACCAAATTATAGTCACATTAATAAACTGTTCTTTAAAATGTTATACTATATCATTTTAGCCTTATGAACTACTCAAATCGCAAATAATTCTACCTGAGTAGGAGAAGGCAAGGCAGCCATTTTTTACATCTCCTCGTCGACCAATCAATAAGCGGCCATAGACTAAAGAAATTTTGACATAACCGGTGCCAATGATGGGAAATGTCTAAAAAGTGGTGTAAAAAGTTTAAAATGTAACTTTATTTGTCTATGGTTTAAATCATAACACAACTTTACTTTGATTGCGGATTTCCAATACAAGTACGATAAAAACCAATTTCATGAGAATGTATTAGTATTACTTTCAACATTCGGTATTACGTTTACAACTACAATTCCGTATTCGAATTATGACTGTGATATAGATGATGATGCTAAAAATGCTTAAATAAAAAACTTCATTTGCATTCATTCATTTATTTCTACGAAACAACTGCCAGCACAACATCATCAATTCACTTGTGTGTTACTGGTTTTTACAGCATCTACAAAGACTTGTAAGCGTTTTAAGCCTCGCGTATTTATTTCAAAACAAGGAAGATTTCTTAATTCTCTCATCCACTCCTTCAAGCGTTGGTGTCGTTCCAGAAGAGGAATCAATATTTCAAGAGAACTTATAGTAGTCCCGCAACAAATGTCACAAAGGCGTATCTGTAATATTACAAAAATGCGTAAACAATCTTTTTGAATGTTAATTTTATTCCCTATGTCAAAGAATCCAATAAAGTAAGAAAGATCGAGTAGCTAAATCTCACCTTATCTCCAGTTAGCCACTTCTGTTTATCTAAAACGAGCTCACAATGGTCCAAAGCGGAATACCACTTATTGATCAATACTTCGTTAGCTGGCCATTTACCGGCAAAAAAGTCACTCTGAAAACATCATTTATGTTTTAGGTGGTATTAGATAATTTATTTATTCAATAGGTCAAGCTTGAAGTGATCACTGACTCTGAATACAAAACATTTAAACAATAAAATTAACATTTTTCTTACAAATATAGCACTGTCAATTGGAAACAGTATGCCAGCATCAAAGTAAAGCCATTCATCTATTTTGGCTTTAAGAATGATATCATCAGGGTACAGCTCTTGGTTGTTACTCTTTCTGCAGAAATACACGGCTATGGCATGACTGTCGCATATATTTTGCCCGTTTACAGAAAGACTTGGCACCTTCTGAAAGGGATTTATCTGTAAAAAAAAACAAAAACAAACATCAATACTAAATCTCTACAAAGAGAACGTACAAAGTGATCGTCTCACTCAGTCCAGTAGAAACAAATGATGTGATACCTTTTTATAAAATTCAGTTCGATTCTCTCCTTTGAAAAGATCGATTTTTTGGAATTCAACCTCAACGTTCGCTAAGGATGCTGTCATCATGGCGAACCTCACTGGCGGTGAAGCTTCATCTCCGTACAAGATCGGCTTCACTGCTTTCTCCATTTTATGTCTATTTAAAAATGTAATTCAAAGTTTATACAATGTAGCTATACTAATAAAGTACCTAATAGTACTACTTACATACAATACCTAAAGTATACTTAGTCTATCCTATTTGGTACGTCGCGTCGTCGGTTACTTAGTACAAGTGTAATCAGTCTGAGATTACAGATGTTCGTTAGTTAAGTGCATTATGATTTTTATAAGGACATTATTACATATTACATAGTATAATCTGAGATCCCTCCGAGAACTACACATACGATGAACATTACATCCCGTTTTTTAATCCACGAAAGGATTGACAGTAGTTACTTGATTAGACAATCGCATTTATATATTATCTCACCTGATTGCACGTTTTTCAAATTGACACAAAACTTGATAACTGTTTAAATATTTGGTTCGAGAGATATACATTTCTAAAGCCGTTTATAATTTCACTCCAAGAAACCACTGGCCAGAAAGGACCCCACTGAGGTTATGACGAAAAGGAATAATGTAGATAACTATTTACACTTGTAAATTAGTCTTCTACAAAGTCACACACTACCGGTAGGCAAACGTTTAGGATTCTGTTACCTTTTAGCTCCTACATTATGCATGACAAGACCCCTGGTCAGATAAAGTCTCACATTCGTATCTCAAAATAATAATGCTGTATCTAAAAAATGTAGGTATTCTATCACACTGACGGGTCACTATCACATGAATATAAAATGATTTTTTTATTCAATTGATTCTGTAGTCATTTCTATTATTATCGGAAGCAAATCGAAAGTTTATTCTTTGTTTAATTATAGAGCATAGTGATCCCTATAAACACTGTTCCTGATAAAACCTGCTAAATATTAGAACCTTCTTTGAATCTGATTACAAAGTTTTTTTTAAAACAAATACACTGGCAGTTATAGTTGATAGACAATTAATGAAAAACATTTTGCAATATCTATAAAATATAATACAAAAAATGCATACTTAATTAATTTAACACTCGCTCTAAATTATAAAGTACCTAATTTTTTGTATGTTCACATGGGGCTTTCAGCGAGTAAAAAGATTGCAACTGGCTTAAAGTAAGTCTTCTTTCTTTACCAATATATATACACATATCATATTATGCAGGAATAACTCAAATGCCATGAGAATTGTATCTAGGTGCTCAGAACAAGTTATTTGTTAATTGTAAGACGAAGTAGTGGACAACGGGAAAACTGGATAGTTGGCTACTGAATAAATATACTCAGGATCCTCAAATCGGATTGTACGAACCTACCACAGTTATTTACGATAATTTTATCTTAATTACTATTGCAAAGTCTTTCAATTCGTGTTAGTAGCCTAGTGATAATTAACCTATATAATCAACAAAACCAAAGGCACTGCACGTTATGGAAAGCAGATAGAAGTCCTGGGTGTCGAGCCGTAATGATGGCGCTAGACGCCATGAACTTGAGCATAACGGAAGTAGACATCAACATAGATAAAGGAGAACATAGAACACCTGAGATGCTTGCCGTAAGAAACTTTTCATACAGTACATAATTGTCTAATAATACAAGGCAAACACTAACAAAACTTTTTTTTAGCTAAATCCATTACAAACATTGCCAGTACTTAAGGACCGGGAGCTTGTGCTATGCGACAGGTATTTACTTCTTGTGAATTTTATAACTAGTAAGTAGTAATGACTGTAGGGTTCCGTACCTAGTAGCTGAGCAACTGCACAACGTGTCGCAGGTTCAATTACCGCACAGAACAACTCTTTGTGTGATCCACGAATAGTTGTTCCGGGTCTGAGTGTGACGTGTATTTATGCGTACGCGAATTTGTATGTTTGTAAACGCACCTAAAACACGGGAGAAAATCATGGTGTGGAATTTATTGTAAAAGTGCTTTATTTAATTATTGTGTGTTATCTAACGAGTGCCTAGTTCTCTGAAGCCTAGTCTATAGGGATGTTCCTGCTAGTCAGCAATTATAATTGCTTATCTCTTTTACTTGCAGTCACGCTATTTGTGCGTACTTAGCTGGCCGGTACTGTGACTCCGGCCGCCTGTTGCCGAAGGATCCTGGGGGTCGTTCCATAACAGACCAGCACATGCATTATAATAGTGGAGTTTTATATCCTCGATTTCGCGCAGCTGCAGTTAGTAGTATTTATATGTATACTTTGTTTGTTTTTCATTTATCAAATGATTAAATTATTAGTGCCTAACCACAGATAATTGACAAATTCCTTTTATTTTGCAGTATCCGATCCTATACGAAAATTGCAATTTTCTAATGCCACAACAAATACAAGACATCGAATGTGCTTATTGTGATTTGGAGTGCATGTTGGTTGGTAAAAGCTGGTTTGGTGGTAGTTGGGCAACTCTAAGTGACATTATCTTTGCGTCTACAATCAGCACCCTCAATATTTTGGTGCCTGTTGACAAATACAAGTGAGTGAATGAAGCCCAAAATAATACCTGTATCAGTCGATAGCAACTCGGAAAGAAAATAATATGCTATTGGCAATTTCAGATTTCCAAGACTCTCGGGGTGGTTATATCGCGTGTCAGAAGAATTATTTTACGTTACAGCCAATAGGAAAGGACTCTGCGAGTTTTCGAGAAGAATAGGCGAGTTATCACAAGTACAACAGTCATAAGTTTTTAGGTCAAGAACTTATTTTTACAAACATTATGTTTGTCAACATCAGATTGCGGCTGTGTTAAAGATGACAAAGAATTCAAGTGTCCAAGAACCTCGATGAGACGACGGACGCTAGCGGCCGATTCATAATAATACCTTGGGGTTTGCCAGAAGTTAAGGGCGGGTGCAGTTTGCCGAAGGTATTCTAATGGGCCTGTATCGCCGTTTCCTGAACTAAAGCAGGTAACAATCTCCTGATAAATGTAGGTACCTACTGTTCATTTCGTTTCGTTAATGAGTTAAAATTCAATTGTATTGTATAATTTGAAATGTAAATCGCATAAATTGTTTGTGAATTTATTACAACTTGCAGAAATAATACATTGAAGTTATTTTCAAAAATCTATAATCCATTAGGTAGGTACATGCCCGTTAGACTACTTGCTATGCCCATGACAGCCCATGGCAAGTATCAAGGAATGTATTTATATTCCATGCTTATGCGAAATAAATGAGTGATAAGCCACAAAGTCTTTTATTTTACCCTGTACACCTACCTATGTATAACACTTTAACTCTTTGTATTTACTATGTAATTGTAACCTATATAATATACTATGTAACCTATATATAACACCTTTTCTCGAAAAATAATTTATAATTTACTGTTTTAAATACTAATTATTTACTAATTACGAAATCTGATAATTATCAGAAAACTGAAAAAACCCATTATGACAATAATAACACTTTGCAAGACTCGAGAATCGAACCCAAATCCCCTTACTTGGCAAACTTGCAAGTTTGCAACTAATGAAACGACGATGGACGGCGCAGTCTTTACAGTACAACCACATATTGTACCTATCGGTATACAACATACAGCAACAACATACACGCCATATGTGTGAAAATAAAACAAAATCCAAAAGTAGATGGAAACTTAAGAACAAATATTAAATTTTTATAATTTTATACTTGACTTGATGTCATGCTTTGGCCACTATCTTGCCTAGTGGTAAGCTATGATATGACCAACAATGGTCCACGTTTATCTATAAGCAACCTATTTACTCGAAACTTGAACATATCCAGATTGTACTTGTACCCTTCTGGAAACAGATTCTAGCAAGGATTTCCACTCCTTAGCGATTCACACAAGGAAACTAGCAATGAACATCAGGTGGGCGGAGTAGTGCGATGATAAAATGGACTGGGAGAAACTTTTCACTTGTATTCGAAGCTTCGAAGCCACAATGACTGCACGGTTGGTGTGGTGGCTGGGCAACCGGCTGCCGTGCAACGTGTCGCGGGTTCGATTCCCGCACGGAACAACACTTTGTGTGATCCACAAATTGTTGTTTCGGGTCTGGGTGTCATATGTATGTGAACTTGTATGTTTGTAAACGCACCCACGACACAGGAGATAATCCTAGTGTGGGGCAACGTTTTTTAAAAGAGAAAGAGAAACAATTGATTCATCATTGATGAGCATCTGTATACACAAATGAGTTTTTAACCTCCTGTCAGTCGATATATGAGACAATAGAAAACACATTGTGTCTCGCGTAGATCTACGTTCCGACACTTCACAGTTTATAGGAACAGGAATAATAAATAGCAAGAATTAATACCTAGCCTGTTTTTGTTTTATTAATTCATCACTAAATCGATTCGCATAATATTAATATTTATGTCTATGGTATTTACTTTCGTTTTATCCACTGCCCCTGCACTTCTGAGGAATTTATTTGTCCATGGCATAGTGCATTAGTGCCGTCCGCGGTCTGTCATCTGTCAGTGAAATAGTGAATGTCAGTGATTGTTGTCATGTCATGCGTGTCTGTCATTTATACTTTTCTTGACTATTTTAATTTATTTGTTGTCAAGTAGAGGAGGGAATGAGTGAGGAGTGTTCAACGTAATTCATTATGTAGATTATCAAACATTACCGTCCATTGTTCGCACAGAGTTCACAGGGGAAACGATAAAAAGTTTATTGGGGATTCTCACGGAATCCGAAGAAAGTTGACGTGAAAGGCTTCTGCTGTGTTATGAATGGTGGTGTCGTTCTAAGGCTGGTGTCATCACCATGTCGTTCGTGTCGTGCTAGCATATAATAAAATATTATTACGATAGGCTAACGTAACTAGTGTTGTTTACTTGGACTTCTGTATTTAAAAAGTGTAAAATTTGGAAAGTCTCAGCAACACTTTCTACCGTCGTTATACCAGCCGCACCAGCAATGGCTGGGTTCCAGACGAGTGACACCATGCCCAAGTTCGGCCACGTGACGGACTTACGAGAGCAATGGCTCGTACGTGCTGATGGGGCGCTAGCGCACCGTCTACAGGATCGAGAAATCTCGTCTCATCTGTGCGAAAATAGATATCGCAACCAGCAGATTCGCGAGGACTTCCCAATAGCCCTAAACGAACAACGAGACATAGAGCACGAAGTCCACCTGAGAGAACTTACTCGACGCCGACAGGCCGAAATTGATGCAGAAATAGCACGAGAGATGGCTGAAATTAATCTGCGCAGGCAACGCCGCCAGCGCTCCAGTGACATGTTACAACAACCCAGCTCGTCTCGCGCTGCTCCCCCGGCCCCGCTTCCTGTTACTACTGTTCCAAGTGAAGATATCAATCCAGAAGAGCTTGGTCTGTCTCCAACTGAACTTGAAGAAATGAGGCGACGACTAGAACAAGAAGAGAAGGATGCGAGACTTGCTAGGGAACTGAGCCATGAAGACAACAACCAAGATGCTTTATTGGCTGACATGAGATGTGCAGTAGAAGCTCAAGATGGTGAGTTGGCGAGATTGTTGCAAGAGAGAGAATACAAAAAACTTCAGAGAGCCAAGGAGAAGGCAAGACAGAAGGCTTTGTTGAAAAAACAGCAGAGAATGGCTGCCCAGCAACAAGGCCTAGCACCTCAGGTAGACAGTGAAGCCACTTCTACTCCACAGGCAACACTGTGTGATGCTTACAGCAACCCTCGAGACATGATTCGAGAGAACCGACTCAGACTGTGCAAATCTGTTGACTCTGATTTGCATTATGTTGAACCATTTGAAAAAGAATCCATTCAATCTAAAGCCAGTGCCTTGCAATCCTTGGAGATGTCAAATCAGTATTACACTCGACAACCTGAAGCTGGAACTTCAGGCAGTAATCTCTCTCATTGTCACTCACAATCTATGGAAGATAAAAGGGTACCCAGTAACCAAAGTTCAATGCAACACAGACAGCCTCCCCCTCCACCAACAACAAGCAAGAAGCCTCGTTTCCCAGACCCAGTGAGCATCAGACCAGCCTCACACTACCCCACTGAGCAGTCAGTGCCAGAAAGTATCCCTCCTTCCAACCTGGCTCACAGCTACAGTGAAAACAACAACCTGTACAGTTGTACGTACCCACCGGACATCAGCCCACCACACATGGTACAGGACAGACATGACAACAATAAACGGCTCTCTGTTATATCAGACATCACTGCTGAAGGTTTGGCCAAAAAGAAAAGTAAGCAAGCTGACATTAACAAGAAAAGAAAGGGATGCAAAATACAGTGAGTTTGTGATGATGGTTTCAGGTAAACAAGTGAAAAGCCAAGTGAAAAGATGTGCAATTTAATTACGGAGTGAATGATAAAAGGGCAAAGTATATTGATGATGGAATGGTGTGATTTGAGTGGCAGCTGATCTTTTGTGTTCGTATTTTATTGGATTATGTCTACAATAATTCAGCTCAAATACCTTTTTATATAAAATATGTTAAGTTGTAGTTGTAGCACAGTAAGTTACATTTTATTAACATTGTTTTTATATTTGATTTTGATTGATATTTTTTCTAAATACTTAAATAATAATTATTTATTATTACTTATATTTTAAGCTCTGCTATATCATTCATATTTAAGTCAAGTGTGGAAGTGGCTCTCTGGACATTAAACTTACCTTAAGTAGGTACTTGAGTCATTACAGATAATTTCAAATGAATGTGGCATTGGTTATTACTGATAAACTAGATTACTAATAAATATTGTAAAGATCAATTGTCTTAAACAAAATTACAAGTATTACTTTTTTGTTTGTACATAAAAACAATTATAGTTATTGAATCAGTTAATTAAAAGTAAAGTGATATGATTCATCTAAGTTCACATACCAGTAGTATGAATCACAGGCACAGGCACTTAAATGGGTATGATATCGCAGAGTAGGTGCAGTTGTCAGCTCATTAGTGGTGTACATTGCTGCCACTGAGTTGCTGGCAACTATTTACTTGCAGCAGTACCTGCAGAAACCAATGAGCCATTTAAATCTAAGGTCAGTTTGTGCCTATGGGTGCTAATATAAAGAGGCAGGTTGCCACGGATGGGGCACTACTGATTGGTACAGTGGTAATTTACAGTAGCACCTATTTCTATAAATGAATGCATAAAATAAAATAGAAATTAATACCTGTTTCCTTATATTAGTACCCTTTGTCTAGATGTAAGTGCAGACATTCCAATATTTACTTTTATATTTGAGTACTTATTTACTAAATAGTCATTAAGAAAATATGTATTTTAAACTTGTTTAGTAACATAAGATTCAAGATGATCCAAACTTCTAAAATCTCAGTAAAAAATGTATCGAAAGAATAAATAGGTAAAAAATAATTAATTCGCTGGGTCCATGACTAATAATAACTTAAGTAAAACAAAATAAGTAATTTTGATTATTTTGCAAAATTTTGAATTATTTTGATATAGAATTGTTAGAATGAATCATTTTCTAAGATTCTCGAATAAATCTCTTATTTCGTACTTAATCTCTATTTAAGACTGATTTTAAAATGACCAGTAATCATATAATGTGGTGCCTGTTTGGTGCTTTTGAATAATTTCTTCTTCCTATTATTTAAATTTTTCATAAATATTTTTTTTTATTAAGATGAGATTATTCGCAAATGCAAAAGTGTGTTAGAAAATAATTATAATAATTGCTTTCACAGTGACTTTCTCTAACACAAAGATGAGTATGCAAGTCACGGCGAGTCGCGAATGACATCACATTAGAATAAAGGTCATTCACACACTCGCATTACGTATTTACATGGATATTGGTGTTGAATAACATAGATGTTCCATTCATCCATTTAAAAAAACTTGCCGTTGGACAACATTATCGTTGTTGTGTAACCATTACAATATTCTAATTTCTAATCGGTGGCTTGGCTAAATGTACGCTACTAACTATTGCGCGCATTATTTTATTATTTGGCTTTCTTGAAAACATTGTTTTAGATAATAATGTTTTGTTTTCAAAATCTTTACTAATAAGATTGGAATCTCGTCTTATTTTTATAAAGACAAGTATTGTTTGTTGATACAATGTTTACTATTGTATTACGTAATTTATACTGGAACGTAAAGAATCTCCGTTGACTTAAGACGTTGGAGGTCGTGCGTGTATCGTTCAATGGTAAAGAAAATATGAGAAATAAGATTAAACTTATCCTGATATTAGGGATACTTTGTAGTTCAGAATAACGACAAATTGTAAATTAAAAACATTCTACAGAAATATTACATAAAATATAGCATTACAACCAGCCTGTCACAAGTTTAGAAACTCATTTATGTTTATTTATAAGCTAAGTATAATATTTAGTGTTATTACTAATGATTACGTACTTAATTAAGAATAAGCTTTAATCGCAATGTATGGCCTTGATCGTGCCTTAGTAGTGGAACTGAACCAAACTCTAATATTTATAAACTGTACTTTAATGTTATTTTTAATTTAGTAAACATAATAATAGTCTATAGTTATACCTACTTATGGCTGATTCTTTAAAGTTGCTCAAGTGTGAAGTGAAGCAAAGACGAAAGTCGCAATGCTTCACCTCGTAATTAAAATTAGTAAATGTCTGATGCGTCGGTACCTACCTTTAACATGAACAAACCTATCTGCACTGTATCCGAATACATAAACGTAAATAAAACGTATGGTAAAATCTTACTATTTTATTAATAAATTAGGAACACCTAGCTACGTATCTCCTTGCTCTATTCCCTTGATATTGATGTCAATACTTAAATTGACTTATGTACTTGAAGGCAACATGATTTCCATTTACTAGATCTATGTGCTAATACCCGATATTATATAGAAATTATAAACGAATACATATTTGGGATTTGTGTCAATATATGAGTCAGTATATTAGTCGTTGATTTCATAACAGGATATGGTGGTGTTATTCAGCTAACTCGAGTATGTATTGTATGATGAATAAAATTGATGACAGTGGGCGGATGAGACGCTCGTTGTGAACGCATTTTATGTGCTTATCTGTGTTGACACGTCGCGTCGGTACCTATAGTAGCCTATACAGGAGCTACTTTGGTTTTACGTTTTGAAGCCCTTCAATCCGTAACCGCTAACTTCCTGTGTCCTTGTTTTTAATCGAACAACGGTACGCCTATTACCTATTCCATGAATGAATATAGATATAAAATTAAAAAAAAAATTTAATATCCTTTTACTATATTTCTGATGGTGATTCCAGCTCTTCTGGGGTCACAGTCAACCTACTAAGCCTACATATAATGTGGTAGCAAGTTGATCCTGACAACCTTTCAAACTAAAATAATAGTTCTGTACTTCATAGTAGGACTACTAATTAGAAAATTCAGCGGATCGAACCAATCAATCAAAAAGACTAGACTAGGCTTTATTTAAAAAGGTATTCAGCAGGCTACTTAATTTAGATGGGGGACAATGATGATTAAACTGTAAGTATACCTATTGCGTGGTAATGCTTATGCCACTTATGCTAACTAATTGCATACTACTAATAATTTACGTACAATGCAAGTCTGGCACACAAGGCACAGCGCACTACCAAAAATGGCTGCAAAAACAACTGTAACTGTAGTGCAAATGCATGCATTTGTGTCACATGATCACATTATTACACCAAATAGAGTAGGTACCTACCTAGGTAGGCGTGTTACTGTAAAATTAAACCTATTACTGTGGTTTAATAAAGTATGTACAACCAGAGCCATCTTAGACTACGCTGGGGCCTTTTTGAATGTTTTTTTTAACGTTACCCCACGCTAGGGTTTTCTCCTGTATCGTGGGTGCATTTACAAACATACAAGTTCACATATGAATGTCCGTCGTAGAAATTGTCGGTCCATCGGGGCCCCCATCCTTAGGGGGTTTATAAAGATGGGGGCCCCGAGTGCACTACGAATCTAGATTGCTGGTCATATTTCATGTAGGCTGTTCCCGGTAACTTGTACGTACAGCTACGCTTATCAGCGGTCTGTGCTTAGATACCTACCTAGTAATGGATACAAAAGTGCCTAATGATTACACAACAATCGGTTGAGCCCATCGTGTGATCCTCAATATTTTTGAAGTTTTCAAAACAATTTTCTGAATCCAGTTATCCAGTAGTATGTTAGTATGTTACCTAGTTATGAAATATTTTTTTGTTTTGTTGCTATGGTCTTTGTTCTGTTTACACGATTCAAATCTAAATAATAAAGCAGTTATGTAACTATGCTTAAAAGCCTACTACCTAAGAATTTGATCGCAAAATAAATCTTCAGCTTCCTTAATGTACGTAATGTCAGGGGACGGACGACTACTGTGTGTGTATTTATTTCCAAAGCGGGCATTTAGAGGCCGGCTCAAGGTCACTGGCCGACAGGTGCTCACACAATAATATTCGTTGATACTTGATATTATGTATTTATTCCAAACATGGTGTCCTGCCACAGCGCCGCCGAGGCCGTTCCACAAATTATTAGCTAAGTTAAATATTATTTTATTCCTACTTTATAGGTTTTCGTTTTGATCATAGGTAGGTTAATTTAGTTAGGTAAGACATAAGTACTATGGTTTAAATGCGTTTAATGTGTTAAATGTATGTAGATTTGTAGGTGTTTTAGGTAGGTAGGTAGTAGCCGTACCTGCTTAATTGGATTTAAGTGCTAGATTGCATACACCAGTAAGTTAGTTATATTTGCCACACAATGCTACTGATTGACTAGTTTGGTATGAGCTCCAGCCGTTTATTAAAACAAGTCATCCTACCTCGTTGGACAGTTACATCCACGGAACAGTTTTTTCTATTCCATGGTTACTGTTATCTGTAAACCGTAAAACATAATTTAAATTGGGGATGCTTTATTAAATATTATCTAGTATGTAACAGCAGCCGGAAGACGTCCAGTACTAGACAAAGCCCTCCCCCTTAACCTCCAGGTTGAACGATGAATAGGTGTAAGTAAATAAGTCCGCCATTGTATATCTACAAGAAGTGTAAAATAAAATAAATAATAATATTTTTAGCATAACTTATTGGTAGGTACATACCATAGATGTGTGACTATTGTCTACGGGTAGAATTTAAGATCCATCTCGACGGCAAATTCATAAACATACTGTTGTTTCTTTTTTACTTATGTTTCTTTGCGTATGCAGAAAGAGACAACACATTATCGTCATTCTGGCAATAATTTTTTGACGTCATCAAAATCTGCCGAATTCGCCATCTTGGTCTCTGTTATCAGTGCATGTCAGTGGTACATCAGCTGTCAAAGCATTAGTCAATAATATTTTGTTACGAAAATTTGTAGAATTCTTGTTATTTTTGTGCGTGGTAAACAAAGAAATTATTGGTTAGTGAGAAGAACTATGCCCGGATGTAGTGTTATTGGATGTAGCACTAAAAATATCACTAAACCGGCAGGTGTAACATTACATCGGTAAGTAGGTACTGTTATTTTTCATTAAAATATCTCTGTTTTTTAAACTATTCAAGTGCCCTTGCTGCAAATTGACTAAATACAATACTTTTCTAACTAATGCAGTGCTTATTTTCATTAATTTTAGTTGAAATACGTCTAAAACTTTTTTCATTGAAAAATAGTGATGTACATATTTGTTCCCGTATCGATAATTTTATCGTACATAATATTTATGCTTCAAAAGAAGAACAAAAACTATTCTAAATTCTGAATAATAAAGTGCATTAATTTGACATAATGACAAAATGCAAAAACATTAAATACTCGTCAAAAATTTCATTTTATCGACAATATTCCACCGTAATCAATACCTACGTAATGTTATAAATAATACAATAGATGAATAATTTTTGTACAATATAAGATACGGAGAAATACTTGTGGGAAAAGCAATCTTTTCAAAATTGTATTTTTATCAAATACCGCTCGAGGGACTCAAATGGAGCAAACAAATGAAATATAACTCCTCCGCTACCTATCACTATCATTGTAATGTACAAACATTTTCGTTCAGAGCTTAGTACAGTACCTATAGAATCTTTAGAGATAATCTCTGTTCGATTGGATCAAGTAAGTTAAATTATACTATTTATGTTACAGCCTCTAGCCAGATCTGTGCATGAAAATGAACTTGGAACCAGCTCTGGAGTCGTCTCGAAAGATGGTTTTGCAGATTACATTACAGGGAAACAGTACGAAAAATACAAAGATATTGTAACTATATTATAAATTTTAATCTTGGTCTTATGAATACTTTGAAACAGTTTTATTTTTCAACCCTCAAAAATTACTTAACCTTAAGAATGTAAATGTTGACCAGTCGATGGTAAATCCTTTTCATAAATTACGATACATATGTATCGTGAAAGAAATGATGTGAATGTATGGACACGATCGCCCGGAGTGATAGTGCACACAGTAACTGCTAAACATATTTCGCTAATATTTTTAGTAATGTTTAGTAGCTACATAAAAATCAAATCCAGATGAATCATAAAATAATGATATGTTATCGATAAATCAACTAAAACCAATACCAAAATATCGATACAGTTTCAATAGTCACATCCCTAGTTCTATCCGCCATTACAGATGACCAAGTGAAGTTTAGGTAGGCACGTTTTTTTCGTCATCATCAACAGCCGGAAGACGTCCACTGCTGGACAAAGGCCTCCCCCTTAGCCCTCCACGTCGAACGACAACTCGCCACCCGCATCCACTGGCTCCCCGCAACCCTGGCGATGTCGTCGGTCCATCTAGCGGGAGGCCTGCCCACGCTTCGTCTTCCGGTCCGTGGTCTCCACTCAAGGACTTTCCTGGCCCATCTGCCGTCAGTCCTTCGAGCGACGTGGCCTGCCCATTGCCACTTTAGTCTGCAGATTTTGCGAGCTATGTCGGTAACTCTTCTTAGGCGAATTTCCATATTTCGGATTTTGTCGCGCAAAGAAACCCCGAGCATAGCTCTCTCCATCGCACGCTGAGCGACTTTGAGCTTCTCCAGAAGGCCAGAGGTCAGGGACCACGTCTCGGTACCATACGTCATCACCGGCAACACAAACTGGTTGAACATCCTGGTCTTTAGGCACTGAGGGATTTTCGATGAGAAGATTTCGCGTAACTTCCCGAACGCTGCCCATCCAAGTTGCCCGTTTTTTTCGTAGTTGCTTCATATCCATAGTCTTATCATATCAGTGGTTAATACCTATAGGAAAAAGTAAAATTATTTGAAAATTAAGGCACTTAATAGATTTATAAAATGCTTTTCGAAGAGCATTGTTTTTATTTATTGACCGACTTGAAAATAAGAGATTCTCAGTTAGACCTGGGTAGCAATTATCCCGTGAATGGCTGAACCGAGTTTATGATGCGGTATTCAAGTTCCCTCAGACAGAGGTTCGCTATAGGCAAGTTGTATTTTGTTATAATAGCTCATTTCTGAATAATGCAAAATAAAAAATAAAAACCGTTGATTATCTGCCGTTCAAATCAATTCACAGCAACATGTTAATGCTCTAAAAATTACATATTTAAATAAAATGTGCATGTGTGTCGTTTCGTTATTCGTTCGTTATTAATCTCGAGACTACATGCCGTGGTACCTAGGGGTAGGGGTACACATTTTGTATTGTTTAGTTGGCAAAACTATCAACCGTTTCCGCTCTTAAAAAGGTTCCCAACTTAGGGAGTGTTTCCCAAGTAAAGAGGGTAAATTAACCTAATGATATTTTCAAGGAATAGGATTTTGGAAATTGTAAGACAGTTATAAAACTAAAAAAAGCTTAATCAACATTTATAGTTGAAAATTATGATAAATCTTGCATTTAAAACTTATTTGTGTTAAGATTATACATTATTTTTAGGAATCAGTATTTTGAGAAATGGTAATACTGAGTCCATAGATTCTGAATGTTGTTTGTATCATCGTTTTTCGTCTTTATTTTATTTTCTATTCTATCTATGGCTGCTGTTGTTCCTCACTTGCGGTGTTATTTTTAACATTTGCACATTTTCATAGAAGATTGAATTGTTATTTATAAATTACAATCACAACAATACATTTAATTACCTTGGTGAGTGTGGTAATTATCATTTTAAGTATCAATATTTATTCGAAACTAAATAATTATGGTCGCCATTTTTTACAGATTTACTAATGTAATGAATTTATTAATATCTAACATAATAAATATAATGAATGAATATGTTTTACTTTACCTAACAGCTGTTGCAAGAAAGAAATCGTGTTCTAATTTATATTTTCGTGTTTTGGAGGTTTTAATAATAGGGACCTATATAATCCTACATGTCCTCATGGTCATATCTACTGCTCGAATTTAAATTATCATACTCAAGATATATGAATTGAAAAAAAATACGCGCTATTCTCAATTATATGAAACATGAAACTTAATTTCGCAATCCTAGAGGGTGGAAGGTAAAATGGCTACCGATGGCGACCCGACGCCGACTTCTCGGGATACCTACGTATATATTTAATAGTTAGGTATATGTAATTATAACTTATGCGATTGTAATCGGTTCTGTTGAGAAATACCTTTAACTTATAAGGATATTTTTCATGTTATAACGGCATTGAAATTATAAAAGAGGTGAGGGTATCTGGACAGTTACTTACATTAGATATACCTACCAAGTTGGTTTTCCTGAGTTGAAAATTGAATGGTGAAAATACAAACTGTAATATTTTTAATTATTGTTTAGACATGTCCGAATCTAGAGGAAGAGGAAGGGCGCGTGGTCGGGCCGGCAGAGGCGGTGATAACGCCGGTCCACCTCCGCGCAGACCTGGCGAACCACCGAGGCCTGGTCCCCAACAACTAATCCCTACAGGTCCTCGCCCACAGCCCCCTACACCATGGGGTCCTCCTACCGCGCAAGCTGGCAGAGCTTCGCATAGATCAACTCCGTCTACTCATCAAGAGCATCCTGGTGATGTAGACATACAGCAGAGAATGCAAGCGATGCAGATTGGTAATTAGTTTTAATATTATCAACTCATTATGAATAGGTGAAATAGGTACTGTAACAAAGCATCTCAGGTCTAACAAATATTTCAGGGTTTCCTATTCAGCAAACTGTAGGTAATGGAAAGGGTAATATGATATATACTGATGAAAATTTAAGTCAGCACATTGTAATGGTACAAATAATGACACATTGCATTGTGCTGAATATGGTAGAAATAAAGGTTTTATGTGATGTCAGCACTATAACTCCAAGAAGTTTAAAATAAGCATATTGAAATAAAGTAAATAATTGACACAAAACTTGCAATTATCACGAGCTATGTTCAACTCTTTGTTATATTTTAGCTTCAACATCGCAACCAACTGCTGCTGGCGAACCAGGTACCGGGGTAATCGGGCGTGGCTCACGTCGTGGTGGTGGCAGGGTGCTGCCAGAGCAAACGATGATTTTGCGTACACGCCCCAGTGTCATTGAATCTAAAAAGGGTAATACATTTTTAAATCATTATTTCATCAAGATGTGACACATGGAATGTCCTATAAGTATTAATTTTAATTGATATTTTTATCATTAGGTACTTCTGGCACTGTCATTGACCTAAGGAGCAATTATTTTTTGGTCAAAACTACGCCACAGTGGCGTCTTTACCAGTATCATGTTGATTTTTCACCGGATGAGGACAGTACCTTCATCCGTAGGGCACTTCTGCGTGTACATGCTAAAACTCTGGGCGGGTAAGTGATTTTTAACTTAAGTTTCACTCTGAACTGTTAATCCTAAAGAAACTTTGAACGTGTTTGGCAAGATCATTTTGTATTTAAAACCACCCTTCAGTAGTACAGACCAGCTAATTATTTTAAATATATAGCGGAGAACCTAACGGGTTACCGGGGCTCCGGCTCGACGTGCAGGAGAAGGAACGGGGTGGTTTTGAGTCAGTAAGAGTCTGACACTCTCTTCCGTCTCACTCAGGAGGGAGCTCGATGATTTTAGCCCTTAAAAAAAACTCTTCTTACCTAATAGATTTTTTGTTTTACAGTTATTTGTTTGATGGGTCTGTGTTGTACACAGTCAAGAGATTACACCCTGAGCCCCTAATGTTGTACTCTGACAGAAAGACAGATGACCAAAGGATGACAATGTTGATAAAGGTAAGAATTAGACAAGATAATGGAAAAGAAAGAAAGATAAAACTTGTTGCTTCTTCACAAAGCAATATTTTAATCTTTTAAGTTGTTGCTCCTAACATTTTTGGACATTATCATAGCTTTTTGTTACTTTATAACATGTAAGAACATAAGACAATAAATAATGAACAATTTAATTGCAGCTCACATGTGATGTCAGCCCTGGAGACTACCATTACATTCAGATATTCAATATCATCATTAGAAAATGCTTCCAAATATTGGATCTGCAATTGATGGGCAGAGATTATTTTGATTCAGAGGCAAAGGTAAAGTTTATTGGAATTAACCATTGAAGAAATTTTATTATAATTGAAGAAATGAATACATTATCTATTTTATTGCAGGTTGATATTCCTGAATATCGTTTACAAGTGTGGCCTGGATATAAAACGACTATCAACCAGTATGAAGACCGTCTGTTAATGGTTACTGAAATTACTCACAAAGTAAGTATCATTAGACAACTTTTTGAAACTTCCTTCTATTTATATTGGTTATCTAATTTTGATTGAACTGTCCTTATAGGTTCTTCGACTAGATACCGTGCTGCAAATGTTAGGTGATTATGCTGCAAGTAAAGGAGGAAATTATAAAAAGATATTTTTAGAAGATATTGTGGGAAAGATAGTCATGACCGTATACAATAAGAAGACATACAGAGTGGATGATGTTTCGTGGCAAGTGTCGCCAAAGTCTACATTCAAAATGAGAGATGAGACCATTACTTACATGGATTATTATAAAAAGGTACTTGTAATTAGGAAATGACGTGTGAATAATTGTTTATTGAAATATCGTCTTCATAATTACAGGTGTAATATAATTATGCAATTCCTAAATGCGTTTTTCATATTTCCAGAAATACAAGATCACTATTCACGATACTGCGCAGCCTTTGTTGATCTCTCGATCCAAGCCACGTGATATCCGTGCTGGAATGCCTGAATTAGTATATTTAATACCAGAGCTATGCCGTCAGACAGGTCTTACGGATGAAATGCGTTCCAACTTCAAACTGATGAAGGCTCTGGATGCTCACACTAAGATTGGGCCAGATGTTCGCATACAAAAGCTGATGGCATTCAACCAAAGACTGACAAGAAATCCTGAAGTGGTTAAGGTGCGTATGTGATAAATATTTTTGAACATTTTACTTTGTGGCCTAATTTGTTAAGGCATTGATTGATACTAAACATTGTGCTTTGTAGGAAATGGGTGATTGGGCCCTTACTTTATCAAATGAACTGATCAAGATCAAAGGTCGTCAACTGCCACCAGAAAACATTATTCAAGGCAATAACAGTCGTTACCCAGCTGGAGACACTACTGAGGGGTGGACCCGGGATATGCGGTAAATCCTTCATTTTACAAGATTTTAATAGTTTAATAATAACATTTGTTTCATGTGTTTTTTTACATATGTCAGATCGAAGCCCCTGTTGGAAATTGCTCAACTGCCGTCATGGGTGGTAATAACTCCAGAGAGGCAGCGCCGTGACGCTGAAGGCTTTGTAGACTTGATTATGAAGACAGGTGGAGGTGTAGGTTTCCGTATGCCTCGACCAGAAGTAGGTGAGTACAAGTGTTTTAGATAGTGTGGCAAGAGAGAATATGGATTGCCTGATTATAAGCAATTGGCGACACCACTGGACACCCGCAATAATACCTGAGCCGACCCATTTGTGCCTAAGGCCAAATAGCATGGATCTCTCATGAAAAACTTTAAAAAAATTTCATTAAAAACCTTGTTGAATAATATTGCTTTAAATTTTTTTAGTTACTATCCGGAATGATAGTGCCATTGAATACGCAAATGCCTGCGAGAACGCCATTGCGCGAAAAAATCCTGCAATGATACTGGTTGTTTTAGCACGAAAAGTTACTGATCGGTGAGTTCTTATATTTTTTAACATTTTACAGTAAACACATGTAGACAGTTAGTTCATGGTTCATACAGTGTATTTATGTGTTATGCTATGGTAGAGTCACCTAGGGCGGATCCAGCTTTGGCGCGAGGGGGGGACATAGTCTTTTGATCACACAACAATCAATAGTAGCAGAGCAGTGATAGGAAATGTTAGGAAAACGGGAGAAGTTACTCCATTTTTTACGCTTCCGTCGTACACGACGGAATAAGAAAGAAAGTATACATACTACGTTATTGGTTAAAGCTACACAAAAATCATGTATGATCAAAATATTTTCTTTAAAATTATATAAAGAATATCCCACGACAGTATAAGTCTCTGTATGTAGGCTGCGCGACAATATTTTATGGCTGACTCACAATAATACTGTAACTCCCGATAGTTTAGCATTTCGACGGTTTCTGATTATATTTGTCTACTTTTACGTATATAACACTCGGTCATTCCTTATAATAAAAGTAACATTATTAACTATTCCATAAAACAGAATCGTAGAAATCGGAATAGAGTAGTCAATGAACCTAGATTCATTGACTACAATATTTCTATGTGGAATGATTACCGGGAGTTTTGAGAATTGGCAATTTTGTAGATTTTGATCTGCTCTTTCGTTGGGTTATTATCGGAATTACCCTTGGGTTCCGTTCCAAACGTTGCACATCAAAATTTCATCAGGATTATTTGTGATGCACTTTTGTAGATTCATTGCAAGTATATTCGTTTAAAATTAACGACTATGACAAAAAGATGGTTGCCCAAGACAGTATCTCCAATGTGCGGTTCACCAATTGTGCATCTAAAATGCACAAAAAAGAATGACCCTCATGACCCCCCCTTGAGAGTTGCATGTATAAATGATAATTATTTCAGCTATGAGGCGATTAAGAAGAAGTGTACGGTGGACCGTGCTGTCCCAACGCAGGTTGTTTGCGCACGAAACATGACAGCCAACTCGGCTATGTCTATTGCCACTAAAGTAGCTATCCAGATTAACTGCAAGGTAATTAATTAATTATTAAGTTGACAGAATTTGTGTCTATAAACATACTTTGACTTTAACTCTTTTTTTTTACTTATAGCTTGGTGGTGCTCCATGGAGAGTAGACATACCTCTTCAAAGCATACTCGTTATAGGTTACGATGTATGCCACGACACACGCTCCAAGGAGAAGAGTTTTGGCGGATTTGTTGCTTCATTGGATCGCTACTTGACGCGTTACTTTTCAGCAGTGAACTCTCATACCTCTGGAGAAGAATTGAGCTCGCACATGAGCTTTAATGTTGGCTCAGCCCTCAAGAAGTTCAGAGAGATTAATGGTTAGTAAAATGTTACGAGCAAATCCTACATTATTTTTTTTACACTGACATAGTGTATACCCTATAGAATAGATTGACACATAATTAAATATATTTTCAATTAAAACCAGTACCTGAGAAATGTATTTTTGACTATAGAAACTTAATATTTATTTCTAATTACTTGTAGGAGCATTGCCAAACAGGATTTTTATATATCGTGATGGCGTCGGTGATGGACAAATCCCTTATGTTCACTCTCATGAGGTAAGCCTATCAATCATAGAATTTATCCCAAACTTGACCCTGTCGTAAGACTTGACAACATACTGATTCTGTTTATTGAATTTATAGGTGGAAGAGATAAAAAAGAAGTTGGCTGAAGTATATGCTGGTGCAGAATATAAAATGGCGTTTATAATTGTATCGAAACGCATCAACACTCGCATCTTCTTGGATCGTGGACGTGGCGAGAACCCACGCCCCGGTACCGTCGTCGACGACGTAGTCACACAACCAGAGCGGTAAGAACACTAATAAAAAGTTACCACGCGTTTTTGGAGTTAAACCTCTTACTTGTGATTATATGACTATGCCATGTGTTACTTCTCCCCAGCATCATTTTTTATATTCTCAATCTCTGTAGGATGGTAATTAATATTAATTTTTTTGCAGCTACGATTTTTATTTGGTGTCACAAAATGTGCGCGAGGGAACTATTTCGCCCACTTCATACAATGTAATTCAAGATACCACGGGATTGCATCCCGACCGGGTAATTTTTTTTTTTTTTTTTTACTAACAAGAAATTTTTAACAAAATTAGCATCTGCCAAACTGCATAGCAGTTTTTGGCAGTAAGTAGTTATTTAATGAATTCGATTATATGTTATATTTATTTTATGTTAAGTTTTAAGGTGTTCTAACAATGAATAAATTTAAAATTTCAGATGCAATGGCTGACATATAAATTGACCCATCTGTACTACAATTGTTCTTCGCAAGTACGTGTGCCCGCCGTGTGCCAGTATGCACACAAGCTCGCGTTCTTGGCGGCCAACAGCCTCCACAGCCAGCCCCATTATTCTCTAACTGACACATTATATTTCCTGTAAATGAAAAGATAGGTAAATCCCTACTTTCGATTGTTTTCTTTTTTTTTGTGATTCATGTCAAAACATCTAAATTGTTTTGAATATTTTCAAAGTACATTGTCGTAGGTTATAATGAGTATCAAGTAGTGTGTGATACTACATATTACATTAGCTCTAAGAAGATACACGACTGTTTAGATTGTTAAGACTTTGCTGGGTTTAATATTGAATATTAGACCTACAACCTCTCATCTGCCGTTTATTATGTCTCAATCTGATCTGCATTCCGGCAGACCAAGGGTTATAAAAATACTCTTAAATTCGAAATCTCGAATTTGGTAAAAAATATTATACCAACCTTATGAGTAGTATGTACTTTGTGTACCCAAAATTAGTGAAGTAAGCCAGCTTTGATAAGTACCTCCTTTTATTTTTTTACTAGCTTATAAGGTTTTTTTTTATTTAGTATTAACATTAACTTAATAGCCGCGTACTGACTGGCCACCAAACAACCTCGCGAGGCAAACTCAGGCGATTAAACAAAAACCCCACAATACTCCGCGGCATGCTCGTTCGAGGCGTGCCCTGACCTGACTGGCCGAGCATTTGCCTCGCGAGTCTGCACAGTCAGTGAGTACGCGGCTAATGCTTTTTTCGTGACTATGACTACCTCCAACAAGTTATTGTGTAGACAGCAGCTAGTCATGTTTACCACCGATTGAGAAATGGTTGATTTTGATGAATGTTTACAATGGTGGTTGAACATGCTTGTGGTTCACAGATATTACCCACCAGTGACATTAATTACGTAATTTTCACATACCAAACTGTTCCTACAAACTAATGTGAAATGTTGTTTTTTGTTGCATTTTTATAAGACTATAAATAGCCTAAAACGCTGGATATTTAGAAAGTGCCTGAGGCATTTCTCATTTTTTTGGTAAAATGTTGCCATATGATTGCCATGGGCATATAAGTTTATTTTGAATAGTTTAGATTAAGTGTTAACTTTTTTATTTCTAAAGTTTATATCGTCTCATGACATTCCGATTGAGTATTTTCTTATTTTAGTCCTTTCTAGCACTAGCTAGCTTCTTTTTTTGACTTTCAAAGCTCATTTTAAAATAAACCCTGGTAGCTAACCAGGGCAGTGATTAAGTATAAGTATTCTCCAGACTGCATGTCTGTTTTGATTTAACAAGTAATTTTTACGTAAATTACGGTACTTGTCAGACTTTAATTTAGTTCTTACGAAAATGTAAGTATTGACGAATTTGATTATTGCGCCATAATTTGGAACTACCAAATACTTTTTGTACTTATTACATTTTCTTACTAAATATAAACGTGTTTTATTTTTTATACTAAGCATAATATATCACTAAATAAATTAGATTATGATGATAAATATTTATTTTCTAATGTTAACGTTGTCCCACTAGAACGTTTCCTGTTCAAAGGAGAATGGCAGGTTTGTATGGAGGTTTTGTACCGCTATAAAATTTTGTATTGGTCATTGTTCTTACCAAGTAAATGATCTGAACGATAGATATTTTTATTATAAAGTTTAAAAAAAATTACATATTTTTAGAACTTTGGGTTCAAAAGTTATTTCACAAAATGAAATTAAAATAATGATATTTACTTATAAAAAATGTTTGAAATGGAAAGGAAAATATTTCATTGTTAGATATTAAAGTAAATGAGTTTATGAAATCGCGGCATTCAATATACTCTTGTTTCATGTTTACGCATGGCAACTTTATAAACGTCAATCGCGGTTTGTTTTTATTTATGTAGCCGTTTTGTTGATTGCTTCTTATCATTATTAAATATCAGATTTTCTAGGGTTTCCCAAGTTCTAAAAATCTATTAAATACGTATTTAGAGGATTCTATAGCTGCCCAACTGCCCAAGGCAAAACAATGACAAATCTTTTTTTAGCACAGCGGTACGAAATCTGCCGTTCTCCTTTGGCCGTTCCCCAGGCTCACCAATTTGAAAAAGTTAATAACTGGGTTAGATTATTGCCGTAATGGTGCTTGCATAATGTAGGTACCTACCATGACAGCCGAGACTGTATTTGGTGGTTTGACCTGTGAACTGTATCCTTGGCTGCCAATATACTAACTCGTGAAATAAAAACCAGAGAAAATTCGAAATTTTCGACTACACAGAATTACAAGAATTATCAAAATATGACAAGATTAACCTTGATATGTCTTCGAATTGGTCATAAACCAGAAGTGCTTTCAGCATACTAATCCGTTTACGTAGACCTGCTCTGCAAGGAGAGTAGATTCTTATCACGTTGTAAACAGAGAAGTTATACTGAGGCATAGTGAAGTAAGATATATTATTTTTGACCGGCACTGATCGCGTACTATTCGTTTACGCAGCCATTCGGCTCAAACTTTCACTCGCACAGTCGATCAGCTCCGATTAGACTCTTCGTTGCTTGCGCAGCCGTTAGGCACTTTCCAGATATCGATGCAAAGTTTTCATCAATACATATTCAAGCTCAAACACCAGGTAGCTACTGTTAACCATTGTTCTCTTATACTACTTCATCATTGACATTTACATGTAAAGTCCTCATCAAAACAAATTATTCAAACCCAAACACTATTGATCTAACATTTCTATACAAGTTGATGGACTGCTCAGATCTTCTAAATAAGATTTCTGTCAATGTGCCTTCCAGAGTACCTCGCCACCCCCATTGCTTAAGCCGCCGAGATGCCGAACAAACTTGAAAAAATATTCACCACTAGTTAGGATGTCAAACCTGTATAACACCGTAGCTTGTAACTCCACGGAAATTGATATTTTCTCCAATAAACTGGGGAAATACAAATCCCTGCTTCACACATTGCTCACTGATACATAGGTGCTGAAGTACCTATACGTTAATTTATTGTCTTTTTATTATCATTGTTTTCTGTTTGCATCGTTTGTTTTGTTTCCTGATTTAACAATTTTCGATTTTATATTCAAAATTACGATTTATTTTGTTTGCATGTCGTGATCTCCTATAATTGGAGAAGCACAAGGTATCTGTTTATGGTATTAACACTGCATGTTACGTGTATTCTCTGTTGGAGATCCTTTTTAAATAAATAAATAAACACAAGATAGCTATTGGTTAACCGTTGAGGAGTTCTCTCAACTATGGTAGTACTTCATCATCAGACCCATTGGCAATCACATACCAGCTAGGTATAAAGTCCTCATCAATACAAATTAATTAAACCCAAACACAATGTAACTTCTGTTAACCGTTGAGGAATTCCCTCAACTGCCTATCGGCTCCATCATCAGGTCAGTTCCAGACCTTTATCAAATTGTAGTTGTTTTAAACACTTAACGAAAAAATTAACAAATGCTCTAGTCGCCCCTATAATTTTTAAAGTTCCCCTCGCCTCCCCTGGGATTCGATCATCAGATCCTGACTTCAGGACAATGGGACCAAATGACAAGCCTACCCTTTCAGGCAAAAAAATAATTTTTGAAATCGGTCCAGGCGGCTTCGAGTAATCGAGTAACAAACATAAAAAAATACAGTCGAATTGAGAATCTCCTCCTTGTTTTGAAGTCAGTTGAAAATACATACATAACTTCATGGAGGGAGATGTTACAGAACGCCACGATTCCTACATACCTCTTTCGCTTCATCAACAGTCATCAATCTTTTCAGGCCTACTCATCATGTCAATTAAAAAAAATAAACATTAAATAATGTAGGTAGGTAACTACGTACCTAGGAAGTCAAGAGTGTTTTTATTCGGGTTTGAATTGTGAGGCCCCTGCAAGAGCGAAGCCCCGGGCGATCGCCCAGTATGCCACCCCTTAAAGCCAGTACCTCGGGTGCCGAGTTACAGAGGGGCACTGTGAGACCTGCGAGATGCACTGCCCTTAGAGTGGCGGCGGCACCAAAAAAATGATACGCTTGCCTAGGGCGTTCTCTAGGTGAGCCACAATGTGTTTTCTGTTGTATCTCATATTAAGCCATTTGTAGGTCGTCCATTAGGAAATGGTAAAACGGGGTGAATGATACAGAAGAGAATAAATATTAGAACATTCTCAATATTTATTCATCCTATTCCTGTATCTATTCAGTACCTATTCACCGCGTTTTAAGGTAAGCATTTTATGATTTATAGGAGAACTTATGAAGTATTCGCTGATTAATATCAGAAAACAAATCATCCAACAATCTTCTAATTACTAGGTACCTAATGTAATCCATCCTATTACCGACTCCAAAAAAGGAGGAGGTACTATGTTCGGCATTGCTATTTTTTTGCGCAAACTACAGATTGTATTGTAACTGATGAAACTCAAATGTAGTCGATTTAAATTTTATGATCGTATTTCATAAATTCTTTCAAATAATCTCAATAGGCACAACAACCTGTTATATAAAATATTAAAGTGTGCATTCTATGAATCTTCATGATGATACAACATTCTTAATAGACTTAGCAGAGTGCAGTACAACATTAATCCAAAGTAATCTACAAACTCTTGTAGTACCTACATTTTATGTAACATGCATGAACGCATGTGTTGAAGGATGGTGAAGGAGCTTAGTTAGCTTATTGACATTCCAAGTTTCATTGATTGCATTGAATGAACCAATCACCATTTTGTCAGCTTAATTAAATTCTCCACGCTTATTCAAGGAATATGGCTTTGCACTCCCGAACTTAGTATCTAAACGTAGCACAGGTTCATAACTCTACTAAATAATACAAGTGATATGAATTAGAGTATTTTATAATACACAACTTATTCTGTAGCAGTGAAAAAATATGATTTATTGATAAAATATCCCAGGGTACTTCTTAGCCATCAGAAACAGCATTAAATTTTTCATTAAAAAGAAAATGGTAATTTATTTCATAGTTATACTAATTGATGAAGCATTAACAATTATTTTAAATTGACAAAACGCTTCTGTCATGAGCCAACAGTATATATCTTTACCAATGTAAATATAATTCACAATACCCATATTTATCTACTTTGGTCATTTACTTGGTGGCAGATGTTAAAACAATTTGATATAGAACTAATCAAGGTGTATGTTATTTTGCCAGGTTGGCGGCTTGTTTCTTTGCTTTCACTAATTCGACTAGCTCCTTGTATCGTTTCATGCAGTCTTTTTTTGTACGGTTCGGTATGCAGTCCGCTATTTTCTCCCACCGCTCCGGCGTGCTTACAGGGAACGTTTTAATGGCTTGTTCAAGCAACTCTTGTTCAGTTTTCGTCCACGCTTTGTCCTCTGGCTTGGCAGCCTCTTCCGGTTTCGGCGTGGCTGTACCGTTCACTATTTTCGCAGGGTTGTCACTTTTAGATATTCCACTGTCATCAATATGGTTATGACCTTTCTTTTTCTCTTTTTCAAACTGATCAAAGGCTTCTTCATTAGCAGCCTTTTTAAGAGTGCTTTTTGAGAAATCTGAACTTTGCAAATCTTTAGCTTTGTTTAAAACATCTTTCGCTACAAACCTCCTCTCATCAACAAATGTACCATGTTGGTTTAAGAAGTTTGCTACTACCTCCCACCTCTGGTTAGTTCCTGCTGGGAACAGGTTTACAGCCTTAATCAGAAGTTGTGTCAACTCAACTGTCCACTCAATGGGTTGCTTTAGTGCAGATTCCTTTCTAGCCTTCTGTTCTTCCACTCTTTTATTCTCAAATATAGCTTTTCTCTCAGCTTCTAGTTTGTCCTCCGTTTCTTTGACAGTTTTAACAAAAGCTTGCCTGCCATTACTCTCAAGTTGCTTTACTAAGTCTTGTAGTTCTACTACCTTCAACATTTCACATATTTTCTCTACAGCTGCCATATGAGCTACAGTTTCATCTTCACTATTGGCATAATAGTTATTAGCTTTACACATGTCTCGGAGAGCTTTTTTCTCTTTTCGCAAGTTCTTCTTCTGCTGCTCGCGTTCCGCCCGCGCGGCCTCTACGCGCGCCCGCTCCGCCTCTTCTGCCTTTTGCTTGGCAAGTTGAGCTTCCTTCATAAGACGTTCTTCTTCAGCTTTCTTAGCTTGTACTGCATCCTGCAAATGTTAATAACAGTAAAAATTAATCTAGCAAATCCATCAAATACTGCCAGTAAGTGTAAATTGTATAATTCTATAGTATGTACTTTAATTTCTTTCATGTATATCATCAGATAATTAAAAAATAATCAAAAGGTGCTGAAATATCTGTGAGAAGTAAATGTAAAGTGGTTAATGGAAAATGAAAGGTATGATAATGTTATTATCTACTTATATTATCTATTTTTTTTTTGGAATATTAAATTTTAATAAAAAGACGAGCTATTTATGATTTGTGTGCTGTATTACTACAAAACATAACATAACGTCACACCTTTTATCCCGAGAGGGGTAGGCAGAGTTGCGCACACACACACACACACATTACGGCACTTAATGCCACTATACAATGTAACACCCACTACTTATCACTATAATGTTATGAGTCTCATGTAATAGGCGGTGACCCTATTGCCATATACCGGGCATAATTTCAAACTCCGTGCTACTACTGCGACTTTTTTACAAAACCCAGTAATACTTAGCCCAACCCGGGAATCTAACCCGGCAGTCGCACTTACAACCACTTGGCCAACAAGTAAGAAAATATTATAAATTTTATTGAAGCAGTTGGAGGGCAATAATGGTTGGGAGTTTTGAATTGAAATTCAGTTGAATGTGATGTCCAAACGGTCCTTTTGTAATACAAACTTGTAACTAGTTACTGGAAGCTGCACTGTAGCTTACCTGTCTGGCACGTTTTGCAGCTAATTTCTTGTCCTTATCCTCCTGTTTGAACCGCTGGATCCTGGGGTCATTAGCATATGCCAGATCCACCAAACTTCTTACTCTAGCCATCTCTTCTTTCTTCAACTTGGCCCTTGCAGCTTTGTTCTGCTTTTCAATCCACCTTCGTTCCTCTCTGTCGGCTCCTCTCTCCTTCTCTTCTTCATCAAGATAAGAGAATTCTCGCCATGACTCGAATTCATACCAAAAAGCATAAAATCTTTCAACCTGTTCCCGGCTGCTGTTCTCATCACCGAGTAAAGGCACATTCCTTTTCTCAGACCATCGTGCGTTTGACTCAAAATGTTTAGTGAAAGATTTATAGAAACCGTCTCTTTTGATATCACTTTGTGAGGGCACAGTATCGTCAATAGTGGGGTCTATCGAGTCGTACGACCTGCGTTTGACTGGAGTTCCCAATATTTCATACGCCTTTGTAATGCACGTAAAGTAATCGTCGTCGCTGCGGATCTCCTCTCCCTGCGCCTTGCGCTTGTCGGGGTGATGCTTCAGTACCTTCTGCCGGTAAGCACGTTTTATGTCGTCATCTGTCGCTTTGTAACGCAACGTCTTCATACCTAGAACAGCATAGTGGTCTTGCATCTTCCAATCTTTGGGATCTAAACTCCGCAGGTACTCGACGTCATCATCAAAAATGACTTCTTCTGTTTTTTCATTGGACTTTAACGTTTGGAACAATGCATCGCCACCATGGCATTTTACATTGTAATATCTAAGGAATGCCGCACCAGCGCACTCCACTCTTCTCTTAACAAAAGGGCAAGGGATTGCCACCATTCTGCTGCTGTCTCCGGAATCTCCGTCCGTCATTTTAGAAAGGATAGAATACTTTTATTTGGACAAAGCACTAACATAACCTATAAACAAGGTAAACACCTTCCAACTTAACTGGACTCTGATCTGATATCTAGTGTGTAGTTTCTACAAATCTAACACTTCAATTAAGTCATTTAGTTATACGATTACATTTACAACTATTAATTATCACGTCATTTTACAAGACAAAACGCGCCATGAAACGAAAGCAGTGGTGCCAGTGTTCTCGATTTTGAACGTCAAACCCAAAGAGTATAATAAGTAAGGGGTTGTCAAACCCGTCAAAGCGAATATTAAAAATATTATTTTACTCTATGGAATCACGTCTGCGAAATCGGTAGAGTTGCCCAAAGAGTATAATAAGTATAGATAGGTATCTATCTATTATACTCCAAAGAGTATCGGTGAGCACAAGTGAACAATTTTTTTTATCTTTATTTTATCTTATGGTTTACAATGTTGATACCTACTTTATAATTCATAAGTAAATACATTTTTCAATTTTATAAACACGATACCTTGCTTCTCAATGTAGCCAAGTACGTTGAAAAAAAAAGGCGGACGTAGTGTCATTTACAAAATGTCAGTGGTACCTATATTTATGTGATACTAGCTTTTACCCGCGGCTTCGCTCGCGTCATAAAAGGATAAAAAGTAACCTATGTGACATATACCAATACATACAGCGCCATCTATACCAATACTTTTGTTTTTCTTTGGGAAAATCTTATTTTTCCGGGTTAAAAAGTACCCTATTATTTAATCCGGACTTCTAACTTTACGTCTGCAAAAATTCAAAGCAATCGGTTTAGTAGTTACGGCGTGAAATCGGAACAAACAAACAAACAACCATACTCACTTTCCGATTTATAATATTAGTAAGGGTGCGGAAGCAAGGATTGCAACACAGTAGTGTACGAAGTGGAATGAGGGGCTATGTCTCGCGACAGATGTCCTTCGTGTCAATGTGTGTGTATTGTGCGTGTAAGTCTATGGTTTATGTCCGCCTTTTTTCAACGTGCTTAGTTACATTGACGCAGGGTACCGTGTTTATTAAAATGTATCATGAGCTACATTAAAGCTCGCAAATTTTTTTCATGCGCACTACGTACGTAACTTACCTACTGATTATTAACTTAGGTACAGTTCTCAAAGCAAAACAGCCGTCACCGTAAAATAGGTAGCAACAAAAATAACGTTTCAAAATTTCATGTGTGCGTGCGGCTTGTGGTTTACACAGACCAAAAATGATACCAGCTACGACAAAAAATCTCCCATCAAAATTTTGTAGCGTGCATGCACGTGTGTGTCACGATTGGTACTACTTTTCCCCTATACTTATTATACTCCTTGGTACCTACTACTTGACGGGAAAGTGCATTGCAAATGTTTGTGCCGCTTTTTTTTATGGCATGTAAACGAGTAAACGGATCACCTGATGGTAAGCAATCGGCGTCGCCCATGGACACCTGGAACACCAAAAGCGTTACAAGTGCGTTACCGGCCTTTTGGGGATTCGGGGATTGGGCAGATTGGAGAAGGGGGGAGGGAGCTGGGCCTCCGGTAACCTCACTCACACGACGAAACACAACGCAAGTGTTGCTTCACGTCGGTTTTCTGTGAGGCCGTGGAATCACCCCGGTCGAGCTGGCCCATTCGTGCCGAAGCTTGGCTCTCCCACACTTGACGAACTTTTTGTTTTTTTTTTGACGAACTATTGGGATCTGAGTTGATTATCTGAGTAACTACTGACTACATTTGAGTCTTGTCCCGTAGAACCGAACCAACATGCTACCAAGCATTCTTATCTTCAAGATAATCTGTCAGTTTGTAGTAAGCTTAATTACATAATTCGATTACATAGTTATGTTTTAAACTTTCATTAAGATCTAGTATGCTACTTGGTATTTTATTACATAGCATTTGATACATAACCCAATGAAGGATTTTTGTACCTATATGCGGACCCCATTGCAGCCTATTGCCTAATGTAATGCCTAAAATTTTTTTTAAAGAATACTTTGGCCGTGATCTACAAGCGATACCAAAGCTAAAAATTTGGTTTTTAGAATTTTTGTCTGTTTGTATGTATGGAATGTAACATCCACTTTTCACTATTTATGTTATGAGTCCCGTGTAATAGGAGGTGACCCTATTGCCATATACCGGGCACAATTCCAGACTCCGTGCTACTACTGAGAAATTTTTAAAACCCAGTAATACTTTGCCCGACCCGGGAATCGAACCCCTTGCCCGGCAGTCGCACTTGCGACCACTCGGCCAACGAGGCAGTCTAGTCATAAAGATATTAATCGAGCCCTGAATTGCAAAATACAGCTTTGAAAAAACGAGTTTGGAAATTAAGATCGCTAGTATCGTATCTGTTCGGTTCGGTTCGAAACAACCGGTTTCGATATTTGTTATTTTGTCGAGTAAGAGGAGGTATTATGTTCGGATGATTGTTTATTGATGGGATTTTAATGGGACAGGGTCCGGAGTGGATGATTCAGTCCAAGTCAATAGTTCCAGCTGTCACTGCGTTAAACTCTTTTTCGCCAAACTCTAGACAGGTAATTAGGTATACAACATTTTAGGTCAATCGATTTGAGTTGTTGCCGCTGTTGTTGTTGTAATCGTATTTTACTCACCCTTTAAACCTTCCCTAGACTTCCACGAACATTTTAAGACCAAAATTAGCCAAATCGGTTCAGCCGTTCTCGAGTTTTAGGGAGACTAGGTATACGAACGGAAATTAATTTTTATTTGTATAAGGTAAATAATATTTAGATCAGAGTGTGGTTTTCCAATAACGATAACTCAGTACGTACAATGACCAGGTTTATACAAACAAACAAAGCAAGTACTTACCTACTTATATGTATAAGTGCGTCAAACATGTTGTTTATTAACTATTTATAACTAGCTTTTGCTCGCGACTTAGTCCGCTGATTAATAACTTCAGACAGAATTTACATTTTTTGACTTGTCCCATTTTCCAAGACCTATATCTATGTATGATATCAAATTTCATTATAGTAACTAAAGGTATAATATATTTCACCCTAACTTGCACCGTGATTTATCTCATACGCGGTGTGGTTTTACCCATACAGTTCCCGTTCCTGTGAGATTTTCAGAACAAAACCTTTTTCGAGTCTCAAACTACCATTGTACGGAATTTCAATCAAACAGGTTAAGTCGTCTAAAAGAAATTGCGTCCCGGGATTTTAACCCTTAGTACCCTTTTCCGTGGGGTTTCCAGAATAAAACCTATCTAGGTCCTTTCTCGGGTCTCAAACTACCATTTTGGGGAATTTTAATCAAATAGTTAAGCAGTTTGAAAGAAATAGTATATCGGGATTTTAAGGCTTTTTTAAAGGGGGAAAATCATCGAATGACTGCTCCCGCCTGGGTGAGGCGGGTGGGAGTGTCAGACTCTTACTGACTAAAAACCACCCCGTTCCTTCTCCTGCACGTCGAGCCGGAGCCACGGTTACCCGTTAGGTTTTCCGCGACAAGGATTTTAAGCCCTAGTAGTTTCTGGGATAAAACCTGTCTAAACCATGTGTTAGAGTTAAAATTATTACTGTTTTTTTTTAAGGGGTGAAAATCATCGAATGACTGCTCCAGCCTGGGTGAGGCGGAAGGGAGTGTCAGACTCTTACTGACTAAAAACCACCCCGTTCCTTCTCCTGCACGTCGAACCGGAGCCCCGGTTACCCGTTAGGTTCTCCGCGACTCCGAATCGGCATCGGCCCTATTGGGCCCATCTGTGGTGGTCTGATGGCTCTTTGAGGCGAGCGCGGAACGCGACGCACCGTACGCTCGGGTCTGTTTCTGGTCGGACGGGGAGCCACCCATCCTCGCAGCGCTTCGCTGCCTCACGCGTCCCGCCTCCTCCTTAGCTAGCATAACTGCTTCGCAAAAGGAGGAGACGGCATCCCAGTCCCCCTCGCTCCGCATCATGGCCTGCACTAGACCCGGACGCGAGTGGTCGCCATCGCCGATGACTTCTCTGAGGGCACGGCGGTGCTCAGCCCACGAAGGACATTCCGCTACAGTGTGTTCCACCGTGTCCTCAGGGCGGTCCTCGCAGTGATGACATCCGGGCGTTTCCTCCCGCCCCATCAGACACAGGTACCTCCCGAAACTTCCATGTCCGGTGAGGACCTGCGTCAGGCGGTACGTGATGACGCCGTAGCGTCTCTCAAGCCACTCCTCAAAGAGGGGTTTTACCGCTGCAATGGCAGCGAGCCCAGCCCTCGGTTGCGACAGTCGTTGCTGCCATTCCGCCATGAGATCGCGCCGGAGCTCATCCCGCCACGCACTTATCTGGCGCGGCAGCAGAGTTTCGCCCCGGCGACGTGCCTCCGCGCGCATGCGACACACGCGCGCGAGCACCTTCGCCTCCAGATCCCACGGCGGTAATCCGGCAAGGAGGTTCGCCGACTCCCCGGAGATCGTGCGGTATCCGCGGATCATTCGGATCGCCATGACCCTCTGTGACATGAGCAGCGTCCGAGCGGGACGCCGCAGCATGTTCGGCGCCCACACAGGGGCGCCGTAGTGGGCCATGGACCGCACGACCCCGGCGTATAACCTCCGGAAATTATTACTGTAGCGTGTACGGAATTTCAGTCAAATAGATGCAGTGGATTTTAAGAGAAATAGACTTGGGATTTAGACATATATTTCTGGCATTTTAACTTTGTTCCCGTTCCCGTGGGGTTTCTAGGACCAAACCTGTATATGTCCTGTCTCGGGCCTCAAATTATTATTGTGCGGAATTTCAGTCAAATAGGTTTAGTACCTACCTAGTTAAAAAGAAATGGTGGCCCGAGATTTTAACGCGTACCTATCACCAGTTACTCGGGGAGAACTCCAAGGGCGTGGAGCAGGAGTGTTGTCGTTATGTTCTTTAAGAAAGGAGACAAAACCCTCTTGAAGAACTACCGACCTATTTCCATTCTGAGCCATGTCTACAAGCTGTTTTCCAGAGTCATCACTAACCGTCTCGCCCGAAGACTCGATGAGTTTCAGCCCCCTGAGCAGGCTGGGTTCCGAGGAGGATATGGCACCATAGACCACATACATACAATGAGGCAGATTATACAGAAGACTGAAGAGTATAATTTGCCCCTATGCCTAGCCTTTGTGGATTACGAGAAAGCCTTTGACTCTATTGAAACCTGGTCTGTTCTGGAGTCCTTGCAACGGTGCCAAGTCGATTGGCGATATGTCCAAGTGCTGAGAGATCTATACGATACTGCAACTATGGTCGTCCAAGTACAGAACCAGCAGTCTGAACCTGTCTATCTGCATCGGGGGGTAAGACAAGGCGATGTTATTTCTCCTAAATTATTTACTTGCTGCTTTGGAGGATATGTTCAAGACGCTGCACTGGAAGGGACGGGGCATAAATATAAACGGCAAGTATCTCTCACACTTGAGACTTGCAGATGACATCGTCATCGTGGCTGAAACCGTGCAAGACCTACAATGTATGTTGAACGGCCTGGCTGATTCTTCTGCTCGCATTGGACTCCGGATGAACCTAGACAAAACGAAGGTGATGTTCAATGAACATGTTCTTCCGGAGCCGATCACTCTGAATGGGTCTACTCTCGAGGTTGGTCAGGAGTATGTCTACCTAGGACAAACCCTACAGTTTGGTAGAAACAGCTTCGAGAGGGAGGCTCGTAGAAGGATACAGCTTGGCTGGGCGGCGTATAGGAAACTCTGTCGGGTCTTTTCGTCAACTCTACCGCAAAGCCTGAAGACGAAAGTCTTCAACGAATGCGTCCTACCAGTCATGACATACGGAGCCGAGACGTGGACACTAACAGTGCGACTGGTCCACCAATTTAAGGTGGCGCAGCGAGCTATGGAGAGGGCTATGCTCGGAGTATCTCTGAAGGATAGGATCCGTAACGAGGTGATCCGACAGAGAACTAAAGTTACCGATGTAGCCCAAAGGATTAGCAAGCTGAAATGGCAGTGGGCCGGTCACATTTGTCGAAGAACCGATGACCGCTGGAGTAGACGTGTTCTAGAGTGGAGACCGCGTCTAGGCAAACGTAGTGTAGGGCGCCCTCCAGCTAGGTGGAGTGACGATATACGTAAAGTGGCTGGTAGTGGTTGGATGCGTAGAGCTGAAGATCGAGCTCAGTGGCGTGCCATTGGAGAGGCTTATGTCCAGCAGTGGACGAAAACAGGCTGTTGATGATGATCACCAGTTTCCGTTAGGTATCGGGGTTAAAACCTGTCTAAGTCCCTTTTCGGTCTCATAAGGTATCATTGTACGGGATTTTAGTCAAATAGTCAATCTTATCAACTATCTGCACTCAATAAAAAATCATGCCAATTTCTACCAAAACAAACAGACACACACAACGTTCTATTATTAAGTATACATTTCTATGTTATCTGACATATTGTTGACAAGTGAGTATTCTTCCAATGGATCATTGACAATTTAATATGTTTTTATTATCATGATATAGCATTAAGGTATGCAAAGAGGATGAACACTAATATTATTAACTAAATCGCTGGTTACTCACGTGAATATACTGAGAAAAGCTCTACTAGTTTCGAACCCCATAGGGGTTCTTCTTCATGAGCAGCGTAGAAGGTCGCTACTCACTCCTGATAATTACACGTATATTATTGACCACTGAACTTATATATGTATGATAAAAATTCGGTTCAACAAGAGTTTGAAACACTGGCACTGGAAAGGACGTATGATTGATGATCCCAGAAATCCCACGGGACAGGAACTGCGTTAAACTTCTGGGTCTCTCTATCTTTTTGTTCTAAACTTATGCAAAAATATGTAAATGACCAACATTTCACAATAACTAGGTAGGTACACATAACTGAATCGATTTTGATAAGATTTGTTACACAGCATTGAAATTAACCTTCGAAAAGACTTATTAAAAAATCCACAATTTGCCAGAAGTCATTATTATGCGCGGACAAAGTCGCAGGGAACAGCTAGTCTATTGTATAAAATTACTGAATGATTGATTGACTGCTACTGCTAGGCAACGCACAGCTGCAACTACTGGACCTAGGAAGTTGAAACTCCGCATGTATGTTCCTGGGAAGTGGAAGTATAGGGGAGCACTACAAGAGGATTTCCCTAAATTCCCACGGGAATGGTAAAACCAGGAATTACTTGTGCTTACAAAGCCGCAAGCATAAGCTAGTTACATATAAACTTAATGAAGTTAAGGAAATTGTTATCAATTAATATGTTATCACCTTGGCACTACTCATAACCTGTTACGTCAATATTATACTATTTATGTGCGTCGGCTGTCATTTCATTGCAGACAATCACCAACAGCGCTATAGGAACGACCGCGGCTGCATATTAATTTTTCGTTTTGTTTTTCAAAATGGGTACCAAAAGAGTTTTATTGACGGGATTCGGCCCTTTTCCTGGAGCTGAAACTAATGTAAGTTGGGAAGGTGTGAAAAGTTTGAACAAAGAAGGAATTGAGAACGAACTCGACATTAATTTGTTTCAAGAGCAAATAGAAGTGCGTTACGGCTTTGTCGAAGGGTGTGTGCCTAAGCTTTGGGCCAAATACCAACCAGACGTGAGTACCTACCAACATCATACACCATCCTCACCAGCCCACTGCTGGGCTATACTGGGCTTACCGCTCCTTTATAGTAGAGAATCTTGCTATAGGTAATGTAATCTCTATGCTAGACATTGGCAGGCAGATTCTAAAACGTAGTTTAAAAGGTTCAGGTTTACCAGAGTGCTACTGCCCGATCTCTGTTAAATGAATAGGTAACTCCTTAGTCGGCTTTTATGATAAACGCGGAAAGTATGGTAATGGTGACAAAATTCTATTCTATTACCACGACGTTACAAGTGGACATGCGTACAATAGGTACCTATGTACTGATGTTAATATTTTTTATTATTTTCAGTTCGAGTTAATTTTGTTTATATTTTCAGTTAACTATCCACGTTGGTGTAAAGCCTGGTATTTCGACTTTAGCCCTAGAATTACAAGCTTCGAGGGAAGGTTACGATCGCGTTGACACCGCTTTCTCTTGCCCCGCGGAGCAAAAGCACTCGTGTGACGGACCAGAAGTCATCAGCACTGAGATGTGTCTGAAAGAGTTAGAAGAACAGTTTAATAAAAGCTCCCCGGTTGAAGAACTTAAGGCTGAAGTATCTATCGACGCTGGCAAGTGAGTAATACTATAAATAACTGATTTTACTAATTTTTACTAGTAGCTTAGATAAATGTCCAGGGAGTCCAGGTGATTTAATCGCTTTTTGATGGACCTCTTTATCGAAATTGAAATAAGTGTCTATGAGCGTAAGAATGGATGACCGCCAGTGGTGTCGAACGGATTCTGGACCTCTGTCTCACCCAAATCAAAGAGAGACGACACTCCACCGATTAGGTGACGCAAACAATTAAAGTCTTGAACAATTCTAAAATAGTGGATAGTAATGTTATAGTTACAATATGTCTAGATTAAAAATAGAAGACTCTGGTCTTACTTAAAAATAGAGATACGATGGCATGTGACATGTAAATCTGGTAATCTTAGAACATTTCGTAGTCCAAATATCAAATCTATTTTTTAATATTATTTTGTATATTATCGTAATGTAAAAAAGTACTATGTAGAGATTTCATATAACAATTTGTTACAGGTATGTCTGCGAGTACACATATTACACTTCTCTTGTTCATGGCCCACACTGCCCACAGAGAACTTTATTCATTCATGTTCCCGTCAACAGTTGTCCTAAGCAAATTGCTCTATGTCTTGAGCACATGGTGAGGATCTGCCTTCAACAACTGAAACGTTCTTCATAGTTTACGGCTTCAGCAGTACTATCGTGTTGCTAATAAATGAGTGTCGGCTTATCTTACAATAATGATTGAGAAAATATATCTTTAATTAGTATTAGGTACCTAAGTAGGTAATTTAATTTGCAAAAGGTTTACATCTGAGGCATCCTTTTTTTGACCGACTTCCTGAAATGAACGAGGTTTTCAGTTCGGCCGTTACGTCTACTTATATCTTTTTTGTTGCTTTTTTGACGTCCTAGTATAGTACAAAGAACAACAGCCTTGCACGAGCTGTGTATTTATTTTATGTAATCTTCTTTATGTAGCGTGCATAAAACATCTTTCTTTTTATAAATGATAAATTTTAACACAACATGTTAAAATTTATTGCAATTTACAGCTTGATGTTGATGACAAAATATATATTCGCGGTAGTGAAATGTATGTGTTTACACAGTTGTTTATACTTTTAAAACCATGAACTGCTGTAACTTATCTAAAGAAGATCTACAACGTTAAGTTTTTACTAAAACGGCACATTTGTATGGTTTTACGAAGCCGCGGAGCACTCAGCGGGTTGCCGGGGTACCGGCTCGAAGTGCAGGAGTAGGAACGGGGTGGTTTTAAGTCAGTAAGAGTCTGACATCCCCTCCCGCCACACTCAGGCGGGAAAAGTAATTCGATGATTTTGCTTACTGTTGTGAATAAACATTAGTAAAGACATATTTATTTCACTACCGTGAATATACATACATATAGGTATTTGTATTTTATGATCATACCATCCGATATCGAACTGTATATTACCTATACACACAGAACCCTATACATGTATATGGCAAAATGCTGTAAATTTAAAATTTCGGGTGCTACCCTGAGACATTGTCGCGGAGAACCTAACGGGTAACCGGGGCTCCGGTTCGACGTGCAGGAGAAGGAACGGGGTGGTTTTTACTCAGTAAGAGTCTGACACTCCCTTCCGCGTCACCCTGGCGGGAGTAGTCTTTCAATGATTTTCCCCCCTTAAATAAAAAAAACCCTGAGACGTTCACCTTGCTTTCTCCATACGAATTATTATCTGCATTGTTAATATTGTGATATTTATATATTTTTTTTAGGTATATTAATTTAAATTATTGGTATTTTATTAGGTAGGTGTTGCTTATTTAACTTTATTGGAGCTTAAAGTTTTAGGGTATATTCACTCCTTTTTTCCACATCCGTGTAAACTTACTAGTATAGTCTGATAAGCGAGTCTAGCCCCATGAAAAAGGCGGCAAATTATTAAAGATTTATTTGAAATAAATAAAAAAAAAACAATAAGTTTTCAGCATGCTATATCAGTGTTGACACCTGAAAGATTTTTGAATTTGCCGCCTTTTTCATCAGACTCGCTTGACAGACTCTAACTTTACTTGTAGGTAACTTTAGTACAAATATTTAGAAGTTACATTAGGTACCTACTTTTTCTTTCTTTCTTTTAGTCTCCACTATTTAGTAGTTGACTATTCTGCCAGCGTCAAAGTTACCTACAAATTTAAATGTACATACATAGATCCTTGGGGAACCTACGCCTGTAGATTGACATCAACGTAAAGTGACAGAATGAATACCAACATTCAGACGATAAAATCAGTCAGCTGACTGTTGTGATGTTGTGTTTTTGATAACGAACGTTACCTGTCAAATAAACTAAAATCTATCAAAATCCTGACCAGACAAACCAAACTATGTCAAACAGTGTGAATTGAACTTGTTGCTACTCTAACAAATAGTTAAAATTTATAATTATTGATTATCATCCAAATTAATAAAAAAAACTCAACATTATGAGTGACGACCTCGACTTTTTGTTCAAACCAATAGTCTTGATAACCGGGTTTGGTCCTTACTTGAACCACCCGGTGAATGCTAGCTGGGAAGCAGTGAAAATAATGAACAAAGAGGCAATTGAGAAGAAACATAATGTAGAGTTTGTTCAAATAGAGCTGCCAGTAACTTACGAGAACGTGGATGAATTCGTTCCTGCGCTCTGGGAAACACATACACCAAAGGTAAAGAGAATTACAGATTTTGGTCCCTTTTTTTTAAATACTGCCTCGTTGGCCGAGTGGTCGCAATTGCGACTGCCGAGCAAGGGGTCTCGGGTTCGATTCCCGGGTCGGGCAAAGTATTACTGGGTTTTTAAAAAATTCTCAGTAGTAGCACGGAGTCTGGAACTGTGCCCGGTATATGGCAATAGGCTTACCCCCTATTACATGGGACTCATAACATAAATAGTGAAAAGTGGGTGTTACATTGTACAGTGGTATAATGTGCACCTCTGCCTACCCCTTTGAGGATAAAAGGCTATGTTATGTTATGTTTTTTAAATACCTATTAAAATAATTTTCTGAAAATGAATGTCTATCACCATAAAACATACTTAAATGAAATCGTTTTCTTAAATTCATGATATATTAATAAATACAAAAGGTAAATTAATTCTAATTTTATTAACTAATTGAAATAAGAAGGATTTTGCCTAGAACTATAATAATTATTGTATCAACTCCACCGTAAACAATGTGTCAATCCACATGTAGTATAGTAACACCCGAATACTGAATGGCTAGGTACTCAGTTTTAAGTTGGGCCATCTTTGTCATTTTACAAAGAATTTGTAGTGTAACTATACTTTAGCGCGACTCAATGAGTGGCATTTGAGTATTAGTACATAAGTTTGTTAAATTTCAATTTTGCAGCTAATGATACATGTAGGAGTATCAAGCACGGGTCAGTGTTTGCAGCTAGAATCCCAAGCACATAGAAAAGGTTACAAGAAGAAGGACTATTTAGACAAACTACCAGCAAACTGGTCATGTCTAGCTGATGGAGCAATCAGATTACACACCAAACTGGATGTGGAACGAATCTGCAAGGAGTTTAATGGTGACAACTCACCACAAGAGAGGTACAGAGCTGAAGTATCATTGGATGCTGGACGGTAAGCCTTGTAAATTCATATTTAAAATATTTCTGTTTGGGTATTGTAAGATCTGACTGTAGTATTACTTGGTTTTATGAATATTTTATTAACTATCTACTCCACGCGGTTTTACCCGCTTTGCTAAGCTCCCATTGATCATAGGACCGTTCCTTGATTAATACACTACCTAACACAAAAAGAATTATTCAAATTGGACCAGTAGTTTTGGAGATTAGCGTGTCAAACCAAAAAACAAACTCTTCAGTTTCAATGATATAGGATTGTAGGGTGTATGGTGTAGCTTAAAGTTGTACCCAGTACAATATTCTAGTTACAGATAGTCATATAAATATACGTTATATCTAATTACATGAGCTATATACATGACCGGATTAAAGAATATATTTATGTTTTGTTTGTAACAAAGAATTGTATTCACTTGTAATGAATAGGACAAATAAAATATATGATTTGCACAGACTGGCTAATGATAAGATAAGAGATGATATTATTATATATCTCGGAACCAACAATGATGTAAACAGGTGTATGTCATCAGCAGCCATTTTGATAACAAATATTATGTTCAATGCTGATTCTGAAGTCCTGTAAAATCATTCCGATTTTTTTCTGCCTTGAATAATATTTTTTGACTGTCAATTAGCATAAATAGACAATGTTTAATATTACCACCTGTACTGTACCTGTAGTTTAATATATGCATGATTCTTACAATGCTATGTTAACAAATCAAAATAAGTACTAATAAAATAGTTATTGTGTAGGTCATACATATCATTAGTTGTTATGCCAATAACCCACTAGAATGGATTTAAGTAATAAAATAACACCCGCTCTGCTCGGCTCCTATTGATCATAGCTTGATGTCTTGATGTTCTATAGTATATAACCTTCCTCGATAGTCTCACTATGCAAAACAAAAATAATTATTCAAATCTGACCAGGATTTTCGGGGATTAGCGCGTTGTAACAAACAAAGTCGTCAGCTTTTTATATAACGATAAAAAGATGAATATATTATACTCTTATTAATTTATATATAAAGCTAAAGAGCTTGTTTATTTGAACATGCTAATCTCTGCAACTACCGGTTTTTTTGTTTAATAGTCTTTTTTTTGTTTGTGGAACACTATAAAACATCACGCTATGATCAATAGGGTACAAGCAGCAGGTAAAGTTCAGAAGTAGCTAGTAGGTAGGTACTACTTATGTAAATGAGGCTAAATGCTTGGAGCGAAGCATCAGTTAATTTTAATACCAGTATGTAGGTATGGTTTTCCAGGAAACTTAATTACCTACGTCACTTACATCTTATGAGATCTTTTCCAATTTATGTTTATCCCAATAATTGTGGTTTTGTACCTTGTATTTAATAATTATTTATTATTTTATTTCTCTTTATTCTAGAACTCTGATTAATGTGCCTCCTTATTTTTTCCTGTTTAGGTGTTTACGCACAAACTGAAATATTAATTAATTACGTGTTAAATAATGAAATACCTAGCTATTAGGTACGTACTACATAATGTATGGACATATTTAAATAAGATTTTATAACAGTTATAATATAATGTAATTATGGTTTCGAAAAGCTAGGAAATAAGGATAAAGAAGTAGGTAGTTTGTTAAGTTTTAATGCATAATTATTAAGTTACTTAGCGTTTCACATGGGAGAGCACCATGGGAGAGGTTCGGCACGAATAGGCCGGCGATAAACGACCTTTGTTTTTGGCACTGCGAGTAGTAGGGTACTGTAGACGCAAGCGCCTGAAGGAGCGGAGGTTTGGTCATACATCACTTCTTTGCCCAAACTGGCCTCTGGGCCTTGATGAGAGACGTAACCAGCTCCATGTATTGCAGGTATCTCTGCGAGTACATCTACTACACGTCGCTAAGTATAGACAGCAGCCGCACTCTCTTCGTGCACGTACCGGTCATGGATATCTACTCTCCCGAGGAGACCGCCAGTGGTCTCGAACGGATTCTGGACCTCTGTCTTACACAAATCAACGAGAGAGGAGACGCCACCGACCAGGTGACAGAACAATTGAAGAACACTAAAGTAGTTGATAGTAATGACATATAATCTACGTAGATAATTATTTACTTATCAATATATATATTTTATGATATATAATTATACCTTTGCATATTTCTATAAACTGCATTATTAGTTTGTAAGATGATATAGTTTCGTACCTGGTTTCAGTTTTATCATACATATTATTTACATTAGGATTTATGATTAAAATATAGTAGGTACGTAATTATACATAGCAGTTACAGCTACAGTAATGTATGCGTAGAGTAGGTATTATGTTAATTAGTTAGTTATTAGATATCAGTACTCAGGTATTAAATAATTAGTACCTAAAATAAAATTCAATTTTAAATAAGTGCCTAAATACTATGCTAATAGGTACCTACTTGGGTAATTTCCTCAAATATAATCAACAATACAATTATACAGGAATATTGTAAAAACACCTACCTATGTAAGACAACAAATTGTAAACACATGTTCATTGTAAACAAGCTTCATCTCAGCATTCCTTTGAAAATGAAATAAATAGCGCTGAATTCCAATAGGTAAGAGGTATATTTTGTTGAATAATTTATAAGACTATTTTGTTATAAGTTATAATTAATTAAATGTTCCGTGTTACAATTTGATGACTTTTATTTTTGATTCAGAAAATAAGTTGGTATAAAATAGGTTTAACAGCTTTTAGTAGGTACTTTTAGACTGCTGTGCCTTAGGTCCCCAGTGGGAATTTCTACAACACTGGTAGATATTTTTTTATTGGTTTTCCTAGTTTCGATTGTTGACACTAGTCACTCAAGTCACTGGCAGTCGGCCATGAGTTTGTTAAATGTGAACGTACCTATATTCACATTAAAATGTAGGTACCAATCTTTATAATGTATTTTTTTAAGGGGGGGGGGGGAATCATCAAATGACTTCTCCCGCCTGGGTGAGGCAGGAGGGAGTGTCAAGCTCTTACTATAATGTATAGGTGTGAGTTTTACAATGAAGCACTCACTTTTTTTGGTTGCGTTACGTTATGAGTTCCTTGTAAAAGAGGGCGACAATTTTCTAAATAAAAAATAACAACTGCGATACCTATCGCAGTAACGCTTACAGCCCACGTTCCCGTGAAATAAAAAATCATCATCATCATCAACAGCCTATAAATGCCCACTGCTGAGCAAAGCCTCTTCTCACACGGAGAAGGTTAGAGCATTAATCACCACGCTTGCTCAATGCGGGTTGGCGATTTCAAACTTATAATTAGAAATTATAAGTTCAGATTTCCTCACGATGTTTTTCCTTCACCGTTTGTCAGTGGTGTCTAAATAATCTTAGAAAGTACATATAACTCTGAAAAAGTCACATTGGTACTTGCCGTTAGTAGGTTTCGAACCCGCACCCTCATGCATGAGAAGTGGGCGTCTTAAACCTCCGGGCCACCACGAAATAAAAATTAGCGTTACCTATTCCAGACCATAACCTATCTCTGTTTCAAATTTCATCCCGATCCCTTCAGCAGTTGACGAGATTAAGTAATAAACACACACTTTTCGCATTAATACTTAATATAAGTAAGATAAAACTGAACAATAATATAATATGAATTTCCGTTACTATTTAGGTAAAAGGAAGTCGATATGGACATCGTAACTCATGCTTTAAACGTGACTCTCGTTTAAACAGGTAATTTCTTAGGTACCATTTACCATGCACTTTTGTAGATACTTACTAGGTACCTACCAACATTTTGTAGGTACATTGTTAATTTTTAGTTTGAAAAAACAGGTAATGTGGGGTTGCCTGGAATGTTTTTCGGAAGTTCTGAAAATTGGCATTGTACATTTTGATGTGCTCTTTCTGGTTTCTATTTTGCACTCTCGTACAAACGACGCTTGCGCCGCCATTTTTTCTCTTTTCCAGTGCATTTTAGGAGAAAAGACCAAAAACAGTTTTATTGTAATATACAAAAAAATAAAACTGATTTTAGCCGCCATTTTTCCACGATATGGGACGCGAGCGGCGCTCGTACGAGGGTGCAAATATTATTGGTATTGCCCATTTTCAAAACTCCCGGAACACATTCCAGGTAGAACTACCACATGACTGAACTACAATGAACGTTTGAACCGTAATTATACGCTTCTATTTAGATACGCTACTTCTGTTGGACGACGACCATACCGTTTCGCGCATCTGGTTTCGTTCGCCCGATTCATGAGATGCCTTGCAAATTGATAGTCCAAAAGGTAAATTTAAAAAAAAGTAAGATCCTACCAGTACACAAACATCTACATCACGCATTTTATCCCTGAAGTGATAGGCAGAGGTGTACATTACAGCAATGCCACTGTACAATGTAACACCCACTTTTCACTATTTAAGTCCTATTGGGCACAATTCCAGACTCCGTGCTACTATCTACTGAGATTTTTTTAAAATTCAGTATCATTTTCCCCGACTCCGGAATCTAACCTCTTTTCAGGCAGTCGCACTTGTGACGACTCGGCCGAGGCAGTCCTACCAGTATTATTTAGTAGGTAATTTAAATGATGTAATCGTAGAAGGTAGTGTACAAAATGAAAGTCAATTTAAGATAATAAACACGTCATTTATTGTCTAATCCTCCTCCTCATCAGCAGCGGCGCCGCCACCCTGTCCCTTGCGCAGGTTCTTCCTCTTGACGCGACCGGGCCTGCCGCCACCGAAGGGCGACTTCAGGGAGAAGTCAATGTGTTTGCCACTGTCCAGGCGAACAATGAATGAAGGAATGTTCACCACTTGTTTGCGTACACTGAGAACAACAATTTAGAACATTAATATTTTAAAATAATGAATCATCTTCAGCAGCCTTAACAAGAAAAAGGCCTCTTCTCACATGGAGAAAGAAAGAGTAAATTACCATGGTTGCAAAATATTTCTGAAGTCTAGGTTACTACCATTAATATGTGTCTAAATAAACATTAAATGCATGTGTAACTCAGAATGTCACATTGGTACTTCTTAGGTTTCGAACCAGCACCCTCCTGCTCAAACAGCAGAAGCCTATCTCCGGGCTACCTCATCTACTTATTTATAAAATAACTTACACAGTTCATATTACTTGAAATCGGTTAATAATGCACTGTGAGTCCAGCAGGTCATTTAAGTCTCAAATGTTCAGGATGACCCTGCTCATTCACTAGATCTGGTTATGGACTGTATGTTTAGACCTTACCTTAGTAAAGCTCACAGAGCTTATAAATATTTCAAGACATTGACTCCAACAGTGTTGGAAGCCAAGTGGTCTTTTAGAATAAGAGCCAAAACCAGACAGCTGCTGCCAGCATGTAAGTTCACCTGTATTTCATAATTTTGTGTTAATTCAGATATGCCATAATCAATCAGCTGATTACACTGAAAAATGTTTAATCCAAATTCTTTTTACTGCATGGTTAATAAAATATAATATGCAATTCGGTTTTTCACTTCATAGTCTGTACAAAACAACTTACCGGATGTGCCTCTGTCTGATGAGGATACGGGCATGATGGATGGACTTGGCGAGACCAGCCTTGAACACCTGGGTCTGCAGACGGCGCTCCAAGAAGTCCTCGATCTTCAGACCGAGCACATAATCGAGCTTCATTTGTTTCTCATCCAATACTCCGATCCTGACAAGACGACGCAGAAGCGCGTTACCTGGAGACATCAAGATATTATTTCAGACATGTTGCTTATTTAGCAATTTACAAAAGTATTGTAAAAATAATTGTCAGTAAATTATGAGATCAACATTTTTCTTCAGATAAGAGGTTGCCAGATTTTTTCATCATTTAAATAGTAAAAAACATAACACATGGTTTGGTACCATACAACCTTCAAAAATTTACAAAAATGTGGTTGTTGAGTATTAGGGAATAGTCTTGAACACGGTAGACATTATATTTAGCTTATCTTACCTTCGAACAACCTCTTGGGGTCCTTCTCTTCGAGGGTAAGCAGCTCACGAGCAGCCTTACGGATGCGGGCAAGCGTGTACTTTACGCGCCATACCTCACGCTTGTTGCGCAGACCATACTCTCCGATGATCTTTAACTCCTGGTCGAGACGCGCCTTCTCGAAGGGACGACGAGGCGTCACATAGGTTTTGGAGAATACCGACGGTACTCTGTTGTTCACCATCTTGGCGAGCTGCAATGTTAGAAAACTAGTAAAGTTCCACGCCGACACAAGTCAATCACAAACCAATAACTATACCTACAACAGATGTTATGGGGCGATGGAGAGTTTTCCAACGCTGTAATCGAAACCTTTACATGAAGTTGCTAAGTTTTAAGTTTGTAGCCACAAACCGTTGCAAGTGCCCAACACCCAATTAATCAGAAAAGGCTAATACACTTGGGAATCTAGGCTCATGGCGTTAATATAGCCTAATTGTCCATTCATAACAATTTATTAAGAAATCGCTATGATCTACTCTAAGGCATTTACAGGTTATGTTCACAAAATCCGCTTTCATCTAGGAAATTGTTACATATTTAACATTCTTATTTACACTCATAATATTACAATGCAATGACACAAGTAAATTAGCACTTATTTTACAAAATAATCACATAAAACAACAAATTTATAAATAATCACCTCGTTCCGCTAACACGGCCCACCGAAAAAAGAGACTAATATCTAGAAGAGGTGTCAGTTGTCAAAAAGAAAGCATAGACTACAGAATTATTATTCTAAAAATGTTGCCAGTCCATTTAAAGTTTAATGCTGGAAATATATTGGCGTGGACCTGTATGGTGTGGTACTAGATTGTATGAAGTCTATTAATTTCATACATTTACTATGGTTAGAGCCACACTTGTATGTTATGGAGCGTCGTATCACACCCTAGCGTGGTGGGTGTGGTCTGCTGGTGGCCGTTACGATGTGTGTATTTGTGTAATGCTCATAAGCAGTCGTGCGCAAGAGGGTCGCATCGCTGATTGACGGGCGACAACTGCGACAGAGCCACATTTGCATGAGGTGACACATCATTATCATTATTAACAACCGGAAAACGTCCATTGCAGTACAAAAGCTTCTCTCCTAGTTGTATGAAATGCCGCATGCCCCCGCTTAACACAGCTCTAGCTCAATCTAATCTGATATCTAATGTCACGACGGTCAAAGTAGGGAATCTTCTAACCGATATGATGCATACTCTATTAGATACTTGACGCCATATTTAAACAACTACCTACTCTTATTTACTGGGTTTAAATGATGACAATTAATAATAATGTCATCAAATCATATAGCTTACTTATTTATCTGCTTAGATAAATCTCAAAATAAACTTTCAAATCATAAATATTAAAATACAGAAACTATCTTCACTTCAAGAATGTAGGTATTGTATGGCAGCGTATTTTCACTATTACAATACTAGACTGGGGCCTACTGGGCCCCGCTCTGCAAGCATTTGGCAACGAAGTACCATCAAACTATAGCAAAATGTATAAGAGTACTACACTACTACCACAGAGTATTATAATAAGTATACGGGTAATAAGTACTAGGGATGTTACGGAGCTTCGATTCCGGTTCTGTTAAGTCGAAACTTCCGATTATTATTATACTTTCGGTTCCGACACTTTTTAATCGGAGCTCGAAGCATAGATACCGGGCGGACGCGGCGGCCTGTGCCGACGGATCTTTGCGACCCTAGGTTAGTTTATATAGATATATATTTTTGACAATGAAACCTAAATCAAGTTGTATTTGGAACTACTTCATTGAAGTAAATTCATTCAGATTCGGCAAAGTGTAAACTGTGTATGAAGACGTATTCAAGAAAGGGAGGTACGACGTCTTTAGAAAGCCATTTGAAGTCCGTCCACACTACTGAATATGAAGAATTAGTAACGGTAGAAACCATCGACTTCGACGCCCTTTCAGGATGGTAGAAAACAAATAAAGTTTGAAAAAAACTTTGGCTAAGAATATAAAATGGTGCAATTCTAATCCTAATTCTATGGAAATTGACAAATTGATTTCTGAAATGAATAAAAAAATACTACATTATGTTTAATTTGTACTTAAATAATAATTCTCTCTCATGTCACCACTTCTGACCCTGCCTCCGATTCCGATTCCGATAAAGCAAATTTAAGGACTCCGATTCCGCATTCGGTTCCGATAAAACTACTTCCGTTACATCCCTAATAAGTACTATGAAGTATTTTCTTGCAATATCAAGTATTAAGGCAAGGACGTTAAAAAATTCATCATCCTTGTATCAAGAGACGGTTTTTTAATGTCCGATTTTATCTTTATATTTCATGTGTCGCTGAAGGGTATATTGTCAATTTTCGATTAATATTGATTACCTACCTTTCTATCTATACTAAAAACCTGAAGTATTTGTTTGTATGAATAAATGCCGCTATAATGTCCAGAAGTATTGATTCGAATTGAATAGTTCTGAGTTGTTGACTGCGATAAAATTCAATGATACAAATAAAATATATTTATTTATACAAGAAATATACAATTTCATAAATTCTGTAACAGTTGATTAAAATTTCTTGAACTTCATGAAGTTTTTATATTTTTTAGGATTCAACCCGTACGCCTTCAACCTTTCGTCTGATAAGTTGGTGAGAGGGTTCATGGGCTGATTGGTTTGCTTCTTCTTGAACTTATCATTTTGTTTCAAATTCTTTTTGAAATCTTTCTTGTTGCCTTTATTTTTCTTTTGGCTAGGCTCCCCAGAATTGGAATCAGCTTTCCGTTTTAAATTTTTCTTTACTTTTTCTATGTTCTTTTCTTTATTACCATCTTCATTGTTTTCAGTACTCAGTTGACTAGGTTCAGCGTGTTCCACAGTTTCAACAGTAAATTCTTTATGTTTCTTCTTCTTTTTCTTTTGTTTTAATTCTCCATTCTCTTCTGGACTTGCTTCTTTATGTTCGTCATTCGATTCTTGCACTGAATTATTTTTGTTCTTGTCTTTCTTCTTCTTTTTAGGGCTGGGTGAATTGTCTGTTTCGTTATGTTCAACCTCTTCATCTTGCTCAAGTGCTGGTGTCTCTTGTTCAGCTGCCTCTGTAGTGGTACCTTCGGTGTTATCTTCTTTGTTCTTTTTCTTCTTCTTCTTTTTTTTCTTTTTCGTTTCTTCTATTGGTACTACTATCTCTGGGTCCCTGAAAATGAATACAACATTGTTATACAAAGTAGCACAGTACATTTGTTTGTTATTCTTAGATCTTTTACCTACTATACAATTGAATGTATCTGATCTATATTGTTCTGTATGTGCCTATAACAGTACACTTACTCTGGCAAGTCTTTGAACAGACTGGGCAGTATTTTCTTCTTGAGTCGTACATCAGCTGCCTTCTGCGCGTAGTTCCTGGCGTCTCCCTTCTCCACGTTCTCAGGGCGGTGTTTCAAGATCTTCTTTAGAGGCACCCACTGAGTCAGCTCCTTGTCATCAGCCAATAAAATCTAGAAACAACCAATATTTATATTATTAAGACAGACTCAATCTTCCCAACACGAAGTTAGACAAGTTTGATCTACAAAAAAATTGATTCTTTTTTAATTCGTCGAATGATTGCATTGCATGACTGCTGAGAGGTGTTGGATTGTGTCTAACAAACTGTCGATGACAATTCTTCTCAGGTTTTCGTATTTCTTAGTAACACCACAAATTCTAGTAACGGACATAGAGTTACTCCGTAATGTAATGTTACTCAGAATCTGTGAAAGGAACTTAACATTAACTACACATGTACTACAACGAACACAGAATGAAAAGCATTACATTAAATATCTACATAAACAATTTTACCTCTTCGACAGTGAGTCCATAATCGCATGGCACGACTTCCCGGTACTTGAACCTGGTCGGCAGGTCTCCGCCAATCACGTCTTCGCAATCCATTTTATAATATTCTTCCATATACTGGTCATATGTTTTGTCCACCACAGTGGGCACAAACTTCGGTTTCTCAGAAGACAGTAACTCTGCTAATTTAGACTTCTTCTTCCTATTCCTTTTCTTTTTGCCTAGAGTCTTCTTAACCTCTTCTAGAAGATTCTCGCGTGCTTTCTTTGGGTCGTACTCGGCGTCCATCTGAATGAAATTGTTTATTATAGAAATACAAATACAAATACAAATATTGTTTATTTCGTCAATGTAGGTATGTTACAATAGATGGTAGATAATAGAAAAATCTGCTTTTTATGGCATGCACATTTGGTCAATCCTATGTTGATAAATTACAATAGCAGGCTAATGTCTAAATACTCCAATGCTTATGTACAAGTTCTTTGTGTAATGACAGAAATAGTACGATATTAAGTACAATTTAAATTTGAGTAGCCTTTCGGTAAGGGACTGTATAGTTAACAGAGATCTAAGACCCGTCTGGTAAGCATGGTCATTACGGCGAGGCTTCCAGGTTGAGAGCCATAGTCCAGGAGCTGTCACAGGTTGCTGATGTAGTGAGATGGTAATGACAAGTACATAAATAATCTGTATATGCCTACCCAGGCAGATACTTTGGATCGCCAATTGGGATGATGACAATTAAAAATATAATTAGTCCGTAAGTAAGGTAATGAAAAAATATTAGACACATATTTTTTTATTTTGTCTTATAATAAAATAATACTTAGATAAAACGAATCAAAGTTAAGGAGTGGGGGCTAAAACGTCATTTCTACGTACAAAATGTACATAGAAGTGACGTCACGACATTTCAAATTAATATATCGTCGAAAGTATTCGTTTCTTTAAGAAAATAAAAATACGTGTCTAATGATTTGAAATAATCTGCCAGATGGACATTAAAATAAAAATTAGACATCTACCCTATTGCTACGATTCTTACATCCATTTTTCGCTTCATCAACAGTCATCAGTCTTTTCATGCATGCTCGTTGGTTAAGGGTACTTTGAATTTGACCCTTCTTTAATATATCGCCAATTTGATCGATACAATATTCGTCTAGCGCGCCCTCTACTACCGACGATCCCGTACAACGTAATAAAAAGTATAAAGACTTTTATCCATTCTATTCTCTATTCTTCTGTTTAAACAGGCGGAGTTAAGACTAATTAAAATAGTTGTAAATGAGCGCTCACATTAAAATCTTCGTCTTCACAGTGCGGTCCATTTTCATCAGCGTCATCTCCCTCGTAGCCATCTTCTTGTTCTGGCTGATATTTCTCCCAGTTCTCTGTCGATTAAATATTAAGCAATATTTTTAAAATACTTACAAAATCCTCGTGAAACAGTTACGGGAGTAAGCAGAAAACATAATAATTAACTTACAAATAATAACTAGGTTAAACAACATCGAAACTTCTTGATTTATATAATAATTAGTAATCTAACATTTATCAGATTACGCAATACATACATACATGCTTAACCTCATGCTTGTCTCCCATGGGGCTAAGCAGAGACTATGGAACGCCATTTGCTACGATTCTTACATGCCTCTTTCACGTCATCAACAGTCATCAGTCTTTTCAGATTACTAATTGTTAGGTTTAATTGTAATGTCTTTCGAAATCGAAATTGGAAATACTAGTAAACTTAGTTTTCAATACAATAAAGTAGGTAGTATGCTCACCAATCTCAAGTTCCTCGTCGAGGTCTGGGAAGACAGGTTTCTGTTCGTCAGCGTCCCCGTAGTACTCCTCGTCGAATATCTCGCGCATGCGCTTGTCGTGCTCCTCCGGGTCGAACTCACTCTCCAAGTCCTCTTCCTGTGATAAAAGGCAAGTGTTTGTCAAAGACAAAAAAAAAATGAAGTCAAATGAAATATGGTTAAATCGGAGAATCGAACAAGTTTCTTCTGTACCTACTCATGCATTGAAGAAAAAACGACCGTATTAGTGGTCTAGGATCGTGAAATCATTTTTTTATTTAAATAATACGTTGGAGCACTTGGAGCCCGCACACTAAGATTTTCTCAATCACACAAAGAGTCCGTGCGGGAATAAACTCGCGACACGTTGCGCGGCAGCCGGTTGCCCAGCCACTGCAGCAACCGTGCCATCAGAATGTAACAAACGTTTACTCTATATTAATAGTATAGTGCTGACGAGTTTGAGTACAAGACATATTAACATACCCTGAACGCCAGTTCTTCATTCCCAGTGACCTCCTTGATCTTGGCAATCTTCTCCTGTATCTCTTTCAGCTTGAGTGCCTTCAGTCTGGCGATTTCCTCCATCTTCTTCTTCTTCTCCTCTTCCTTGCGCGTGCGCACCTCTTGTCGCTTCTTAGACCGCCGGTCGTCTTTCGGACGGATGTAGTTCATTGTGCGCGGGAAACGTTTTAACTGGAAAAGATGTAAAAAAAATATTAGGATTTTTTTCTTTTGTATTGAGTGAATATGATTGTAGAGTCTAGGTGACGCTGTGCCGTTTCTGTCTACCTATTTGGAATGAGTGGTTTTGTGATATATTCAGTTCACTTAATAGCGTAAGGTATTAAGATATCGCGATCACTTTACTTGTCTTAACTTGTCTAAAGAACACTTAGTTTGTCATTTGACATTCCTCTTTATACTTTATATTTTTAGTGTGCAAATTGTGCAGTGTCTGGAGAAACAGAGATATAGATATACTCACATACTCCTGGTCGGGCTCCTCGAACCTAAAGTTGTATGCTCTCTCGAACTTGCCCTGCTCCTCCACGCGAGCCTCGTCAGCCTCCAACTCCTCGTCATCCCTGATCTTGTCCTCTGCTTCGCCGACATCACCATCCTCAAGATATCTATGGTTATAAAAAGAGAGTTAAATAAAATAAGATTGGTATTTCAACTAAAAATCGCGGGTTGCTCACGTGAATATACTGAGAATACTCATAAGGAAGAACCACTTTGGTGCGAAACTAGTAGAGCTTTTCTCAGTATACAGTATGTCTCACGATAGTTATTATAAAAACAAAGATTGGTATTTATTTATGAAATAGATATGAATCGTCAGTAAGTAGGGAAGCGAAAGTAGAATACATTTGATTGCACTGTTAGCGCGGTGGCTGAGCTACTGGATGCCGCGCAAGGTATCGCGGGTTCAATTCCCGCAAAGAAAAACTCTTTATGAGATCCACATATTGTTGGTCCAGGTCTGCGTGTCATGGTGTATGTGAACTTGTATGTTTGTAACTCTTGTACTCGGGCTTTGAAGACATCCAGATTGTATACTATATACCCTTCAGGAAATATAGACTCTAGCAAAGAATTCCACTCCTTAGCAGTATGCACAAGGAAGCTTGATAGGACTAGTTATTTGCTTGATCCAAGACAATGTTACTTAGACAGATCATTGTATAATGAAGCTTAGCACTATTGCACTCACTTTTTATTCAGAATATAATCTCTCAAAAATGCTTCGCCCTCATTAAGCTTGGGGTCGGACCAGAGAGCTTTCAGTGGCGCCAAGTCTTTCTCCACCGCATCATCCAAGTGCTCTGCTTGGCCTGTTAGATACTCTTTCAGTTTCCCTTCCTGGAAGAAAAGTGATTCTTAGTTAACTAATGATTTTATAATAATGGCAGTTTCATGAAAACTATTTTCCAGACTATACATATATTAGTTTTCTATCATAGATTAGATAGCCTTAGTAAAAACCTTATGTTTTGTGAGTGTAATGAAACACAATGTTTATTCATCACACACAAAACTTATAAAATTTTTGAAAACAGGAGATGATATAAACATCTTTCTGTCATATTTTAAAATTAACATTCTTTGAAATTAGTTCTTCTGTTGATTAACCTGGGAGGATAATATACTGTACATCAGCAACTACACTGGCGTTCCTGTGAGTTTATCCCACATAACTTATGTTATTCCAGACTATATTACTCCTGTTCCTTTAATCCCAATCCCTTCAGCTGTTTTGATGTGAAGAAGTAACAAACAAATATATTAACTTCCGCATTTATAATATAATATTAGTAGGAATTGTTAAATAAATGTTAGTTTTCTGAAACACGATGTCAGGGTGGACCTTCTGAAACACTAAAATGGCTGTACTAAATTGTGTAATAACTGACGGTAGATCTAAATAGTAACACAACATAACATCACGCCTTTTTATCCCCGAAAGTCTACACTTTACACGAAGGCAGAGGGTGCACATTTCGGCATTTAATGCCACTGTACAATGTAACACCCACTTTTCACTATTTATGTTATGAGTCACATGTAATAGGGGGTGAGCCTATTGCCTTATACCGGGCACATTTCCAAACTCCGTGCTACTACAGAGATTTTTAAAAACCCCAGTAATACTTTGCATGACCCGGGAATCGAACCCGAGACCCCTTTGCCCGGCAGTCGGACTTGCGACCACTCAGTCAACGAGGCAGTCCTAGATATAGTAAATAAAATACCTTAGTCTCGGATGTTTTCCTCTCTTTCTTGTTGTCCTCTACAACCTCAGCCTTCTTCTCCACACTGAAGATGTTGCCATCATCATCATCATCGTCGTCACTGTCAGCAAAAGTCAGCTGTTTAGTCTTGGTTTCCTTCTCTACAAACATATACAAAATATATTAAAACATTAAAATTGAAGATGTAGTTACAGTATTTTGTTTGGTTTATATTGTTGATCTTTAACTGATCAATAATCTACATGTGGTTAGCGGTGACCGCTCTCCACTGACTCCATTATAGACCTTATTTCCGATGTTTAGAGACTAATTGTATGGACAAATTTCGGGATTTATATCAGGTGATTGTGTATGAGTTAATAAACTGTTGATAATTACTGACAGGTGGTAAGCTATTATGTGCAACATCAAATGAATAATGTTTTAAACTATAATGTCTTACCTGGTTCCTTTTTCTGGTTTTCATCAAAGAACTTAAACTTGGGATCATAGATCCTCGGATCCTTTGTCTTTAGCAGTGCAAGTGTCTTGAGGAACTGAGTTTCCATCTCCTCTGTGATCTCCGGAGGGGAGTCACTCTCATCCTCACTGTCTGATGACACTGACCCATCACTGTTCAATGCTTTGGAGCCGTATTTCTGTTCAACTGCAAAATAAGTTCGTTATTGGAGTAGTCTATTTTTTTTTAAAGTTATCTTAGGCAGCTGCAATAGATAACATGTTTTCAAGATTATTTTGTTTGTAAATTAATTTGCGAAGTGTATTTCTCAGAATAGGTTTTGTTGTAATGTTTATGAACTACGAACTGATAAGCTTATGCTGCTAAGAATAATAAATATTAATATTAATAAATTATTTAATATAACGTGCTTACGTTTATGAAGTTCTTCCTTCTCCCGCCACTTGTCATACTTCTTAGCGTACTCATTTTCTGTTTTAAGAGCTACCTCTTCATCAGAATCATCATCAAATAGTGTTGGTTTTGGCATTTTTATTCACAAAATCATTTATTTTGACTTATTATAACCAAAAATAACACGAAATGCACCACACGCCTGCGTGTTGTTAAAGTTCTGCTGTCATCTATCTGTCATGTAAAACGTCAATGTCATATATTCAAAGCCTATCGTTTAGTTCATAGAAGTAGAAAGCACCCATGAAAGCAACAATATTCAACAGAAAACTTATTCAATAATTTTTTATTGAGTGTCTTGTATGTACACTATTTATTTAGTGTACAGTGCGTAAGAATTTTTTTAGACAAATAAACAATTTGTTTTGATTATTCAATATTGTTTTTTTATTATGGCAATATTTTTATAACCTGTTCTTCCAGCCGGTTGCCATCTGTCAGTTGTCGTATCAAATGTCTTCTTTTGTGGTGTTATTTGTTTGTACCGTTTGTTCATGTTAGAAAAGTTAATAAAAGCTTAATATTATACTAAGATCGAGTGTCCAATATTGTTAACTTACACCCAGTCGCCAATAATAATATTCGTTAACTACCGTTTAATTGTGGTTTAACAATCAGTTAAGAAAATTGTGTTATATTTGTAGTGCATTTGAGCGTGGTGTTCAAAAATAACAGTGTGTAAATGGTTTGTTAGTGTAGAAGCAAACCTATAAAGTACTAACAATGACTACAAATCCCAGAAAAGGTACCGACCCGGTGCCTATGGAAGAAAGTGACCAGCTGACTATAAGACCCTTGTGAGTATTTTATTATTATATCTCCAAGATATTATCCTATTATGTACTTAATCTAATTTACATAAAAATATATTACGCAACCCTGCGAAATCTGAAATATACACACCATCCCTTAGCTATCAACACCACATAAGTGGAACAAGAATATAGATTGTTGTCTCCCATATAGTTACTGAAAATGACTGATGCAGTCTTTTAAGACGATTTAGTCGTATTTGGCCTGTAAATACGACTAAATCGTTTCGATTGTCACAGCATCAAGAACCTTACTAAAAAAAGTTAAATTAAATCTCAAGTGTGACACATGTCCTTTATCTCTTGCATAGTTGCTAAAATTCACATAACCGGCATTGTTAGCTAAAGAAAGATAGTACATCTGATTCTACCTTATGTGGCCAGCAGGATTTATTTACTACAAAGTTTAACAATCAACAATTAATTTCAGGGGTGCTGGTCAGGAAGTTGGCAGGTCCTGCATCATGTTGGAGTTCAAAGGGAAGAAAATTATGGTTTGTACTTTTACCTACTCATGTCAAATAAAACTTATTTCTAAAACCCTAAATTGATATCCAATCACAACCCAAAAGTTTTTGTGTTAGGGTTGATTTTTGACAATAGTTCTGCTGAGATTGTACATTAGATTAATAAAATTAATTTCAGCCCTATGTGTAGCGTTTATAATCATACTGCTCTAAATTCTATTTGAAAATTGGTGTTATTAGGTATCATAACATTAATACTTTTGTTTTTAATGTTTTAGCTGGACTGTGGCATACACCCGGGCTTGTCAGGGATGGATGCTCTACCTTTTGTGGACCTCATTGAGGCTGATGAAGTGGATCTCCTACTGATTTCTCAGTAAGTTTAGAAATAGTAATATATATTACTTTAAACATAAGATGTATAATGTAATATCGTTGTTATCTATATATATGAAAATGAAACCCCATTTCCCATTGTCACGCAATAACTTGTGAATGGCTAGACCGATTTGGCTGATTTTTTTTTTGTTGTGTTTGTTATTGTCACGAAAAGGTTCTTACGATAGAAAAAATATCCTGAAAATCTTATGGGAACAGGAGATAATTGGATTGCGCGTACAAAGTCATGGGCAGAAGCGTTATTTATAAAATATTTATCTATTTTTAATATAAGCTCAAAAACTGGATATTCTATTGTTTGTTTGTAGTTTCCACTTGGACCACAGCGGAGCTCTACCGTGGTTCCTAACGAAGACATCATTCAAGGGCCGAGTATTCATGACACATGCTACGAAAGCCATCTACAGGTGGCTTGTTTCCGATTATATTAAAGTTAGGTAAGTGACGTGAAGAGTTTATATTAACTACTTTAGTTACAGTTAAATAGTTTAATGCTAAGAACTGCCAGTCAACCTAGTTATTAGCTTATTAAGAGTATTTCTTTTATGATATACCAGAATTCATTAATATCGACAGAATAAAATAGATGTACATAGCTAAGCCTAAGGAGGTCTAATACCCACTTTTAATTAAGTTACTGTATAGATAATAAACCTTTTTTTTGTCCCCAGTAATATATCAACAGAACAGATGCTGTACACAGAGTCAGATTTAGAAGGTTCCATGGACCGCATTGAGACCATCAACTTCCATGAGGAGAAGGATGTGCGAGGAGTCAGGTTCTGGGCATACAACGCGGGCCACGTGTTGGGGGCCGCCATGTTCATGATCGAGATTGCAGGCGTTAAGGTACACAATACTATTCAATAGTGATGGCGAACCTCTACACATTGACGTGTCGATTACTTTAAACAAATATGGATTGAAGTCGTAAATGTGCCATCAAATTATTTCTACTTTTCATACTACTTATTACCAAGCAGTAGCAATAATGTTTACACCTGCAATACAAGATAATTCATATATGCGTTGCCGATTTATAATCATAGTTGTATGTGTTGTGGTCACTGTGCCCAAAATATGATGTTCGGTGCCATTAATGGCTCGCGTGCCAATACTTCGCCATCTCTGCTATACAATGTAGTAGGAATTCAAAACATTATATATGTCTCTAATAAAGTTAATGTTACCTGCTGACGTGGCCATTTTTGAACAAAGTAGTAAAGGAATTTCTAATTCAACTATTTTCAGTCAGCAATCAATGTATTGTTGTTTAAAATACTCTCATATTTTGCTCTTAATCATTCAAAAGCATTAAAAATGTACCTGTACTTTATCTGAATTGTAATCTAGACTCAAGATATGGTGTGTAATATTTTAATTTTCTTCCAGATTCTATACACAGGAGATTTTTCAAGACAAGAGGACAGACATTTAATGGCGGCGGAGATACCAACAGTACATCCCGATGTTCTAATTACGGTACGGTCTTAACACATTGGAACTTATTTGCATCTTTATTTAGTAAGTGCTTAGATCGATTTTATGAACAACTCTTTTGTCGTTCCAGCGAAGGAACGAGAGAAAATTACATACATACATAACATCACGCCTTTTATCCCCGAAGGGGTAGGCAGAGGTGCACATTATGCCACTGTACAATGTAACACCCACTTTTCACTATTTGTTATGAGTTCCATGTAATAGGGGGTGAGCCTATTGCCATATACCGGGCACAATTCTAGACTCCGTGCTACTACTGAGAATTTTTAAAACCCCAGTAATTCTTTGCCCGACCCAAGAATCGAACCCGAGACCCTTTGCCCGGCAGTCGCACTTGCGACTACTCGGCCAACGAGGCAGTCAGAAAATTCTTATGTAATATGACTAAAAATAAATATAATAATATGTTACGCAGGAGTCGACATACGGCACCCACATCCACGAGAAGCGCGAGGAGCGTGAGAGCAGGTTCACGGGCCTCGTCAGTGAGATAGTACAGCGCGGCGGGCGGTGCCTCATTCCAGTGTTCGCGCTCGGCCGAGCTCAGGAACTACTGCTCATACTCGGTAACTACTTTACACGTAAACGCCATGGGGGTCACCGGTGACCGGCGTTAGCGGAGGATTTACCTTCAACAGTTTTTTATTGGCAGTCAAATTCTTAATAATATCTCTTATTAAAGTCTTGCCTCCATCCTAAACATATAATTCGGGAAAACTGTTGATATGATTGAGATTTAAAGAAAATCGGTCCCAGTTTTTTCAATGTGAAAGTTGTTAGTTAAACATAACTGCCGGCATCCACACTTGATTCAGTATGTCCTCCTACGTAGGACAATCCTGCAAGGAATAAAATATTTATAGTATTCATTATAAAGTATTATTAAAAACAAAATTACTGTCTCTGTTCTCGAGCTACTCGCTCAGCTATCGATTTTTTGTTTACTAGATATCACCAATCCAGGCCTTACGTCTGTTCATCCAATAAAGAATTCCCAAGTCCCATTGCATATTCACTTTTTGACAGTTGCAATGATTGGACTAAGAAACGTGACGTATTTATCAAATAAACACTTCTCCCTCCAGACGAGTACTGGTCTCTCCACCCGGAACTGCAAGACATCCCCATCTACTACGCGTCGAGTCTGGCCAAGAAGTGTATGGCGGTGTACCAGACGTACGTCAACGCCATGAACGACCGTATCCGACGACAGATCGCCATTAACAACCCCTTCGTCTTCAGACATATCTCCAATTTAAAGGTATGTATTGTAATGTAGACTTTAATAGTGTTGTATATCTAAGGTTTATTTTGCTTTGTTATGAACTTAGGGAAGTTTTACTTTGCATAAACGCCTAAAAGACAAATTGTGTGTACGTAATATACATTTATTTAAGACTAAGGTAAGATATTAATATAAGTTTTAATTTAGACAATATTTTAACCAATAGCATTGCTCTCTCCAATCTCGAACACATTGATCTCGGGCTTGACCTTGTCATACAAGTGTGGGAACGCGCCATTAGCGTAGTACTTCTTCCGGACTTGTTCATACAGTGACAGGTCAAACATTACTTCGAATTCTTCGCGAGTCATGAAGATGTCAGCGTAGAGGAACGAGTAACCTCCCACTTCCCTCGTGAACTCCTCCATCTTCCTCATAGCGGTCACAGGGTTGTAAGGCTTCTTCTCCTTCACCCTCCCCGGCACCCCATATACTCCCAAGTCATTATACATCGCGTAGTTAGTTCCTGGAACCAAATACTTCGCGTCAGGCCTTTTCAGTTGACCAGACGATGGACCGTGGTCAATAATTTTGCAAGGATACACTAGTAGAGGGAACTTCTCGAACAGCACGCTCGCTATCTCGATCTGTCTTTCAAGCTCTTTGATCGGCAGGACAATATCCTGGAAGACTTGCTTGGTGAACGTGTAGGCTCGTACTCCAGGAGTTGTGGTGAACTTTAGGAAGGCAGGCTTCGGAGGCAGGAGCCATCCGAACAAATACCGGAACAACGTGTCATTCCCAAACGACAACATGTCTTCCACCACCCAGAATATAGCTCTGTTATGTCTCAGTAGGTAGTCTCTCAAAGGTATCAACTCCTCAGCCTCTCCTTTCTCCAAAAATGTTTCCACGTGCTTGTAGAACCAGGGCTTGTACCACTTGGAACAGCTGTTCACTGGTATTTTTGGGTCATAGTCGGCATAGTCGCCGACCATGATGACAGCCTCGTCTTTGTTGTATATCGTGCCCTCGATGTAATCGGGGAACACCTTCGGTTTAGCTTCGTAAGTTCCAGAAAGTTCACGAATCATGTCGCAGTATTTCTTCTGTCCTTTGACTGGGATGTACTTGATTTTGATGTAGGGTTTTATTTTGACGATTTTGAGCGTCAAAGCGACGAGGAAGCCGAGGCTGCCGTGGCACCAAGGAAGGGCCTTGTAAAGGTCGGCGTGCTCGTTGTCTGCGGTGGCGGTGACGAGTGACCCGTCACCTAGGACCACTTCGTAGCTTGTGATGGTCTCGTGGTAGAGTCCTGCTTTATGGGAGTGAGTCGACATTCCTGTGCCGAATGCCAAACCTGGAATAGAATTGACGTATATGTTATTATTGACCATCTCTGTTACATTATAAGGTGCAATGTCATTTTCTAAATTAGTCTAACTTAGGAATATTATAGCTCAAACTTACCTCCTAAAGTAGCATCCACCAGCTCAATAGTGACTGCCAGCGAATACCCTTTAGGAATGAGGAACTCGGTAATATCTCCTATGGTGACCATAGGTTCGACCCTAACTGTCATGGCTTCCTCGTTCAGCTCTAGAATATCGTACAGAGGTATAGGAACCCGATGATGCAGGTGTTTCTGGAAGAAGGTCGTAGACAGTGACAGCCAGTTCGGTCGCGAGGTGCAGAGCAGTCGCCGGTCTTTTGGAGACAGCTTGTTCCATTGTTGTACCTGAAATGGATTTTTGGATGTTAAATGCAGATCCTTTTCTAAGATTAAACTTTAAAATTTATTATAGTCCAGAATTAGGACGGACGTAGGACTTTATTACATATCCGTAATTTTAGAACGTGAAGTTCAACAAAAAACATTTTATTATAAATCCCTATAATTTTGCAATGAAGCTGGTTTACTTGGTACCTGACTCTGAATCAGCCTGACGGCGCTGTCATGTCTCTGAGGGTCGCTGGTGAGCCACCGCAGGTATGCTTTCACTCTCATCAGTATGGTGAATATAAAGCTCGCCGGCAGACAGAACACTGCCACCACGAACTCCCTGTGGTCCTCCAGCCATTGGATCAACCGGTTCTTGAAGGAATCCGGTAGCATTGCTGTAAAAAAAGAACCAAGCAAATAAAATAAGGCCGTCTTTTTTTTTAACGGGGGAAAATCATCGAATCACTGCGCCCGTCTAGGCCTTTAAAACGGCTAATTGTTTATTCCTGAGTGTAAATTTTGATTTCAAATAGAAACAATATTATGTCTTATTAATGGTTACATTATGAGATCTATTAAAATTCGACACTACAATAAATAGTAATTAGTGAGAGCGTATTAACGACTTCAACTGATATAAATCCAGTAACAAATGCTCTGTCCATATTTGAATTTGCCGCCAATCTGTGTCAAGGACAAAACCGAAATAATAAATATAACCTCTGTTTTAAATCCCATAGTAACAACTGAATATGTAATAATTTACCATTTCCATTAATTACAATTGAATTACATGCTCTGTTAACGAAAACCTACTCTAATTCTGCCGATCTTATAATTCTACACATTCAATACTCTGTCAAATTAATCTCAATGCATCTATTTAATGTTTTCATTAACGTTACGATTGTGATATAAACCATCGCGTTCATTCTGATATCTCCTATGTTTTTATACTTTAATTATGTATTATAATATGTTTACTTACTGATTATTCACTAATTTCACTATATTCCCACTTTTAATAAATATATCCTATTCGCCGGCCGCTCGCTCGGCCGCGCGTCACAACACTACAGATAAAAAATATTTCGTTTCGATACACCTGTACACTGGTAGATACAACTTATCTTTTAATACTGTAATCTTATTAATATTGTAATTACTACTGTACTTTGTTGCCAATTACTATCTTAAGTCTATATCATTAGCCTAATATGTAGAACATTAAAACATTGATTTTACACTAAAAATAATATATCATAACATCACGCCTTTAACCCCGAAGGGGTAGGCAGAGGTGCACATTATGGCACTTAATCCCACTGTACAATGTAACACCCACTTTTCACTATCTTAAAAACTAAAAATAAATATCTGTAATTTTAGATGAACAACTTCTCTCTAAAGAAGAAGGAACGGTGTGGTTTTTAGTCAGTAAGAGTCTGACACTCCCTCCCGCCTCACCCAGGCGGGAGCAGTCATTCGATGATTTTCCCCCACATTTTTACCTAGTACAAAAAGAGGAGAGGTTCTATATCGGGATGGTTGTGTTAAAATGATATAAAACACATTCTTTTCATATCCAAAAGATAACCAATCTAAATTGTTATACATTTTCCTTGTACAAAAGACCGTGTAACGTGATTTCATCCTAGCATTGAATAAATGATTCGACCTTGACTCTCAACTATCATATCATTGAATATTCGGTAGCTACATTTAAAGGTTTATCAAACATATTTGTCAAATGCAATTTGGACCCTAATGACAAAGAAAATAAGTCTCATAATGATATCATAAATTGTTACTATGTAACACAGGTGTCTTGATATTAATCAATAATTCTAGATAAGGTATAATGATTAATTTAGAATTCTATCTTGTTTATTAAGTAATTGTACATTTTTATAGACAAGACATGCTTACATTAATAAATTGTTTGCCATTTCTGTTTTATGAAATTCCAGACAGTATTCCTACTACATTAGATAAAAATATAAACAGTTATTAAGTTTTTTATGGCCGGATAGGGTTATATTGAGGCTTCCAATTTTGAAATTCTCAATAAAATCATATAATCTGGAATGGTCCCCGATTCAATTGCAATCAGAGTTCGATTATGATTATAAAAGTCTACCTATTCTTTTGAGGGATAACAATATCCTGCCGTTTACAGTACTATTACTTAATAGGTCAAGATTGAACACCGTGTAATGTGTGTATTCCAGGGCATAGATCACTTCGAGGACATAGGCCCCTGTGTAATCATGGCGTCGCCCGGTATGATGCAGAGCGGCCTCTCGCGCGAGCTCTTTGAGTCTTGGTGCACAGATCCTAAGAACGGAGTCATCATTGCTGGTAAACAACTTTGGATCTTAATTTTACCTTCTCAAAAATTAAAATTGTTTGAAGAAAGAAAGATTATATTTTATAATGTCCAGAGGACGATGGCCTCTCATAGACTTTACGTGTTTCTCATGTCATTTCTAGGTTACTGTGTGGAAGGCACGTTGGCTAAGACGATCCTGTCCGAGCCGGAGGAGATTACATCCATGTCTGGTCAGAAGCTGCCGCTGAAGATGTCGGTGGACTACATCTCATTCTCCGCGCACACTGACTACCAACAGACATCTGAGTTCATCAATATATTGAAGCCGCCGCATGTGGTATGTTATTAGTATCTAATATTTATTTCTAATTGTACTTTTTGAGACTGTAATCATACATAATAATATTTATTATATTTGCAATAATTTGTATCTAAATATTTAATTTTTTAGATATCTTCAGACCGTGGTGGTAGCACATGTTACAATCTTTTTTGATATAGCTTGCATTTATTATTTTATATTTCTCTCTGTCTGAATCCCTATTTGTACGCTTCCCACGTGTTTCGTTTGAGTAGATTTCATATTTGACAGAAACCGGGCAACAATACTCTCTGATAAACCTTTTACTGTGATTTCTAATCTGCCAGCCAAGTGTGCGTTATGAGAATCCTTATTTTGAAGAGGAGATTCATAGCCCAGCATTAGACTGTAACGCGTTGCTGGATTCAAATGAGACGGAGAACGCTAAGAACCTTTGTTTAGCTTCATATCGGGCTGAACTGGCGGGTACTTCTGTATAATACGTTCTGTATGGTCCGTGTGCAGGTGTTGGTGCACGGCGAGCAGAACGAGATGTCCCGTCTGAAGGCGGCCCTGCAGCGCGAGCACCGCGGCCGCCTGCACATACACACGCCGCGGAACACGCAGCTGCTGCAGCTCACCTTCCGCGGGGACAAGACCGCCAAGGTACACACACACCTTCATACACTTCCGACAAACCTCGGGGTCGCTGGAAATAGCGAAATAGCCTAAATAGCAAGCACGGCTGTCCTATTAGCAACGGACGTCTAATAATAATGCTTTATCAACTAGAGCATCTTTAGGTTTTTCACCTTATTTCGATTTCTACATACACTATGTTCTTCACATAGTGTCTCTTTGTATCTTACACTTCATAATACTTGATTATTACTTCCCTATAGGTGATGGGTTCCCTTGCGATGGACAAGCCGGAGCCAGGCACACAGCTACAGGGGATCCTGGTGAAGAGAAACTTCAACTACCACATACTCGCACCCTCAGACCTCAACAGTGAGTTATCCATTGTACAACCTCATTTATGATATATAGCTACTTCCGCGCGGTTTCTCACGCTCTGCTCAGCTACTATTTCTCGTAGCGTGATGTTTTTTAGCCTATAGCCATCCTCGATAAATGCGCTATCCAACACAAAAATAATTATTCATATCAAACTTGTGATTAGGAGATTAGCGCGTTCAAACAAACCAACAAACATCAAACTCCTCCGTTTTATATAATAGTATAAGGTGTTCAAAAAAAATTGTAGGTATTACCTACAATTTTTCAATCATTAAATAACTCGTATCACCCTGGGTGAAGGGGTGGCAGATGCGTATTGACTAAAAACGCTTCAATCACTGTTCCAAGTCAGGGCTGTAATACTTTCTGGCAATTTACCCGCGACCCAGCATTCGACTGGTCTCAATAACCTCAATTTAATTATAAAAATAATTAAAAAATATTTTAAACATCTTTTGTGTACGTAACAAGCTTATATCTATGTCCAGAGTACACGGAGTTGACCCAGTCGGAAGTGACGCAGCGCCAGTCGATCCACTACAGCGGGTCGCTGGGCCTGCTGCGCCACGTCGTCATGCAGCTGGCGGGCGCCATCGACTTCCTCTCCGAGACCAGGTGGCGGGTCTACTCCTGCGTAGACCTCACGCTCGAGAATAACATGATCACTCTCGAGGTAATATCACTTCCTACATTATTGACGAATAATTTTGTACCTAATTTTGAATTGAGTATCTGCTTTTGTTGAAATAATTGTAATGAACAAAATTCATCTTAATATAATGTGTAACTCTTTGTCGATATTGTTCCTTTTGTCCAACCTGGAGTAAATATAAAATGAAAAAAAAAATAGTCGGCATAAAGTTTACCGGTTATTTATTTGTCCATTAAGGTTGAAATAATTGCCCCATTGTTTTTTATCATTAATTATTTATTTAGAAGTTTGTCACCGTTATTACAATCGTTAAGTTATAAGTAATTATGTAATAGTAATTATGTAAGTTATTGTCCGCGCGCAGTGGGTGGCGCAGCCAGTGTCGGACATGTTCGCGGACGCGCTGGTGGCGGCCATACTGTCGGCGTCCGCGCTGGCCGCGCCCAGGCATCTACCGCTCGCGCCCAAACTGGACCGCATGCACTTCAAGGTCAGTAGCCAATGCACCACCGGCATATTCAAGGATAATGTCCCTAATTACCACTGTCGATAACCTATACACGTGACTACTAATACATGACATATGCAACATAAACTCTATACAAAACGTGTCAAAATTCTATCTTCTATATTATGTAACGAATACTGAAAGGCTACTCAGTTTTAAGTTGTACTTATTAAATATCGTGCCATCTCTGTCACTGTTACAAAGAATATTTAGTGACAGAACTATACTAAAGCGCGACTTAAAGTTGAGTAAACTTTCAGTATTCGAGCGTTACAGATGGTATAGTGCAACTTATAAGATACCAAAGTTTATTATTGATAGCAAATAAGAATAAAGAGGAAAAAGATCTTAAAGTGTACAGCATTTTTCCACTCTAATATATTGATTGTAATAATAATAATTTTATTTCATCAGGAGTGTGTGATAGAGATGTTGCAAGAAATGTTTGGAGACGACGCCGTACCGAAGATGTTCAAGGGAGACAAGCTGTACGTCAGCGTCGACGACAAGAGGGCCGACATAGACCTACTCACTATGGTCAGTACTCCTTCTTAATATTATTTTATCCGACTTCAAAAAAAAGGAGAAGGTGCTTAGTTTGAGATGCATGTGTGCTGTGTTTATAGACCTCCTATTTTGGCAGTTGTTGTTGTTATGCATCCTTTGAAGTTGTTGTTAAGATAGCTGTTGATTTATGATGTAAATATGTCCCAGGAGGTGAAATGTCCGTCGGACCCCACCCTGGAGCGTACAGTACAAAGCGCGGTGAGCAAGCTGTACGCGGCGCTGGCGCCGGTGAAGCCCCCGCCCGCCGCGCCGACCTCGTGACCGCGCACTCCTACACGGGACCCTGTACTACTACAGTAGACTGGACTTTATACCTTCTGTAAATACATAAAAGATATAAATTGCAGTGTTGGTGATACAGGAAAATTAATATAAATGGACATTGACGAGTTGAAATTGATAATTTTGTACTGACAATACATGTTTCAATGGAATATTTTATGGTTATTTTTGTGTCCCTTTTACCGGCTCAAATGTCTACAACTTACAATAGACGAATGTAATGTGAAATTGTTGATAATAAGACAAGTATTATGCTGTGAATGTTTGTTCGTGGAATAAACTTTGTATGTTAAGTAAAAACTTGTATTTGCTTTTTATACTGATGTATCATCATGGTTCCGCAAACCCAGAGGACATACTGCATAAAAAGTTATGCATTATTGCAATATTGTGATTAAAAAACTTTCAACACAGATTTTTTGTTAAATCTTATTACTATCATATAAAACTTAAGAGTTTGTTTGTTTGAACGCGCTAATCTGAGGAAATACTACTCCTATTTGAAAAGATATTTTTTTGTTGGATAGTCCATTTATTTATAGGTTATAAGCTATATAACATCACGCTATGATCAATATGCGCCGGGCAGAGCGGCTGAAAGCAGAAGTAGGTAGGAAAAATAAAGTTTCAATGTATAAAAGTTTATTTACAGATTTAGGTACAATACAACATCGGTACTAACGCACAGCGCTAATACTGGAACTATTTAGTATTTACGCAAACAACGAGATCTATTCAAGACAAACGCACATACATTATAAATCTCACCATCATTAACGCGCTATAATCTATTCATTACATTTACTAGATCACATTTTAAATTAAAATATAAACATAGTATAATGGAGTACAATTATCAGAGGTAATGCAATATAGAGGCTGCGAGAACCCGATCAATGAAGAAATTAAAACATTACAATATCCTTCTAAACTCGTATTCCAACATCCTTGTACACCTGTATAGATACTTAATATTTACACACACTTGTACGAGATACTCATTTCAACGCTTTATTCATTACTTATTGTCAATTTGTTATATTTACAAAACAGATGATAGATGTTTAATTTTCTACTAATTCTCCCGTCCCGGCTTCACCCAGGTGCCGAATCACAACATTATATCCTTATTGAATCCTTGTTGTGAAGTTGTATGTTGTAACAAAGACAACAGTGTTCACAAGTCGGGTGACTTCATTCATTTATTTCACAATTTCTAAGCACAATATATCTATGATTCATTATCTAAGAGCTCTTAGAGTATCGCTTCCAGAACTTCTTGACATCGTCGTGTCCGTGCCGTGTGACGACCATCGTACGCGAGCGTTCGTTCTGCCAGGTCAACACTCCTTGCTGCTTCGCGTAGTCGCGGAGTACCACGAAATCTGCCTGTAACACGATATATTGTTTGTTAATGTCATACATTTAATATTAAATTTAATATTTTATTTTAAATTTCTATAATTAAGTTGAAAATTTATTAAAGAACATAAATAAAATCACGTCTTTTAATTGCCGAAAGGGTTGGCAGAGGTGAACATTAAACAAAGTAACGCCCACTTTTCACTAGTTGCGTCCTGAGCTCTAAGCACAATGTCTACCCTGAAATATTTACTAAATTTTGTCATTGGAACATAACAACACGTCTTTTATGCCTCGAAAAAGCAGAGTATATATTATATGCAATGTAGTTATAAAGAGTAGTAAAGTAATGCTTGGTACCTGTGACAGGAACTGATTGTAGACGACTCCCTCGGTGTACGTGAACCTGTTCCTCTCAGTCTCCCACAGCTTGATCTGGTCCACCACCGTGGGGGGGAGCATCGAGCTCGTCCTGATACCGCCTGTCTCCGACTTCAACATCTATGTGCAAACATTAATTAGTTGTCTTATGTTTATTGTACGAGGATGAAACTGATTCAAAAAAGGAACTATAGACATTATTCATAGGAATCCACATTTCAACAAGTAAATTGCTTTTCTATTAATATTGACTAAAGCGCAATTTATTCTTGAAGAGCTAATTGCAATAAAAAAAGTACATTATAGTACTACAAGAACTAAAATCGGAGACCCAAGTCACATTTTGGGTTGAAGAGCCCCGAACCACATATCAAAATCAGAGTATGGTTTCTCGTCTCTGTCATTAAGATGAGGTTTTTGTTGAACAGTGTACATAGTTCTGTCGGATGGCGATAACAACTTGCCTGTGGATGTGAATGTTGTTCGAGGTAGTGGATGATCTGCTCGGCAGTGATACCGCCGCGCAGCGCCTGCCGGACTGACTCGCGTGTCAGTACTCCTACTACTAAGTTAGGGAACCTGGAACGTAAAATTATAATGGCTGTTAGTTTTGCTAAGTGTCTTACTGTCTAGGATATATTTGGCTGACCAATGTACAAGTCGTTTAATTATATAAAATTTGGACAAAGAAGTCTGTTCATTGCAAAGCGTTAATATTTTATGGGATAGGGCAGCTAACAAACTGGTGGATCATTGATAGTTGCAGTCGGTCGCCAAATGTGACACCTTTTTAGTTTTGAATTGTGGTGGGGGGAGAGGAGAGGAAATGGAAACCTTATAAATAAACAACTACTTTCCAAGTATTCTTGGCATTTTTTTTACATATTTACATAACACGTATTAACATACTGACCTGTACATGAGCTCAGTGAACAGGCCGAGCAGTGCCACCTGTAGGTTGGTCTGTGTGTACGCGTAGACTCTGTAGTTGGTCTCCACCACGATGTACCCGCGCGCCTGCGCCGGCGCAGCCAGCGGCGCCGCCCCGCCTCCGCGCACCTGCGCTATGTTCAGAGCTAGACGAGTCGGGTAGAATCGACCTGCTTTGCGCTGTGACAAAGTATATTTTTTTATTAGGACAAAGATGGGGAGGTGAGTGAATAATTTAATTAGTTACTGGAATAGCGAATAGCATGATTAGTTGAAAATGAAATCATTATGTTTGTAGGTTTGTAGACTAACCTTTCTTTGATACACAAGTCCAAACTCTCTCAAATGCTGCAAGAATACCAGCATGTTGTTACTCATTCCTTCTGTGCTGTAGTCCTGGAAATATACACCAATTATAAATACCGAATAATACTGAATATGCCATGGACATCTAATGTAGAAACCTTTACAGTGTGTAGCGATGTCTAACCGCTGATGATGATGATGATAAATTTTTGCACAGTCCATATTATAATTTTGTAAACACTATTAAAAAAACATTTTAAGTAGAATAATTAATGTATTATTTACCTTGCCAAGTGTGCTAAAGCTAAGTTGGTATAAGAAGGCGAGGCACTCCGCTGCACTGAGGCTCCGTTTTTCCGCCGTGTGCAAGTAATGTTGTAGGAACAGCCACACCTGTCGAGACAACACACATTTGTGACAAACATCAAAAGATGCACTTCATATTATTATTAACTAGCGACCCGCCCCGGCTTCGCACGGGTGCAATATGCATGTATTATACATATAAATCTTCCTCTTGAATCACTCTATCTATCTAAAAAAACCGCATCAAAATCCGTTGCGTAGTTTCAAAATTTAAGCATACAAAGGGACATAGGGACAGAGATAGCGAATTTGTTTTATACTTTGTAGTGATGTAGTGATAACAAAGAATCAACTTTTATGAGGGATAAGCCTATTTCTAAACACTGGGCACTGCCAAGCCCTGTATTATCAATAATAATTTTGGAATAAGCACCTAGCTTCACTGACGGACTGACTGACAGACTATTATTTATTTTGTATTTGTTGATGTTTCAAAAATAGGTACCAAATTATGGAATTGAAATAAATGCAAACTTTTTGACTTTGAAGACATTTTAAAAGCCAGAACCAAAACGAGAGAGATAAAGGTTTACATTGACTATCGTAAATGCAGTATTAATTAATTTATTAATGAACTGAATGTTGAACTTACTTGTTTAGCAGTACTTAATAGTAGAAACTGGAACCCAGCGCGAGTGATAACAGCCGACCCGTCCTCCGCATCTCTGTACACATAGAGAATTTCAATTGTATGTTTTTTTTTATCGTAATGGCCGGTGTTTGGCCATTTTCTCGCCTGGTAGTAAGCAATGATGCGGCCTGCGATGGGGCCTTGCCATTCTTCTAATATTTTCCCAATTCATTGGCTTATACAACTCAGTAAGGGTGATACCACATTGTATGTAAGATGTGTTTTACCTGGCTAACAAGTTATAAATGTTTTTATGACAACTGGGAAACCTATCTATCATCTATCATTGTACAGACCTGGTCATGAGTCCAGCATGCAGCAGTATCCTAACAGCATCAGCACTGATCCCCTCGGTCTGAGCGCTACCCACCATGTAGTGCAGTACACACTCCCAGCGCTCCAGTGCGTACGCATCCAGGAAAGCCACGTCACGGGCTTTACCATCCGGCTCCAAGGATGAAGACATGCTCCAGGCACGACCACTGAAATGAACAAACAGATAAATTAGTTGAGAACATGGAATAATTTTTGCGATTTGTTAGTGAAGATGATTTATGAAACTGTAATAGTAAGTTTATACGAAGAACCTACGTAATGGTTCATAAAATGAACAAAATACAATTCAATAAAGGGTAATTCAATTAATAAACCATGGATCTCAAACGAGTCCAAGAAATGTATAAATGACAAACTGAAATTGTGGAATAGATACATACTAACTGGACTTGATAAACACTACAAAGATTACAGAAAATTAAATAACAAATTGATGAACCAAACTCGAACAGCACGTATAACATACGAAACTAATTTACTCCAGGCTGGGCCAAAAAAATTCTACTCCTACATCAGGCAACAGGTAACATCAAAGGTTGGCATCCCAAATGTTCTACTAAACAAGCAAGGTCGAACTGTAATCGAGCCTCAAGAAATAGCTGACGTATTTGGGGAGCAATTTGCAAGTGTCTTTCAAATAGAGCCAATAAATCAAGTACCTATATTGAACCCGTTACTAAGAATTGAGGAATCCATTGAAGCAATAAAATTCACTCCAAGTAAAATCCAGCAAGTAATCAAAGAAATGAAAACCGATTCTTCACCGGGACCAGATGATATACCTGTTGTATTACTCAAAAAGTGTGACCTTTCGGAGCAGCTAGCAATGATAATGCAAACGTCTTATGATACTGGAATGTTGCCAGATCTATGGAAATCGGCTATAGTCACCCCCATATTCAAAAAGGGGAGTAAACTGGAACCTTCAAATTATAGACCCATAAGTTTAACTAGTGTGGTTTGCAAGGCTATGGAAAAAATTATAGTTAAGCACATCAGGAAATTTTTCACCAACCATCAAGTCATTCCACAACAGCAGCATGGTTTTTGCCCGCATCGTTCTACAGTTTCTAACTTGCTGTTGAGCCTGTCATCATGGACAAAGAAGTTCAATGAAAAAAAACCTATAGACGTAATCTACTTAGACTATGAAAAAGCCTTTGATAAAGTTCCCACAGGTAGGCTGCTACAGAAATTAGAATTCGTGGGAATACGCGGAAAACTACTGAGCTGGATCGAATCCTTTTTGCGGCAAAGAACTTTACGAGTAAGAGTCGGTGAGACGTTATCAGAACATCGAGAAGTGCATAGCGGAGTGCCCCAAGGGTCTGTATTGGGCCCAGTGTTGTATATAATATACACATTTGACCTTCCCAGTTGCCTGGGATGTGAAGTCAGCATATTTGCTGATGATACTAAAATATTTGCGGATCCGACAGTTGACTATAACCATCTTCAAGAGGACTTAAACAGAATAGCAAACTGGTCCAAGGAGTGGCTCATCAACCTCAACGCTTCTAAATGTACGGTACTGCATATAGGTAACAGTAATCCTCGTCTGACATATAAACTGGGTAACGCTGAACTGACAGGGGTCAAGGTGCAAACAGACTTAGGGGTAAAGATTACAGAGGATCTAAAGTGGGAAGAGCACATAACTTCGATCACCAAGAAAGCCAAGAGTCTTATATACCTCATCAGGAAAGCGTTTGGTGTCTTGACTCCTGAGATGATGCTTAAGATCCACAAAACTTTCGTCAGGCCCATCCTAGAGTATGCATTTCAGGTCTGGAGCCCCTACTTCGCAAAGGATATCAAAAACTTGGAAAAAGTACAGCGTAGTTTTACTAAAATACCACGAGCACTGAAACAGCATCCATATGAAGAACGCTTGAAGGTTTTAAACTTAACCACATTGAAGGATCGCAGGCAGCGTGGAGACCTAATTGAGACATACAAGATCTTGAGTGGACATTATGACATTACTGATTTCAACCAAATGTTCACACGTAATAAAAACGTTCATCTTAGAGGCCACCACCTTAAGCTGTGTAAAAGCTTATCGAAAAATATTCCTCACAGACACTTTCTGAGTAATCGCGTGGTCGGAGCATGGAACAAGCTGCCAGAATATGTAATCGCTGCACAGAATGTTAACCAGTTCAAAAATAGGCTTGACAGATACACAACATTGAATAACCACTGATAGAAAAATACGATACAGGCATTTATCAGTTGTTTCAACTGCCTGTCTGAATTAAATAAATAATAATAATAATAATAATAATTAAATGCTAAGACCCTTCACAACCGTGAGGTGTGCAGCCTCAGGGAATATTTCCTGAAAGTCAACGAGGGTATGCATCGAGAAGTAGCAGCGGTGGACAATGGATTCACTCCGCTATCCTTGGCAAAAGAGAACTGGCGCAAACCTGTGGTACTGAGCGTCAATGATCGCAAGGAGGTATGGCATAGCAAGGAGCTCCACGGACGCTTCTTCCGGGCCCTTCATGGGCCCAGTGTAGATTTTCTAGCGTCCGTATCTTGGCTACGATTCAGTAATCTCTTTGGAGAAACTGAAGGATTTGTCTGTGCAATTATGGACGAAGTTATCCTTACGAATAACTACCGGAAATATATAATTAAGGATGGGACGGTTGACATATGTCGGGCATGTCATAGTCCTGGTGAATCCATTAGACATATTATTTCTGGTTGTGGTCGTTTGGCTAACAGTGAATATTTGCATAGGCATAATCAAGTAGCCAAGATTATCCATCAGCAACTTGCTTTGCACTATCGACTTGTTGAGTCTGAGGTACCGTACTACAAGTATGTGCCCGACCCAGTTCTGGAAAATGACCATATCACGTTGTACTGGGACCGGTCTATCATTACTGACAGGACTATTGTAGCCAATAAACCTGACATAGTAGTGATAGACCGTCAAGTACGCCGCACGATGATAATCGATGTCACCATTCCCCATGACGAGAACCTCGTGAAAGCTGAGAAAGATAAACAAATAAAATATCTAGACTTGGCTCACGAGGTTGTCGACATGTGGAGTGTGGATTCGGCTATCATTGTGCCGATAGTCGTGTCGGCCAATGGGTTAATCCCTAAAAGCCTCGACATCCATCTCAGGAGGCTGGCGTTAGGTGGATGGATCAAGGGCCTGATACAGAAGGCAGTTCTCCTAGAAACGGCACGTATCGTGAGGAGGTTTCTGTCTCTGGAGCCCTAACCACCGGTAGCTTGGACCATGCTCCCGCTACTGGTCGGGTCCTATTTTTTATATTTTTAAATATTATTTTTTTTAATTTTGTAAGTAGTATTTAGAAATATAATTTATAGAGAATTTTAAATAAATATATGTAAATAATAATAATAATAGTTGATACGAATCCGACCTTGACTGTTGCGCGGGAGGTGTCTACCTTCTTACCCGCGTCCACCAAGGCCGGAAAAACAAGAGTTCGCATGAGATGGAGTAAAGAAGTTAACCTATTCATCATGCGAACCTACCTACATATTACAAAGTTAGAGACCGACATGACTACATACAGACAACAACTGCATCAACTTTTCTCTCAACAATATCCAGATGTTATAGTCTCAGAACAAAGAATTGCAGATCAAAGAAGAGTTATAGTTAGAAACAAACTTTTGTCCCAAGACGAGATAGACCAGTTAAAAGAAGAAGTCCGCATGCAATTAGAATTAGAAAATGTCGAAAACCTCAACAATCACAACGTATTAACACCAAACATACAAGAAGAACAACCATCCTCGTACTCTCTAACACCTACTACACAATCAGAATCTAACACTCAAACTCTCTCAATCTATCAATCACAAGCACACTCTCATACCATACATACATCTACACAAACTGAGAACTTGACTATAACAATAGAAAATGATATTGACACTCAAGCTGACATTCATCAAAATTTGCTATCTGACGCACATATACAACAACTACACGATACATTTAAAACAACACTTAATCTGTATTCCGGGATGAACCTGGCAGTACGGCCTAAACTGCCCAAGCTTAGGTACTCACCAAAACTACAGCAACTTGTCAATATATTTAACAAAAATATCCTCATCCAATACACTACAGAAGACACTAAACTAACAGACGTACACACTTTGATTTACTGCACAGCATTGGTAATCTCTGAAGAATTGAATTATAAAATCACGGATTACACAGGCAACACGAAAACTAAAACTAACAATAAGCCAGCATGGCAAATTAGGCTAGAAAGAGATATAGAGAAACTTAGAGCAGACTGTAGTAGATTAACACAATACATAAATAACAATCGTTCAAACAGAGTAATTAAAAGAGTAGAAGCTATATTCAAAAATAAAAAATACACTACACACACGAGGCACGAAAAAGACAATAGGAAACCGGAAGAATTTTTAGATACTTTGAAACAAAAATTGGCATTAAAAACCCATAGACTAAAACGGTACAAAAAAGCACAAGAACGCAGGACTCATAATTCGACATTTGCTATGAATGAAAAGAATTTTTACAGAAATCTACGAACAAAAGCACAAAAAACACTTGATACTAACACAGAATTACCTACAACAGAACAACTCGAGGCGTTTTGGTCAGGTATTTGGGAAGATGAAGCACAACATAATGATAAAACAGATTGGATATCAGATGAAGCAGCCAGATGGAGTTCATTGGAAGAAATGGACTTTGTAGAGGTTACTGAGTCTGATATAACTAATATCACAGCAAAACTCCATAACTGGAAGTCCCCCGGCATTGATAAGATACATAATTATTGGTACAAAAAATTAGAATCCCTTCATAAAATTTTAGCTCAAAATATAACGGACATCATCTTAGGAAAACAGAACATACCAGAATTCATTGCCACTGGAATAACTTACATGCTACCGAAAACACAGTATACATCAGAACCTTCCCAATACAGGCCCATCACATGCCTACCCACACTGTACAAAATTATAACATCCACAATTACTTCAAAAATCAACAAACACATAGAACAACACAACATAATAGCGGAGGAGCAAAAAGGATGCAGGCGGGGCCACATGGGCTGTAAAGAACAACTAGTTATAGATTCGGTGATACATAAACACGCTGCTACCAAAAATAAAAATTTGCATTGCACCTACATAGATTATAAAAAAGCTTTTGATAGCATCCCACATTCCTGGTTAATACAAATATTACAGATTTATAAAATAAGCCCCAAAATTATAGCATTTCTGAAAAATATAATGTCACAGTGGAAAACCACACTTCAATTAAATCATCGCAATAATACTGTAACAACTCGACAAATAAGTATAAAAAAAGGTATTTACCAGGGTGACTCTCTTAGCCCAATGTGGTTCTGTCTCGCCCTTAACCCTCTATCCCACTTACTTCACCGTAGCCAAGCCGGTTATTGTCTTTCTAACACCACAGAAATCACCACTATCTCCCACCTTATCTATATGGATGACATTAAATTGTATTCAAAAACGGAAAAAGAAATGAAAACATTAATAGATATTACTACAAAATTCAGCAGAGACATTAATATGCGGTTTGGTTTGGATAAATGCAAGACAATACACATCATTCGGGGCAAAATTAAACCAGGAGACTATGCTATAAACAATACTGACGTTATCACTGCTATGGAACCGGATGACTTTTATAAATATTTAGGCTACAGACAATTCAAAGGGTTAGACCATAAAACAATTAAAAACACGTTATGTAATGAATATAAAAATAGAGTAAGCGCATTATGTAAAACTCAACTCTCTAGTAAGCATTTGATAAAAGCATTGAATACCTACGCGATCCCTATATTAACCTACTCCTTTGGTGTAATTAAATGGTCGAAAACTGACATCTACCAACTAGAAAGAAGTACACGCACTACACTTACCAAACATAACAATCTACATCCCAAATCCGCAATAGAGAGATTAACAATTAAGCGACAACATGGGGGGAGAGGCCTTATAGATATCCACCACCTTTGGCAGAAACAGATAACAAAATTAAAATTATTTTTCCGCGCAAAATCTAATACAAGCAGCATTCACAAAGCCATCGTTACAAACGACGCCAACTACACGCCCCTCAACTTACATGAACCAAACTTAGCCTACGACGTTAACAACGACCCACAGACACAAAAACTAGAAGACTGGAAGAAGAAAGTATTACACGGCCGTCACCCCCATGACCTTGAACAGGGACACATAGACACCATAGCTTCGAATAAATGGCTTAAAGTAGGTAATTTATTTCCGGAAACTGAAGGTTTTATAATTGCAATACAGGACCAGATAATTAATACAAAAAATTATAGAAAATTTATCATCAAGGACCCTACAATTACAAACGACAAATGTCGCAAATGTCACATACAGCCAGAGACCATTCAACACATTACAGGAGCATGCACAACACTTACTCAAACAGACTACACTCACAGACATAATCAACTAGCAAACATCATCCATCAGAACCTAGCAATCAAACATAAACTCATACAGGACACAAACACACCTTATTATAAGTACACACCAGAAAACGTATTAGATAATACCACACACAAACTTTACTACGATCGAGCCATTCTAACAGACAGAACCATCCATTACAACAGACCAGACATAATCCTACGAGATAAAATAAATAATATTACATACTTAATAGATATTGCAGTTCCAAATACACACAATTTACTAAAAACTATTGGAGAGAAAATAAGTAAATATGCTGAATTAAAAGAAGAAGTCGCTAGGATATGGAGACAAGAAAAAGTGTATATAGTCCCTATAGTTGTCTCCACCACAGGTGTGATACCCAAGCAGCTGCACAATAGCCTGAAACTCATAGACCTAAAAGATACTACCTATATCACACTACAGAAAGCAGCCATATTGAACACATGCAGGATAGTCCGAAAGTTTATGCAGTTGGAAGAAGACACCACAAACACATAATTACACACCACACCCTACATTCACTTGGCCCTGGCCCGTGAATGTAGGTGAATACCAGCTTTCAGAGCTGAGAAAAAGTTAACTACTCAAAAATAATAATAATAATAATAATTGTTTTACATGCCGTAATTTGAGTATTAATCTTACCCTCCAAGCAAAGCTACTTTGAGGTTTTTCTTGAAGGACTGTGCCAGCATCCAGCCGGGCATGCCTCCGGGTATAGGAGCCTCCTGCCATACTGACAGCTCTGATAAAGCCTCACATGCTTTGGCTTGCTCTCTGTAATGGTGCAAACAAGTATGATGTTAACTCATGTTATGAAACAAAACAAGTCAGTTATTGACTTATTAATATACTGTACTGTTTGTGAGTTTCAATAGGTACTTGTTCTACATTTCAAGTTTATAATGTTTGATAATATAAATCTCCCGATCAAAGTCAATCATGGTGCCAATCTGTCTAACTAGACTAGCCCACTACACAGGAGATATTACAGTGTTTTGATAATATATGGGTAATAGCATCAATTAGACATAAACCTTATATTATTTAAACATTATGTGCTTAAAATGTATATTCTTTTCAGAAACAATTGAAGTAAAACATAAGTAGGGTTTCTATCATGCATAGTAATAGTAGACTATGCTAAAGCATGCTAGGGACATACTTGGCGAATGTCTGTGACACCCAGGACGTGACGACCGCCTGTGGTACCGGTTGCTCTACAAACAGCAGCCTGATTACAAAGTGCCGCGCTAGCTCTGGTAACTCTCTAAAACAGAACAGTACACATTGTTGGATTATGTTTATAACTATCATGTACACTTACACAAAAATATTATTAAAGAAAGTTATACAATAAGTTGTTTATTAACTCGTCGAGTACCGGTTTTATAGACACAATTAAAGAACAATAGGTCGCGGTCACCGGTGACCGCTTGGTGTTTGACAGTTTAAACCTTGTGATCTGAATGTTAAACAATTGAATTTTAAGTAAGGAAGCCATTTTTGCAAATATTTGTCAGAGTTCTACATACTTTTGATATAATAACAATGTAACCTCAACATGTATAAACTTATCAATTTGATCGTTTGAAGAAATGTTTTATAAACAATAAACTTACCGGTAAACTGCAAGACATATCGTAGGATAATTATATAAAGTCTCTAAAAACTGAGCCGACCGACTTTTCAGATATTCGTGGAGATCTTTGCACTGTAAAGTGGGCGACGGATTTAAGTTTAAAGATTTTGATTTCGAGGATTCTGACATTTTGTCTTATTCAGTTTAACGTTATGTTATAAGCACATCAGCACAGGTTTCTATCAATTTTTCACAAAAATACCACAATAGACGATAACAACAAATTATATGAGTATAAACCACAGCAGTGACTATTTGACAACTCTAGTTTACTGTAGAACTGTCATTGTCATCTGCTGTTCATCAGTCTAAATTTTGGATTTTTGTTTATTATTATCAAGATTTTTTATGATTTGAAATCATGTATTTTTAGAAACTATCCGATTCGTTCATGTGGTTCATTTCCTTCGTTCATTCAAATGACAGCAGTCAAAAAGCACATCCCTACTTACGTTCCATTTCACATAAATAGTGTTGTTGAATGATTTATTAAAATGTTGAAATGAAAATTAATAAGTTGGTTGATAAATAAAAGTTAATTTAAAATTAACACACTAGGAAAAATAAAATTAAAACGATAAATAGTACATAATATAGTAGAAGTAATATGGTAAACTTTGTTAAAGCGTTCCAAAAGTTAAGGTTCATTTCCATGGAACAGTCAATTACTTACTTTTATATTTTTTTTGACCGTTTGTGGTGGTTAAGTCTAATTAGAATTAGTTACTTCGCAAGCTATTTAGAGATAAGAAAAAAGTTTGATTATAGCGCAAAATATTAATTGAGACAGAGTCCAGGCAGTCAGTCATTGTCATAGGTTTAGTTTAAGTTAGGTACAACGTAAGTGAAAATGCGATTTGCGATAATATATTAAGTAGGTACAAAGTATGAGAGGAACAAAGTAATTATGTTCTATTTTTTTTACTTATTTTTTTCCTGTTTTACATATTTAATAGGTTGATTGATACTTTATTTATTGTTGTAGAAATAAACATAAACATGAGGTATAGACGTTTGAGAAAACTAAAATAATGTACTGTAATTATACGACAACATCTTCGATTCAAAATATGCCTTTCATTGATCAGTAACTAATAAACTATCAATGAATGTGTCCACTTACATTCCCTCGGATATTTTTTGTAGGTTTGCTCAGTTAGGAAACTTGTAAGTTTCGAGTCAACGTGAATGTTTGCACGTATTTCTGTTACAAATATTTGGTGTAAGTTCTAGTCAGCCTGTTTCTTTTTGAGGCATGCTTTAGCACTCCCACTATTTTGTAATGTTTGTACGAACTTACTGTCTACAGTAGTTACTTGGGGCAAGTATTACAGCAGAAGATTTAATAGCCAATAAATTATAATTACTCGAACTCAAATAATAACTCTGTGTGGATTTAAACTTCTATATAAGTAAGCTTTCCCTTTTTTATTTGCGTAAACGAAGGTATCCTATTAAGTACATTATGAAGTTTGGCACACATGTACCAGATCCAAGTTAATATTATAATATTCCTTTAAATTGTATAAGAAATGTAAATATAATTACATTCTGGCGTCTACTCAACCAGTTAATTACAGTGGACAACTGGTATCTTGCATCACATATGGGTATGTTACTTTAGTACATAGGTAAAGAAGTTTACTTCTATATAAAACTTGTAAATATACCCCCATAAAGTTAAATTTTTAGTTCAAAAATAAAAATTTGGACAAATATTTAAACTTGATAAAATACCTACATAATTTATTCAAGGATCCACAAATAATGCTTCCTTGAGGATCGGAATCGCTGAGAAAAAGAAATACCTTGTTCCCATACAAAGAAAAAAAAGGTTTACTCACGCACACAGGTAGACGCGTGACGCATACGAGTGTAATTTCCCCGTGCACGCACACGGGCGCACACACAGCGGCGCGCCGTCGAGTTCCCCGCATTTCATTCTCGTCGGCAGATGGCGGATGCAGTGGACGCCCTCCGTCAGTCGCGCATAGACAATCACCGAGCGTAGTGTGCTTGCGATTCTCTCAGCACCATTTTGTGTATATCTTTTCGAACGGGACATTGTGTGTATGTGCTCCGTGAATAATCGTGAACCACGACTATCAGTTTTGAACAGTGTTCAGTGTTTCACTTTCGACATGCCCGTCGAGGGATCGATGCGATATCTCGGGCGCCCGTAGAAACCGCGCCTCCGTCATGAGCGAGTGATCGTCGACGTAAAAAAAAGTTAACACAGGAAACATGTCTGGGCGGACCGCCGACGCGGATGCGAGCGAAGGGTTCCAGTTCGAAATTCGAATGCGGTCATGTCATCGCCTCTCGGATTTCTCATAAGTCACCGTCCAATGTCAAAATCGTGCACGTACCGCGAGCGCCGACCCTCCGGATCGTGCGGAAAATGCAATCGTTGGTAGTTTGGTGGGCGGTGGTGTCGGCCGCCTGGGCGCTGGCGGGCGCGTGCTCGAGCTCCATCTCCAAGCGGCCGGCCAGGCCCGCACGTCCGCAGCGCCCGCACCCGCAGCCCCAGCCGCAGCCGCGGATGAACGTCACCTTCCCCCTCTTCAAGTGCGAGCCCGACTACTCGGAGTACTACTGCCTCAACGGCGGCGTGTGCTTCACCGTGGTCATATCGGACAGCCCGATCTATAACTGCGAATGCCGGAGCGGGTTCGTGGGCCAGCGCTGCGAGTTCAAGGACCTGGACGACTCGTACGTGCTGACGAGTCGGCAGCTGATGATGGAGACAGCGTCGATCGCGGGTGGCGCGACCGTTGCTGTGTTCCTCGCCATTCTAGTCTGCTTCGGCGCGTGGGTGCGGCTGCACCGGCGCGGCAAGACGCCGCCCTTCTCGGAGGAGCGCGGCCAGGTGCAGCTGGTGGCCGTGGCGGCGCCGCGCGGCATCGTCGCGCTGTGCAAGGCGCCGCCAGCCCCGCCAGACCTGCCCCACTAGCTCTTCATTTGTGGACAATCGCTGGACAATGCGTCCCTTGTTTATATTGTATGTCGTGTACATATTATAGATAGATTATGTGTTAAGTTATGTGGAGAGAATGGAAGATATAAGGAGAAATTTATGTGATAATTATTTTACGAAGTTTATAATTTATTCGGAAGTAATTTTTTTGTATATACCTCTCGGATTTGTTCCGCAGTGGGTTCCACATTTCATACAGTTGGAAATTTCAGTCTCCTTACCCCGGTGTTCGTTTTGTGGATTGTAATCTGTATTATTCTGTTCACGTTCAGTGTGTATCGGATGTGTGAGATCGAACAACGACCATGTACCTAATGCTACTCGCTTCAAGTAGAGCTGTTATATGTTATATTGTTGTTTGCACTGTATCTGCTGATACAAAAGGTTGAGATGCAGCTCCGCACCAAACAGATCAATTCCTAGTCTGACTCTTTTGATAATCAAAACAGTATATACAGGAATGGGTCTGTTTGGTGCAGAGAGAGGCGTGTGCTGCTGCACATGCCACATGTTATTGTTTGTTGAGATAGCGGACAGTCCCAGTGACGTGCGTAGGGCTCCGCTGGCGCCCTCGCACGCTACGACGCTATACTTAGATAATTGTCAATCAATGTTAATTGTATTTATTAATATTCCATTCTATACAAATAGAATTTGTGATGAATTTATTGTAGGCTTGTGCGAGGCAGCGAGTAGCGCAGTTGGTTCCTATTGCCGTTCCGGGCCGAGGGCCCGCACATTCCATCTCGCGGATAGAGTATTTTACTGGTGTCAGTATTATTTTGTAATACGAGTCTTAAGCCGGCAGCTTTATTTTTTAATTTATACCTGTTATCCCGCTGGGATAGTGCTGTATTATATTTGTTTAAAGGCTGAGTATGTGCCGTCGATGAGGAAGGCTTTTTTTGTAAATATAGCCCGTGTAGGTATTTATTAGATATTTATGATCGTTTATTTATTGACTGCTTTATTTAGTTAATCTCGATGATCAGTGCATCCAAGGCGCCTAACTAAGCGGTTAACGGTTGTATTTTCATTTCACCCTGCTAAGCATGGCCTCGCGTAATGTATATTCGATTGTAATCTCATTATGAATCTCCATTATGTCTAGTTTTTGTAAAAATTGAAACAACATTGGATGGTGTATAAAACGTAGTTTCCTGGCCAGTGCCGGCCGTCGCGCGTGTGTTGCTGTACTTTTGATTGTTCGTATTCGTATTCAATAATTATGTTATTCATCATTCACGCCACTAGAATTAATGTTTCCTTAACTATGTTCTCAACATAGTCGCTACGTTGATGTATTCAAACTACACAATTGAAGGTACAGCGCACCTATAAGTCTGTATGTTGCTCTCTGTCTTGTTAACTGTTTATGTCGTCCGAGGGCAGGCACTGCAAGGATACAAAAAAAAATAGCAAATTTGTTAATAGGCTGTGAGATCACAGAGCTGCGGCAGGGCGCGGCGGCTGGGCGCTTGTTTTACCCTAGACCCGCGTACCATTTCTATGGCAGTTTCATGTGTTTGACGTATGTTGTGTTTCGTCCAGCCGCCACGCTCGGCCCACAAAAACTAATAAATTGTACCGCCTCCGTAGAGCTGGTGCGGTAACAGTAACGGTGGAGTGAAACGTGGAGTCCCATGTACATTGATTCATATGAGATGTTTATATGAACATTCCAAAGTATTTGTAAAATATTACCTACAACACTAATAATTTCGAAGTATCTGTTAAGACGCTACTTGTTAATTATACAATTTTCTATTGATCATTTGTTAAAGAAAATTATATGAAACTAAATCCTTAACATTATCTTTCATTTGTGATCTGCCCCATGCCTCACTGGCTCAAACAACTATTGTTTGTACACAAGCTGTCGAGAAGCTGTTGTGTGCTGAGAATAAACAGCCGCACCTTTTGCTAATTATTATAATCTTGAACTAGTTTTCAATAACGTGAAATAGCAACAAACATTCGGCACAGTTTTCATTCTTTATGAACAATGCTCTCAGCATGTACCTACGGCTTTATTGATTAGATTCATTAGTTGTGCAATCTGCGAAGTAGCCTGGCAGTGGCGCATGGCGGCTGGCGGGCAGTCAGCCTAGTTCTGCACGTCACGTGCCGCCCACGCGAATCGCTTTTCGTATACTTGTGCAATAAACACCTGTCCGCAATCAAATTAGTTCGGAAATAATGGATATCGTCTATCTGTGAAATTGAATAATGGCCCATCGACTCGGGTTATGTATATTGCAACACGCAAACGAAAGTCTGTCACTAATCTCGAGCAACAATCGCATGGTGCACTCTGTTTCATCACGTCTCGAAATTCGTAAAGAATAACTTACGTGATCCGTACACCATAAAAGACCTTTGTAAATGTAAAGGCGCAATGCGACGGCACTCCATTGAGCGTGTCTGGGAGCATAATTTTTATGAATACCCGAGCGGACCGGTCCGCCACCGGCGTCGCATGCATAGAGTTCATTGAATGAGTGCCCGTTCGTTTGTTGACATTCCCCGAAAACCTGCCCCGCCCGGAATAGCTGTGTATCACAGGCTCCCGATGGATGGACAACGACCGAAATAGACGCCGCTCCCAACTAGATTAAATGCCGTTTTGGTGTTCAATGCGTTTACAGCTTAAGCTTACTAATTTTTTGTACAGGAAGTCGCCGGATTACGAATGTCTAGTTGACTAAAGTGTGTCACCTTAATCCGGCTGAGCCATTTCTGTGAGTTTACTCATAATTTTAGATTATTGAGAATTATTTGACACGAATTTCAATGAACGATTGTTTTGAATTTCAAGACTGCAATCTCATCGCGTCACTAGTTCTTTGAAGCTTTCAATTCACTCTAGGAAATATCTAATGAGTAACCGGAACTTGAGGGTTTTGATTTGCCTTCTAGATTTTAGGTATATTTTACAGTCCAAGTTTTCTAGAATACTGTCATCGGATATTTTTCAGACATCTATCTATACATACGTGTAGGTACAAATAAATGTCTGCATTGAATTGCTACAATTAGGTACGTATGTGGAATCTAGAGATGTAGGTGGATAAAATGACTAGTAGATATGATAGACAAATATTCTAAACACATTAAAAATCAAAAGCAGTCCATAGGCAGAGATTCGTAGTAGGCCCAACATTCTGTACGTACCTGTAGCTCGAATCGCTAATTATTATAAAAGCAATGCAACAATAGAATTAAACAGTAGAAATGAATGTAATTTATGAACAATTTCTATCTGATACTGGTACTGCTATGATGGTAACGTCGAAATTAAACGAAAGTAGATACAAAACAACAATTAGACAAAGCTAGACAGCGGACGTCAGCAAAACACTGTGAATGAAAACATCAAGTCAAGGCGATGCGAGACAATCGTCGAACACATCTAGTAGTTGGTCGAGACTCGGCTGCGCGGCCAGGGCAGGCTGAGCCGCCGCGCTGCGCCGGCGCAGGCGGGCTGGCTGCGCGCGCGCGGCTCTTCACGCTGGTCGTGCTTATAGACGGTGCGTCGCTCGACCCACGCTCGGTTCGTTTATGGCCGTCGGCCGGTGGCCATTGCGTCCAATTATCGTGCCTACGTGTTACGGCCCACTTGTCATTACCTTGCCTCGCGAAAATCTTCCTGCGACATGTATGGAGCCTGTCTGCCAGTTCATCGCAGTCGCACGAGCCGTCATTTCGGAGGAGACAATGGCATTCCACTGCTCGCTGTGCTCTGGGAATAAAAGAATTAGTGAAGGTTGTTGCACAGCCGCGCAACAAACTGATGCTGGAAGTTAGCCCGTCACGCCAGTCAGTTCTATCTTATGGGAAATAATATGCTTATTATGTATGGGACGCTGTTATTCTATCATCAGTAGCGGTGTAAGGTGTCTTTAAAACACTGTGCTTATAGATGTCTATAAGCACAGTGTTTTAAGCACATTGTCTAGCCTTGTCTACAAACATTTTACAGATTCTGTTAACCGAATAAGTCTGATTTCTTTAAGGTCCCGTACATCCGATAATGTACTAGGTATTACTTAAGTACGAGTTACGAGTATTTAACAAATTCCGCAACCGTACCTATTTATCAATTTTAGAAATTGACCAATCTGTCCTAAATTCGTTGATATCATCAACGGAACACAAATGCATATAGCATTTAACTTATTGTATCTAATTCCAAAACAGAAGTACAATTATAGGAAGTTAAAGTGTCCGAGAGCCAACTGTTACAGTATTACAGCAACATACTGCAACGTGTTTAGTAAACATCATTCATAACTATCTACTTATTAAAACTGAATGAATAGAAACAACAGGAAAGGTCGAACCATCTGTTATTTCATTTCAGGTACAGCTGAAGGAAATATTGTAAACTGCATACAACGAATAAATGAAATACCTACTATAGAAATCGTTTATCTATTTGTTCACTTTATGTTAGGGGATTTGGGAACTCCGTAATATAATGGATGAAACTTTGAACATACATACGTAGCTTATTATGTGTATATGTAACTACGTGACAGTCCGCATGAATTTTGAGATAGCAAATGGCAATACGACAATTTTCTGCTTCGATAAGCAAATGACGATAGTTCAACCGTGATGATATGATGACGGATTCCTTCCTGTTAGGCACTGCTTTACAATACTGATGGAAATAACTTGCTGCTGTCTACTTCGATAAACTCTAAGATTTTTTTAAAAGCTACAGGATATGCAACGTAATAAGCAGACAATACATAAATTGAAATAGGAAAGTCTTGTCGTGGGTTTTCCCAAATACAATTGAAGGTTTGTGTTTCGGCAATGATATGCTAGTTTGACGCTCTACTTATCATACAAAGTGAAAAACAATATAAAAATAATAATGTAATGCTATCTATTTCTTTGAACAAGTACTCGAGTAGTTACGACGTTATGTGTCTGTGATTGTCCAATTGATCTTTGAGCGAATTATT